TATTGTAACTGAGAAAGAAAATTTGGTGGGGCCTTTAATGGAGTTAATCAAAGTTTTGATTTTTTCACAAACCTCATTGTGATTGTTGGGATGTAAATTTTGACCAATTTTTGTTTACTGGTTGTTTCTATGGACCTTCTTGGTTCATTAGGTGTAGGAGTAGTGTTCTAAAGTTTCTATTTTTAAACATTGTGTATATAATTGAACATTGTTTCTTGTTTATTGAACATCTAAAAGTTTGTATCTTTTTGAAGATAGATGCTATACAATTGAACCATTTTTCTCCTTCCTGTGTTTGTTGCAGCTGAAACAGTGTTACTAGCATTTCAAAACTACATTCTAATGCTTGGATCAAGTGCCTTTATACCTGCATTGCTCGTACCAGCAATGGGTGGGACCGATGTAAGCCTACAAATCTGCTTCTTGTTTATGTCTTGAGCCAAACTAGTCTTAATCTCTTGTGTCCTGAAGGGGGACAAAGCGCGAGTGATGCAGACGCTACTCTTTGTAGCTGGTATCAAGACACTTCTTCAAGCTCTTTTCGGCACGAGGTTGCCTGCTGTTGTTGGAGGCTCTTTTGCTTATGTAGTCCCCATTGCTTACATCATTAACGACTCCTCCTTGCAAAAGATCTCTAATGATCATGAGGTACTATAGATATGTCACAACAAAGTTCATTTTGTTAAAACTGTTTCGATATCAAGAAAGTTTAGTATGTTCTCTGCAGAGGTTTGTTCACACAATGCGAGCTATACAAGGAGCATTGATTGTAGCATCAAGCTTACAGATCATTCTCGGATACAGCCAAGTATGGGGACTGTTCTCAAGGTATAGTCCTAATTTCTTGTTCTGTTTTTTTCCGTAGAGACATTCATTACTTTCTTTCCGATCTTCAGGTTTTTCAGTCCTCTAGGAATGGCACCAGTTGTCGGATTGGTTGGTCTCGGGATGTTCCAGCGAGGATTTCCACAGGTAAACTCATACAAATCCTGCTCATCACCATTGTATTTTTGCATTTAAACATAAAAAAGTGATCTCTTTTTGATTATCTTGATGTCCAGCTCGGGAACTGCATTGAGATAGGACTACCGATGCTACTGCTCGTCATCGGAGTAACACAAGTAAGTAAATATTTTGAGTGACTTCGACTTTCTCTGTGTGTTCTATTTCCCTCTCTTGCTTACATTTACATTCTTCTTGGCAGTATCTAAAACATGTCAGACCGTTTAAAGACATACCGATCTTTGAGAGATTTCCGATCTTGATCTGCGTGACTTTCGTTTGGATCTACGCCATAATCCTCACCGCGAGTGGAGCTTACAGAGGAAGGCCATCACATACACAGCATAGTTGTCGAACAGACAGAGCAAATCTTATATCAACAGCTCCATGGTATTGAAAAAAAACAACTCAGTATCATCTTATATTTTGGTTTACATTTGTCCATATTCTCTCATTGCTATTTACTGTAATGTCTCATCAGGTTCAAATTCCCATACCCTCTCCAATGGGGACCTCCAACGTTTGCAGTTGGCCATTCCTTCGCTATGATGTCTGCGGTTCTTGTATCCATGGTCGAGGTAAAAGAGAGCAACGTCGTTAGATTCGTTGCAAGCTTTGATTTTTTTTTTTTTGTTAGAAGATGAAATGAAGTTGTTACATTTATGCAGTCGACTGCAGCTTACATGGCAGCTTCAAGATTAGCTATAGCCACGCCACCTCCTGCTTATGTACTAAGTAGAGGCATTGGATGGCAGGTGAATCAAATAAGTCTCATAAAGAAAACACCTATTTCGCAACCTTGTTCTTCTATATCTTAAAGGCTATGTTTCTTCTTGAAAACACAGGGGATTGGTGTGTTGCTTGATGGTCTGTTTGGGACAGGCACAGGCTCTACTGTTCTTGTGTAAGTGAAAAAGTAACTTCTTGGAAAGCTAATCTTTTTACGTGTTTTACAGTCTCTCTCTAATGAAGAATGTGTTTGCAGAGAGAATGTAGGACTTCTAGGGTTAACAAGAGTAGGAAGTCGTCGTGTTGTTCAAGTATCAGCAGGCTTCATGATCTTCTTCTCTACATTAGGTATATAACAACTAAAGCTTCAACCTTTAACCAATCCTATGTGATTTTTAAAAACGTTACGATTGTTTGTATTTCCGAGCAGGCAAATTCGGTGCGGTGTTCGCGTCTATACCAGTTCCGATATACGCAGCATTGCACTGTGTCCTCTTTGGCCTCGTTGGTAAAGATCACAAGAACATTAAAGAAAGAGACTTTATCATATAATATACAATTTGATTACATTTTGTATGTTTTTTGCATGCAGCTGCGGTTGGTCTCTCGTTTCTTCAGTTCACGAACATGAACTCGATGAGGAACTTGACGATCACGGGTCTTTCGCTGTTTCTCGGAATCTCCATACCTCAGTTCTTTGTTCAGTACTGGGACGAGAGACATTACGGGCTGGTTCACACGAACGCGGGGTGGTTCAACGCGTTTTTGAACACTGTGTTCATGTCTCCGGCGACCGTGGGTTTGATCATTGCGGTGTTCATGGACAATACGATGGAGGTTGAGAGGTCGAAGAAAGACAGAGGCATGCCTTGGTGGGTAAAGTTTAGAACTTTCCGTGGTGATAATCGTAATGAAGAGTTCTACACTTTGCCCTTTAACCTCAACAGATTCTTCCCTCCTACTTAGTTACACATTACTTCAGAGTTTGGATTCAAGAATTTTAGATTCTGATCATTCTTTTTTTTGGGTTATGGGGTTTAATTGATACAGCAGCCCTCCAAATTGAAATAGTTTTGTAATTCAAAATCAAAAATCTTCTTTTGTAGATTGAATAAGATCAAATGACATAACGGCGTTTTGTTTTATATTTTGTTCTTTATTTTCCTGCTAATGACGATACAACTTTTCATTAATTCATTTCATTCATCATTGATTCTTTGGCTATTGGATGATTGGGTTCTGAAGAAACTTATCTACAATTTAACAATTGTTCTTTCAAAATTTAATTAGCTTGATGTAGAATATCCACAATATCCAAAATTTATGTCTTCATCCATTTAGTATTCAATATAAATAGTAAATTTATTATTTCTTGGCTCAAAAGTTCTAATAGGTAAATAATTATTAACAAAACCTGCTTCAAAATTAAGTTTTTGAAATACCAGATACATTGAAATGAAAATCTTTATTTTAAAAAATACAATAGAACCTTTGAAATGAAAATCTTTATTTTAAAAAATACAGTAGAACCACTATAGAGTAATAGTCTATAAAGTAATACCTCGATAAATGAATAGAATTTTCAAGTCCCAAATTCAGTTTTTGATAACTATCTCTCGATAAATTAATAATCTCGTTAAAGTAATAAAATATTGTGGTTTTTTTAGTTTACTTTTAATTTGTTTAGAGTAGGGAAGGCCTCAGCTTAGCCAGCGTTTTTTACATCAAAGAAATCAGACGGTAATTCCATGTTTTAGCAATAATCATCATTGGAATCTTCCCTTAATCACTCTTAATTAGTTTTAGTTCAAAAGAATTATCAAACACATTAACAAATGTAATCGCCGAAATGGCTCCGTAGATCGTGGAGAAATCAAGATCCACAGGTTCCTATCTGTAAGCGAAACACAAACATCTGTGTATGTCCAATGTAGCATCAAAGATCAAAGCCCAGAAAGCTATCATCGACGTGGCATCGGACGATTGATAAAAAACAAAAATTAAAAAACAAATAAAACCCTCAGCGAACCCTTTTCAAATCACCCACACAGCGGACACGGAACGGTGGGAAGTACGGTAAAGAATTACCAGACCGACCAGACAGAACCGGATCCGCAGACGGACCCGGGGTTACCGGATACGAATACGGTCGTGAACTACTGATCGGTTTGGAAACTTAAACCGGATGCATCGTCGTTCAGTCCGCTGTTGTGTAAAGTGTCAAACGGCACTTCCTATCAATGGGATTGCTTCTTCATCGGGAAAATAAAAAAATTTGTAACCCCAAAAACAATCGATTGAAATAAAAATCAACGAAACAGAGAATCAAAAGGTGAATCGAAGCAAGAGAAAGTGTCTACGAGGATATTTGAGGCAACAGAGAAAGTTAGATTTATATAGAGGGTACGAGCCGGCATACTAAAAACCCTAATCTTCCACCACAGTATATTCATTTTTCCGTAAGCCCTAACGTTTGTTGAAACATATGGCCCACTAAGAGCCCGTTTATATGTGTAAAGTCTTTTGGTAATTCTGACTAATTTACTCTGAGATACACAAAGAGATTAATTTTATGTTAATTGACTAAGTTGGGCTTTGTCAAAGATGAAGCCCAAAGTAATACAATTAAGTTGAAAGAGAAGTTGGACTCAGTCAAGACAAGATCATAAAGAGATATCCGGTTTGGGAAACTCTATAATTTTGTGTCTTCTTCATCTTCCTTTTTTAATATTCAATTTCTTTGTTCTGAAATCAACAAAGAGTGCTGTGAGTGAGAGATGTGAGGTTAAATTCATCAAACTCAAGCTACAGAGAGAATCGCATTAGTATCGGCAACACAAACCTGCCTCTTTGTCCTGTAATGAGTCCAATATTGTAACACTTTTTTATTACCATGATTAGAGGACTTTTATATAAGCTCGTTGATACGACGCCGTCTACAAAAGTCTTACTCCCGACAAACTACAAACTTTTATCTTTTCTTTAGAAGACGACTACTAATAAGTCTTCATTTCTAACTTAAATAAGTCGGGTCTTTCTTTAATATCTCGTTTTTCGAAGTCATCTCTATAATCTTTAATATGAAAACTGTCTCTGTAATTGCATCGTCGAGACAAAGTAGAAGATTGAGAACATGACTCCCTCTATATCAAAGTTGATTGAATACTTCTTTCCTCCAATTATTTCTGATAAAAGAAAGACCGTCCACCAATTTGTAGCTGACCTCTCTGCACGCACATGGCTCAGTGTTTAATAAACACTTTATACAAATGGATGAGAATATAGAGAGCCATAGTCTTTCTATTCTCTTGCATTTCTTATCTCCTTCTTCCACTTGGTAAAACTCAATTTCTTTGTATCGTTGACTTTTGCTTTTTGATTCTGGTAACTCAAACTCTCTTTCTTGGTATGGTTTAGGCTTTCGATGCACTGTTCTGAAGCACGTCTAGATACAATTGAGGCACAGAGGTCAACGGATATGTCTCATGACCAACGGAGACAAAGATCCTTCCTCATGAAAATGATAAACAAAGGTGCATGCATGATCAGTTCACGAGGTTTGCCTCAAGGCCCGCAACTTATGGAAGACACTGAAACTGTGCCCAAGTTCCTTACCAATCTCAAACTGTCAGATCTTAACAACCGTCCAGGTGAAGATGTGCTGATGAATCCAGAGATCTTTAGCGCAATGAGAGGTGGAAACATAGACTTTCTGAAGAAGATGAAAACCAACGAAACAACACCAATGGCATGTTTGAAGAACAATAAAGGAGATTCCATTCTTCACATTGCTTCTTCTTGGGGTCATCTTGAACTAGTGAAGGGGATAATCTCTGAATGTCCATCTCTTCTATTGGAGAAAAACTCCAAGTATCAACTTCCGCTACATGTGGCGGCTGGTGCTGGTTATTCAGCAATTGTTAAGGTTCTTGTTGAGTCGCTAACGTATTTTTCAGCTGGACTACATGAAGAAGATAAGGCGAACTTGAATCTATATGTTATGAAGGACATAAACGGAGATACTGCTCTGCACTTAGCCTTGAAAGACCTCCATAAAAAAACAGAGGTAATGCACACTGATCTTATTGTGTGCTATAAATTTGTAAACATCAGTAAACTGATTTAGCTGAATTCGACTGACCACAAATAAAGACATTCTTTACTCTTTTAGTCCATAGTGTTTCTCAGAAAAAAAAAAAAAAAAAAAGCCTTTTTCGTTATGATCAAACTTACAAGCTAGAATGGAACTGAACTAATTTTCTTAGACTATTGTACATTTGTACTCCATACTTATTTGGTTTATTGTATGAAGAATCCATTTTTAGTTCCCTCTTTTAGGTCGTATGTCTTTGACCTCCTAAGTTTTTTTTTTTTTTAAACCTCAACAGTTAAGTTTGATGCATTGATATTTTCTCTCTTAGGTTCGGATGTATCACAATCGTATCAGATTGCTAATATTCATGACTCACCTTATGAATAAAAAAGTAATCATTTCATCTCCTGATACATCAATACGGCAAATGGAGTTAGCTGCCTATCTAGTGAAAGCGAACCAACAGGCTTCGTTTCTTGAGAATAAAGATGGAGTATCTCCCTTGTATATGGCCGTAGAAGCTGGTAATGTCTCACTTGTGAATGCAATGTTGAACCTTCCTGGTAATAACGTCCAGGGAAAAACCTTTGACTTAGCCTCGATACTGGAAGGGAGAAAATCACTTGTACATGCAGCTCTAAAGGCCAAGAATACAGGTCTATTTGAACTTATTTTTTTATGGAGGAGACTAAGTGAATCGTTTTTAGTTCGATAAACTAAAATCCTATTTGTTTGGGCAGATGTTCTTGATGTTATTCTAAACAAATATCCTAGCCTTGTCAATGAGCGAGATGAAGAAAGGCGAACATGTCTTTCGGTTGGGGCATCAGTAGGGTTTTATAAAGGCATATACAAGCTTTTAGTCCTATCAACACCCCCAAATGTTTATGAATGTGATGGCGATGATAATGATGGTTCTTTTGCAATCCATATGGCAGTTGAGAAAGGCCATATGGATATTGTTAAAGAGCTTCTGAAACGTTGTCCAGATGCAATATACCTGCTCAACGAACAAGGTCAGAACATTCTTCACATCGCAGCAAAGCGTGGAAAAGCTGAATCGTTTCTTTTGGGTTATGTAAGGAAACTTGACACAAAAAATCATTTGATTGAGGAGCAAGATGTGGATGGGAATACACCTTTGCACCTAGCCACCATACATTGGCGCCCTCGAACTCTTTTCAAACTTACGGAGCTTGCTTTAACCAACCCAAAAGTCCTGGATATATTGAACAAAGATGGCTTGACACCTTTTGATATTGCGGAGTCAAAACTTCAGTCTGATTACATTTTCCGGGAGGTATAACATATTACATATCCCTCTGTCTATACAAATACTGCTTTTGCTCATATAACAAGCCGTTGTTCATTTGTTCCATTTCTCTTGGGCATATACAGAGAATGACGTTGGTGGTGTTGATGCGCATTTACGCACCAGAAGCTTTTTCAATGATGCCGTTGAGTGGGATGACACTAAGAAGCAGATCAGAGTGTATAAAGGGTGGTAAAAAATACAAAGACCAAATCAATATTCTTCTACTAGTGGCAGCACTTGTAGCTACCATGACATTTGCTGCAGGCTTTACCATGCCAGGTGGCTTTAGCAGCTCTGCTCCTAACTTGGGTATGGCCATTTTGGCTAATGACCAAACCATCGTTGGTTTTGTGACAGCTGACACCTTTGCAATGCAATGCTCTGTTGTAGCAATAGTAGCCCTTATTTGGGCTCAACTAGGGGATCCTGATATCGTTCACAGAGCCTTGAGGATAGCATTGCCAACGCTATTCATTGCTCTGATCTACATGTCTGTGGCATTCTTATCTGCCTTGATGGGGACGATAAAGCAAAACAAGGAGCTTTACACTATTCTTTCCATCTCATCTATCATCTTTTATCTGTGGTTTCTTTTTCTCCTTGTCCCTTATGTTAGTCCGCAAGCATCCGCTTTTATTTTTCTCCCTCTTTTTTTGTTATTTGTTAATGAAGACGATGTTGAAAAACATGACACCTCTGGATCTGGTGATACGCTTGTGAATACGGTGGAGTCGGTGGGGGATCCTCGATCAAGCGACGATCAAGTGGAAAAGTCGAAAGTGCTTTATAAAATATAATATCTTCCGTTTTATCGTTTTGTCGTTTAACTCTCTTTGTCAAAACGCTACTTGAAAAAGCAAGAATGTTGTTTCTACATATAAAACCGTTTAATGTAGTTGTTATCCTATTTCTTTAGCTTCTTGACCTAAAATAGCTGGTACTGTAACATGTGAAAGAACCAAATTGTTTGAGAACCCGTGTGGAACGTGATAACCACATACGTACCGTGTGAGACAATACTGTGTACAGTGTACACTTTAGAAATTTGCAGAGATCCAGCTTGATTAGGTACACTTGCTTGAATCACTATGCAAAATAAATGAATGGTAGTTTTCCTTATTTTAAGGCGCGGAAACAATTTGACGAGTCTCCTGTTCAAGATGTATTCACATGGACAGCAATGGTGTCAGGATATGTGCAAAACCAACTGGTGGAAGAAGCGAGAGGATTATTCGATAAAATGGCAGAGAGAAACAAAGTATCGTGGAATGCAATGCTTGCAGGATATGTGCAGGGTGAGAGAATGGAGGTGGTGAAAGAGTTGTTCCATGTTATGCTGCCTTGTAGAAATGTTAGTACATAACAATATTAAGAAGCAAAATAAAAGGAATGATACTGAGACAAACCATCAAAAACATAAGTTTGGATCTCATTTCTCATGTTGCTGAGCTAGCTAAGGTTTGGTCAAGAATATATAGAAGCAACAATGGTGACAAACATTCTTCCATCAAATGTCTAAAGTAAGGGCAGGCTACAAGTACAACTGATCTATACGAATCTTCCATGACCCCTATATGGCTATATTGTCATGAGCTTACATAGTTACATGCCATCTCTCACTTCTACCATGACCATTCTTCCTACCAGAACCTAAATAACTTGGATCATGTACAAATTTGATATCACCTAGACAGCTAGCTAATTACTGCTATGCTGTGTAACTTTGTTGACAAGCTTCACACTTACATGCACAGACCACACACGTGTGGAAGGAGACAAGCCAATAAGGTTATGGGACCCGCATGAACAATGAGACTTCGCGAGTCCAAGCCACGAGGCATCGTGGTCTGCAAACGGCTCACTTTCTGACATGTGGGACCCCCACTTTAACCCACTATCTTGATCCCTTCAAAATTTAGCAGAATTCAATGGCTATCATTTTTTAAAATTTTGTAGCATGTCAGGAATCTTTAGATATTTTACACGTAGATTTGTTTTCTCAAACATTTACCGAAAACGTAAATACATGTGATTATATACTTTTAGTTTCCAATCATCCTATTTCACACTTTCGGGTTCGATTTCTTCAATCTCTTGGCTAATCTTTTGAAACTATTAAAATTAGTTTTGTCAAGATTTACAGTAAATATAAACACAGGTCGGCATATAAATTTAGTTGTGTTTATCCAGTTATCCTGTTTTGACTCTTGGTCAGTCTTCGAATACTAGTGGCACAATTCACAAATTATTCGAATAAACGTCTCACTTTATTTTATTCAACTAGAAATTAAATTAAGAAAACAGAATTGAGTTTTATGTTTGTTAATACAGAAATACGTACAGTGTCTTATAAACTTGTAAGAATCTACAACAACAACAAAAAGAACAGAAAGAGATATTGATTACCGTTTGAGATTGAAATCATGTGGATTGAATAATTCAAATGACCCTTGTTATTTCCAAATTATTTCCACAGTCACTATTATTTTGACAACAAACCAATCCGCACAGCCCATTTAATTTCAGTTGTATCCAATCCTTTTACCATATGATTGAAACTTAATATTTAGTTTAATCTAGTGTATCAATAGAAAGTCTAAACTCTAGCAAGATGAAGAAAGTAAGAAACAACTCACAATCACCATTGCAACTTGCTAACATTTAGTAAGTTTTAATACACTGTATTTAAGCTTATCCGCATGTATTCTTTCTGTCGTCAGACTATTCGAGAGTTTTGTTTTGGTATTTTCTGTGGTTGGAGATTCATCTCAGATCGTCGTCATTCATTTATTTATTCCCTTTCATATACCTCTCTCACGGAAAATACAAGCCAGCAAATTTAGTTTTTTTACCAAACATGGTGGGGTCGGCCGTCGGCGTGCAATGTAAACTCTATTATCGAATTTACTTATTTATTTGATATTTTACTCCATAGTCAAAGAAATTTCATGACTAGTACAGTATCTAATTCTACACAGCTACCCACTGAATAAAATAATCATATACTAAACTTTACGTCTAAAATAGTATCATTCCCTGGAATAAGAGGAGTAAACAATAATCCATTCATAGACATTTTCCCATTTGTTTGAAGAAAAACAAAAATTTGATTCAGATTCACAAAAAAACACCCATGATCAGCTGTAAACTAACATGTGTAAGATGGAATCATGGAAAGTGGAGAATGTGATGCAAATTATTTGACAAACACGTATAATTAATTACCGAAGTTGATTAATTAACAATTTTTCTTGAGTTAATATGACCCAGTCTCTTACCTATTACCGCCACTTCACTCACTAGCTAGTTGTCCCTAAACCACTCCCCACGACACCACTCTCTGAAAACCCTAATAATCTCTCTCTCTCTCTGTGTGGCTTCTTCTTAATCTCTCTCTTTCTCCTGCTCTCTTCTCACCGGAAGCTGAGTATGGATTTTCTCAAATCTCTCGTCCTCATTGTCCTTCTTCTCTCACCCATTTCACTCTCAGGTAAAGTCATTGCAGTCTTCTTGAATTTCATTATTACACACTCATTTTCCGATTCTTACATTTTGTCTTCTTCTTGCAGATGCTGGCTCCATCGGAGTAAACTACGGCCGAATCTCCGACGAACTCCCATCCGCATTCAAAGTAGTCCAGCTCCTAAAATCCCAAGGAATCGACCGGGTCAAAATCTTCGACGCCGACCCGGCCGTTCTCAAAGCCTTATCCGGATCCGGAATCCGGGTCACCGTAGATCTCCCAAACGAGATCCTCTTCTCCGCCGCCAAACGCCCTTCCTTCGCCGCCTCATGGGTCAAACGCAATGTAGCCGCTTACCATCCCTCCACACAGATCGAATCAATCGCCGTTGGAAACGAAGTCTTCGTCGACACACACAACACCACAAAGTTCCTAATCCCGGCGATGAGAAACATCCACAAAGCCCTCGTCAGCTACAACCTCCACTCCTCCATCAAAATCTCTTCCCCGTTAGCTCTCTCCGCTCTCCAAAACTCTTACCCTTCCTCCTCCGGATCCTTCCGCCCGGAGCTCGTCGATCTCGTCATTAAACCGATGCTCGATTTCCTCCGCGAAACCGGTTCGCGCCTCATGATCAACGTCTACCCGTTCTTCGCCTACGAAGGAAACTCCGATGTGATCCCTCTCGATTACGCTCTGCTCAGAGAGAACCCGGGAATGGTCGATTCCGGCAACGGATTGAGGTACTTCAACCTCTTCGACGCCCAGATCGACGCCGTTTTCGCGGCCATGTCGGCGTTGAAGTACGACGACATCGAGATCATCGTGACGGAGACTGGATGGCCGTCGAAGGGAGACGAGAACGAAGTCGGAGCAACATTAGCAAACGCAGCGTCCTACAACGGGAACTTGATCCGCCGGATTTTAACCGGAGGCGGCACGCCGTTGCGTCCCAAAGCAGATCTAACCGTTTACCTCTTCGCTCTCTTCAACGAGAACAAGAAATTCGGGCCCACGTCGGAGAGAAACTACGGACTCTTCTTCCCCGACGAGAAGAAAGTCTACGACATTCCGTTCACGCACGAAGGCTTGAAGCATTACCGCGACGGCGGCGGTCATAACGCTCCGACGACCGGGAATCGACAGGTCGCGCCTCCGATTAGCAGCGGAGGCGTGTCGAAGAGCTTGACGGGAAGCTCTTGGTGCGTGGCGAATGGTGACGCCGGAGAGGAGCGTCTGCAGGGAGGTCTAGATTACGCTTGCGGTGAAGGAGGAGCTGATTGCCGTCCGATTCAGAAAGGTGCCACGTGTTACAGTCCCGATACGCTTGAAGCGCATGCTTCGTTTGCTTTCAATAGTTACTACCAGAAGAAAGGACGCGCCGGAGGTAGCTGTTACTTCGGCGGCGCCGCTTACGTCGTTAGCCAACCACCGAGTGCGTATTTTATCACTCTCTCTGGTCTTTTTAAATTAACGCGGCGTAGGTTAAGATTAGCTGTGATGGTTTAGTGGTAACATACGCCGTTTTAAGTGTTGCGCGTTTTTTGAGTGAGTGGTCTAGATTCGGTCAAATAGAGAGAGAGACAAATGTTCCCACGTGAGCGTCGATTATTTAGTGACGTGGCGTATATTCATTCGTTGATGACGTGATGCGTATGTGAATGTGATCCAGGGAGTAGATTGTTAATTTATGGGTTGGGTTAAAGCGAAACCTGTGATTCTTTTGGGGTTTAAAGTTGGATTTATTTTAGTGTTTAGGTGTGGTTTTATAAAATTGAATACTAAAGAAGCTGATTAGTTTAATTTAATGTGAATATGCAGAGTACGGAAGATGCGAGTTTCCGACAGGATATTGAGGAGGAAGAAGAGAATCCAAGGGAGAGGATTTGAGTTAGATTTGTTCTGCTATATATATGTTCGTATCTTGTTGTGTTTTGTTTAGCCGGAAGTTTTTAGTTAATTTTTGTAACTTCTGACTCTTAAATGTTGCATGTTGTTAATATCAACTGAAAAACGATGTTCTTGATATTTAATATGTTAGGTATGAGGTTTATAATATCGGCTGATTAATGTGTGTATGTTTCTTTGTTTGTTTGTTATAATATTGGTTTGGCGAATTGGGAAAAAAAGTTATAAGCGAAAGTGTATTAACTGGACAAGTCATTAAGAATAACAAGAACATACACTAAGTGAAAGCCAGCTTTTTGGTTAGTGAGCAATATATAGACTTCAAGGGAAAAAGTGAACATGAGAAGTCGACAAGTCATTGTAGAGATTCACCATCTTCACAACTTTGAGGTCTATGCGAACATCCTCTTGGGCATATATCTCCATCTCTTCAAACAAGGGAAAGACTCCAAAAAATGCTTTATAAATTCCATCTCTCTCTTTGTTCCTCTAAACCCTTTTAATCTCTATCTTTTTCACTGGACAAGATTTGAGGGAACGGCCTTTGTCCTCCCGAGTAATGCAGTCACAAGCATCCCCACATTTATCTGTCACATAGTGTTCAAGACCCTGAAAGCAGAAAGGAGAGACAATAAGAACATTTTGAGAGTACGATTCTCTCTGTCTTGGGTAACATTTTGACAAAGGAATAAGTTGTGTTTATTAATATACCTCAAGGACTAGAGTTTCTAAATGTGGACAGTTCCTTAAGAGAACCGGCATTGCTTGCCATCCTCGTCTCTTACTACTCTTAATCTTTAACCATTTGAGGTTGTTGAACACCGGCATCAATTCACAGCATACAGAAATCACCTGAAACAAGACAAACCTATTATGTGATATGTGTTTCAAAGATTCACATTAAGAGGATCTTTGATTCTTGCAAATACTTGGCATACAAATATTTTACATGGCTTGCTAATACTTAGCAACTGACCTCGAGAGTATCAGAAGATAAGCCAAGTTTCCGAACATTTCTTATGGCACTCATGAGCTTCCACACATTTCCAAATGGTCGAACCTCATCGTCCTCAATATCTAGCCCTCGTATTAGCTTTAATTGACCTTTCCGTGCCATAAGGTTGAGTCGAGCCTCAACCAAATGCTCCAAGTTAAGTTTTGGATAGTCCTCCGAGACAATATCATAGTAGTCAAGGTAAAGCAGACTTGGAGTATCAAAACAAGTGCTCTTTGGATTTTTGATGCTTCTTGAACAAATAGCAGAGATAGTTAGCTTCTTGAGGCTTGCACTTGACACGGTAACAGCCGTTCCTTTCCGCCTGAGAGTGTCTCTTATGTGTAATTCCTCAAGCAGAGGGGAAGCACGGAGAAGTATCTCGAGCTTATCTGAACAAACCCAACCTTGTTACTAATCAGAGTCTTAAGCATTGGTAAGAAAGCTCCTTCAACTCCAGGCCACGAATCATGATGAATTTAGTAGTTAATTTCAGGTTGACTAGTGTCCTGCTAACGAACGTCTCTTGAGGCAGCACATAACGATGATAATATGAAAAGTTCAAGGTCCGAGACACCACGATGCAACACATTACATATCCATCGATTCACATGATCTCTATCAACACCATTTCACACTTGAGGGAGAATCTCTTAATGGAAGAATACACTGCAAAGCCAACACTCTATCCACAAAATCCTCGAAGCTCTGAAGATCCCTTCCTTTTCGCTTACCCTTTTCAGGATGAAGAAACTCAGAGTCATCAAGAACAAGATTTGGGACAAAAGCAAGCAGATTGAGCCACCTCTTTGAGAGAACCGATGTTAAAGCAGCTTCCTTTGTCGTGAGGAAAGATAAAATATGACAAAGAAGCTCGTTAGGCAGACTGCTTACACGATCCATCTTACAAATAAACATCAATCAGTACCAAAACCAGATCAATCAATTGATTCAAACATCTTCTCTTCAGTAATAACACAAGTAAATTAGCTACACAAAGCTCCTAAGCTTTGGACATAAACCATTACCAAAACAGTTTGGGAAGGAAAGCTTAATCGCTCGTTTCTAGGGCCTAACGGAAACCGTCCAATTTGAAGAGAGAACAAAATTAATGCAGAGTTGGTTCTATTGTAGTAATGTACTATTTATATCCGATTCTTCAAACTTATCGGTTGAATTCGGTTAATGGGGTTGCTTGACTTTGGGCTGCCAACAATATCGAGGCCCAACTTGACTTTCGACAAATGTAAATACATAGCTAAAACGACGTTAGGTTCTAGATTTTAAATAGAAGATTTTGAAGGAGACTTTGACTAAAAAGCTATGAATCCTATGATTATGTAATTCTTTTTAAGTCGAAGACTCCTTTAATCTCAGTGTCAAATCTTTTTTTTTGAATATTATGTAAAATTTATTCAAAAACCAAACTTTTTTACAAACATGTGTAAACTAGTGTTTGAATTTGTTAAGGAGAATACAAGAAAGAGATTCATACTAAGCTATATCACGAGCACCAAACCATGCTTGCAATGCTGCTTCAGTGTCAAATCTTAACCATCACTCCATCAGTTTAATTAAAACACATTGTGCTAAGAATAAGATACATTGTTGGAAGAATCACTAGGCCACAGCCCACAGGGCGATATGTAATTGTTCGCATATTGTGTTTCACTTTCCAACGCACTGATAAAATAAGGTAAACAAAAAATTACAAAGAAAAGAAAATTCGACACTCTTATAGGCACATAAATAAATTGTCGGCAGCTACAACATTTAGTACTTGTAGAGATCAAAACTCGAGAGTCATTTACATTGTATAAATACACAATACATGTGGAAACTATAACAAACAATTAAAATACATGTGGAAACAAAAAAAACTCTCCACTCTAATCTTCTCACTCAGAACCTCAGCCATACAATTTAAGTAGACATGAGAGATCATTTTCAAGGACAAACTAAGAGAATAAAATAAAACAAAGCAGAAGGTGGATACTCAATAAAACCTGCATCCAAGACTTTCATAAATCGTTATATATATATATATATTAGAAAGAAAAGTTTGCCGGTTGATTTGAGTGTGTGTACTGTGTAGTATCAGTAATTGGAATCTTTGCTTTTAGTCAAAAGTAGAAGGCGCACTTTCCAGGTCTTCCACAATTGCAGTTTCTTACCTGTAAATAATTTGAGCAATTTGTTACCACTTTTTATAAAATTCCACTAAAACCAATTTGCACCAAATGCATTGAACTAAGTACCTAACTGACCAAAGATGATTACACATGGTATGAATAAATCCAAAGCCTCCACAGACTCACTAAATCCAAAGTAATTTTCAATATAACGATAAATTAAACGAATAATGAATGTCAGTGTCAGCCAACTCTATGAATGTCGCCAGTTTATAGTTAAGACATGTTAAGTCAATATCAACACTATAAGTCTATAACAGTATAATGCAACTATAATAACCCCTCGAGGCCACGTTCTAAAGGGACCCTTAAGTTATGCAATATCGTCCCATCTGTATTCCTCCTAATTCAATCAAATTAATAAACAAGTTGTAGAGTCCAAAAAAAGACATCAAATTCTTGTCCCACTCGTCACAGAAATGAATTAGCTGAGGGGTAAATTAGTCTTTTCACCATTTACTGATAGAACTTTTAAATTTACGAAAATGCCATCTAGACGCACCTTTAGTGATCTTTCCATGCTCTGGTGAAGATACTCTTGAGCCGGTTACCGGCGGCGAGTCTCTGAAGCGTTTTCTTAGCGCCGGAAACTTCCATCTCCTCCAGAGATTGAAGATGACGATCAGCTCCTAAGCTCATCAATTTCGTCCTCGCCGCATTGTTTCCCCCTGAGAGAATCGCCGCCACGATTATCACCGGAAGCTCTTTCGCAACCATCGTCTCGTTCCTCGGATCCAGCATTTGCACTAACCGAATCACGCTCTTCTCGTCTCTTATCAGCTCTTTCCGGTTTGATCTGACGGTGAGTAACGACTTCGCCGCTTCCGTCGCCGCCTCTTGTAACCCCGCCGGTTTCGTCGATTCCATGAGTTTGAGCAACGAGGGTAAACAATCGGAGATCGCTCGTTTGTTACCGTCGCTGATTGTTAATTTCGATAGTAGAGAAGATGAAATCTGTTGAAGGATTACGTTTCCGTGCTTCACGAATTCCCCTAATTGAATTATGAATCCCGTCGATGACGATAAAACTCTAGCGATGGAATCAATGGCGGATAATTGAGTTAGAGCAAGCAAAGCGTGCTCAATCGTATCCGGATTCGACGAATTCTGAATTAAATGAATCAGAATCTGCAATCCCCTCTCTCTAACAATCAAATCTCGGAAATACTCACCGGAAGATGAAAGTAAGGAGATGAAGTTCGCCGACTTTTCCTGCAACGAAGTTGAACCGGAGATTAGGAACGGGAGAAGAACCGGCACGGCTCCTTCCTCCGCGAGCATCGTCCTGATATCGTCCACGGCGGCGATGTTGCTTATAGCACCGGCGGTATGCTCTTGTACTTCTATAGATCCCGATCTGCAAGCTTCGATTAGAACGGTGACGCCGCCGTAAGCTGAGATAGCCCAGGCGGTTTCCGGATCGGCGGTTATGGCTTCAATTGCTACGGCGGCTCTAGTCTTTAGAGGCGGAGATCCTGTTTCGAGTAATCGTAAAAGAGGACCTAATCCTCCTTCTTCGTACACAGTTTTTCTCGAATCGACGCTTGAGGAAGTGAGCAACGAGACGGCGGCGAGAGCATGCTCGCGAATCAGAGGATGGTGGTGGAGATCGAGGAGAGTGACTAAGTAGCCGACATTACCTTCTTTAGCTACGATTCTTGCGGATTTCTCGCTATCAGTGAGAAGCTGAAGGAGAGACTCGAGCGATTTCTTCTTAAAATCGGCGCCGCCGATTTGGAGTCGAGTGAAGAGATCTCTGATGAAGAAAGCAATGTCGTCTTTATCGGAGGTAGAAGCAGGGAGGGACAAAACGATGGCGTTTTGATGAAGAACACCAGATCTGAGAAGAAGGTCGAGGTCACTGATGTGAGTGGAGAGAGAGGAGGAAGCGATGTCGAGGTCGCTTTGCATAAGGAGTTTTCCGCCGGAGAAAGAAGCGGAGGAGCATTGGTGGGAGAGAGAGTGAAGGCGTTGGAGATTGGAGAGGAGAGAAGGGAGGAGAGTGTGGAGGAGAGGGTTTTCGGACCAGTGAGGAGATTCGGATAAGGAGGAGAGTGATGAGTGGAGGGAGAAGAGCTTTGAGCGGAGGATCTGCCACTTTCCGATGAAGGAACGGACGGTGAGGGAAGAGAGGAGGAGGAGAGAGAGGACGTTTGTGATGAGGTCAAGAAGAGGTTGGAGAGGTGCGGTTGAGGGAGGTGGTTTAGTAAGTTCGCCGGAGACGGCGGCGGAGGAGTGATGCATGGAGGAGTGGAAAGAGAGAGGAAAAAAAAAGAGGGTCACATGAAGAAGAGAAAGAGAAGGGTTTTGGTTTTTTGGTTTTGCTTAGAGAGAAAGGTAAAGTGAAATGTGAATTGCCGGGAAAAAAAGAGAGGCGTGAAGACGAATTGTTTCTCTCTCTCTCTGTGATTGTGCTTTTGTGTGTATCACTTTTGTTTATGTGTACTTTGATGACAATATTTCAATCCTCTCTTGATGCCATGATTTGTGTCAGTCTAGTTCCGGATTATCTACAGCGGTGAATGAGTCAAACAAGCGAAATATACGCAAATATAACAAAACCGGTATAAACCAAACCAAATCACGACAGGAAATTAGAACCGAGAGACACAAAACCAATACAGAAACAAAATGTTCTTCGTTTTCAGCTTCTGTAGTTCTGTTTTATGGCATTTGTAGAAATGAAAAAGAAAATTAACGAGGTAGACTCCGAAGTTTTATACTTCGTAGTATAAATTTCCTCTGGGTGGATAAGATAGATTTCTATTTCGTTAAACTTCATATTTTGGATCAAATTGTTTAAGCTTATCGATGCTTCCACTTGCTTGATCTTTTTTTATCGATGCTAACGTCGTTTCAGTTTATGTATTCACATATGTCCAGAGTTAAGTTGGGCCTCGATATGCTGCAGCATATTTTCGCAGCCCAAAGTCAAGCAAACTCTATAACCGAATTAAACCGATAAGTTTGACGAACCGGATCAAATAGAACAATAGAACCAACTTTGCATTAAAACTGGATGGTTCGTTCGTCTTCTCCGATGGTTTTGCTTCCATAGAGACGGCCGGTCGATGGAGATCTTCACTGATGAAACGAGATATTTTGCTCTGACTAAAATAATCTGATTTCATTAATTCTGTAAACAATACAATTGGACGCTTATATACAGTAGACCAGACTTAAACCAGAGCCTAAACATTTGATCAAACCGACCTTAATTAAACTGGTTTATACTTATACCAGTTTACAAAGACTATATAAATTAATAACGCATTACCGAAATACCTAAACTTTGGGTTTTTGTAAAGAGGTAAATTCCAAAATTTACTCGTCTCTTCTGCTTTCTACTGATTCTATTCTCCGCTGCTGAGTTTCTGAGCTAAAAGTTTTATATTTTCGTTATTAAACTTGTTAAATTTTCATCTTTTGTATCAATCAATTGTACCAGTTTAGCTTATCAATGCTTCCACTTGCTTGAATTTTACTTGATGTTCTGATAAAAGGTTCGAGATTTGTATACTTGCATGTTATACCTCTTTTGCGCAAAGAATAGTGATGACTGATGAAAGGTTTTGGTACTGACTGATGTTTAAATTTCTTAGGAGCTTTTGTGAAGATGGATCACGTAAGCAGTCTGCCTAACGAGCTTCTTTGTCATATTTTGTCTTTCCTTACGACAAAGGAAGCTGCTTTAACATCGGTTCTCTCAAAGAGATGGCTCAATCTGCTTGCTTTTGTGCCTAATCTTGTTCTTGACGACTCTATGTTTCTTCATCCTGAAGAGTGTAAGCGAGAAAGGGAAGGGATTGTTCAGAGCTTCGAGGATTTTGTGGATAGAGTGTTGGCTTTGCAGGGTCATTCTTCCATTAAGAGATTCTCCCTCAAGTGTGAAAATGGTGTTGATAAAGATCGTGTGAATCGATGGATATGTAATGTGTTGCATCGTGGTGTCTCGGACCTTGAACTTTTCATATTTGATCATCGTTATGTGCTGCCTCAAGAGACGTTCGTCAGCAGGACACTGCTCAAACTGAAATTAACTACTAATTTTGGTGATGATCCGTGGTCTGGAGTTGAAGGAGCTTTCTTACCAATGCTTAAGACTCTGAGTAGCAACAATTGTTGGGTTTGTTCGGATAAGCTCGAGATACTTCTTCGTGCTTCCCCTCTTCTTGAGGATTCACACATAAGAAGCGCTCATTGGCGGAAAGAAACGGGTGTTACCGTGTCAAGTGCAAGCCTCAAGAAGCTAACTATCAATGCTCTTGGTTCCGTAGGCATAAAAAATCCAAAGAGCATTTGTTTTGATACGCCAAGCCTGCTTTACCTTGACTATTCTGATCTTGTCTCGGAGGACTATCCAAAACTTAACTTGGAGCATTTGGTTGAGGCTCGACTCAACCTTATGGCAGAGGAAGGTCAATCTAAGCTAATACGAGGGCTAGATATTGAGGACGATGAGGTTCGACCATTTGGAAATGTGTGGAAGGTCATGAGTGCCATAAGAAATGTTCGGAAACTTGGCTTATCTTCTGAAACTCTCGAGGTCAGTTGCTATTATGCTAAGTATTTGCACTGATCACAAAGCAGAATCAAAGATCCTCTTAATGGGAATATTTGAAACAAATATCAGATAATAGGTTCTTGTCTTGTTTCAGGTATATTCTGTATGCCGTGAATCAATGCCGGTGTTCCACAACCTCAAATGGTTAGAGATTACGAGTAATAAGGTACAAGGATGGCAAGCAATGCCAGTTCTCTTAAGGAACTGTCCACATTTAGAAACTCTAGTCCTTAAGGTATAATAAACACAACTCATTCCTTTGTGAAAACATTACCAAAGACAGAGAATCATTCTTTGAAATGTTCTTATTGTCTCTCCTTTCTGCTTTCAGGGCCTTGAACACTATGTGACAGATAAATGTGGGGATGCTTGTGACTGCATTTCTCGGGAGGACAAAGGTCGTTCGCTCAAATCTTGTCCAGTGAAAAAGATAGAGATTAAAAGTCTTAGAGGAACGGAGAGAGAGATGGAAATGGTAAAGCATTTTTTGGAGTCTTTCCCTTGTTTGAAGGAGATGGAGATGCACGTCGAGGATGAGGATAAACTTAGCAGGTATGAAGATCCTATTAATTTTGAATATATTGTGAAGATGGTGGATCTCTACAATGGGTTATCGAGTTGTCATGTTCGCTTCCTGCCCGTGAAATGAGTCTACAAACTTGGTCATTGGTACTCTCTGCTTTTCTCAACCACTTTTCTTGAATACCAAGGCATTTGACATTTGAAGTTTTGAACCACTTTGTTACTATTACACTTGTGAGCCACTTGACCTTTACCTTAAAGTAGACTTTGCGTCCTATAAAAGCGTATCACAAACTGTTACCTGTTCTTATATGTATGGATGGTCTGTTTTGCGCATCAACATAAAGCTTCATATAACATCAAATTAGAACCGAGAGACACAAAACCAATCCAGAAACAAACTGTTCTTCGTTGTAGCTTCTGCTTACTCGTCTCTTCTGCTTCTGCCGACTGAATTTTCTTTCAGGGTTTTGTAGTATAAATTTCCTCAGGGTAGATAAAAATAGATTTCTATTTCGTTAAACTTCATATTTTGGATCAAAATTATTTAAGCTTATCGATGCATCCACATAGGCCTGCGATTTAAAACCGAACCGATCATGCCGAACCGAACCGAACCGAGTTATGGTTAGTTCGGTTATGCTTTAGTTACAAGAAGAAAACCGATCGGTAAGATTATTAATTATGTTCGGTTATCAGTTAGTTCGGTTCGGTTCAAGCAAACCGAACTGTTAACCAACAAACACACAAAACCCTAAATCTAATATATGTGCCGCCGCTTCTTCACTTCTTCTTCTTCATTTTTTTCTTTTCTTCGATTCTTCTCCTCCTCTTCTTCCCTCTTCTTCGTCTCTTTCATCGATTCCTCTTTGTTTTATGCTTCTATTCCTTTCCTTTTCTTCTTCTTCTCCTCTTCCTCCTCGGTTCTCTTTTTCCTCTTAATCTGTAAAATTTTAAGAAGGCTGTGATTTGTCTATGGTGAGAGGTGTTTAGGTTACGTCGGAATTGGTTCTCCAATTATGTTGAGAATAGGCTAGGATGGGTTCTACAAAGTTTCCCTCTCATAACCTCCGGTGTTGAGTCAGTCATCAGATTTTGGGAACGTTCCCAAATCATTCTTCGTTCTTCTCCGATTCTCCAAATAAACCAAATTTTAATTAGAAACAGAAAATTTTGGTTAAAATTTAATTACAAAAGAAAAACTTCGGTTATCTCGGATAACCGACTACCGAACCGATAAGAATTTCGGTTAGTTTCGGTAAGATTTTAGAATTTCGAAATAACCGAAAAACCGAAGTAACCGGCCGGTTCGGTTCGGTTAAACCGAAGTCGCAGCAGTTCCACTTACTTGATCTCTTATCGATGCTAACGTTGTTTCAATTTATGTATTCACATATGTCCAAAGTTAAGATGGGCCTCGATATGTTACAGCATATTTTCAAAGCCCAAAGTCAAGCAATCTCTATAACCGAATTAAACCGATAAGAACCGGATCAAATAGAACAATAGAACCAACTCTGCATTAATTTTGTTCTCTCTTAAATCTCGATGGTTCGTTCGTCCGTCTTCTCCGATGGTTTAGCTTCTCTCTGAATAAGCTTTCCTCTCCTTCTCACTGGACGCATTCGCCTAAATGCCTAAACTTTGGGTCTTGGATTAAGCGATCTTGTAAAGAGGTAAATTCTTCTGCTTTCTACTGATTCTATTCTCCGCTGCGAGTTTCTGAGCTCAAAGTTTTCTATTTTCGTTGATAAACTTGTGAAATTTTCATCTTTTCAATCAATTGTGTGTACCATTTTAGCTTATCAATGCTTCCACTTGCTCGAATTTTACTTGAATGTACCGGTCTAGCTTTAAACCATTCTCTGTCTGTAGATTGTTTCATCGCTGATGTTCTGATGAAAGGTTTGAGATTTGTATACTTATTATACCTCAATGCACTGAAGCTGAACAGAAATCTCCTTTGGGGGTGTGTTTGTTTTTGTTCGGATGTTTCGGAATCAATTTGCTTGGTACTGTTCTGGGTATAACTGCTTTCGTACTGATTGATGTTTTAAATTTCTTAGGGGCTTTTGTGAAGATGGATCGTGTAAGCAGCCTACCTAACGAGCTTCTTTGCCATGTATTGTCTTTCCTTACGACAAAGGAAGCTGCTTTAACATCGGTTCTCTCAAAGAGGTGGCTCAATCTGCTAGCTTTTGTCCCAAATCTTGTTCTTGATGACTCTGTGTTTCTTCATCCTCAAGAAGGTAGGGAAGGGATTCTTCAGAGCTTTGAGGATTTTGTGAATAGAGTGTTGGCTTTGCAGTGTAATTCTTCCATTAAGAGATTCTCCCTCAAGTGCGGAAATGGTGTTGATAAAGATGGTTTGAATCGATGGATATGTAATGTGTTGCATCGTGGTGTCTCGGACCTTGAACTTTTCATGAATGACGATCGTTATGTGCTGCCTCAAGAGACGTTCGTCAGCAGGACACTAGTCAACCTGAAGTTAACTACTAAATTTCGTCATGATTCGTGGCCTGGTGTTGAAGGAGCTCTCTTACCAATGCTTAAGACTCTGATTAGTAACAGAGGTTGGGTTTGTTCAGATAAGCTCGAGATACTTCTCCGTGCTTCCCCTCTGCTTGAGGAATTACACATAAGAGCCGGTCTTAGGCGGAAAGGAACGGGTGTCACCGTGTCAAGTGCAAGCCTCAAGAAGCTAACTATTTATGCTGGTTTAATAGGCTTCAAAAATCCAAAGAGCATTTGTTTTGATACTCCAAATCTGCTTTACCTCAAGTATTTTGATCTTGTCACGGAGGATTATCCAAAACTTAACTTGGAGCATTTGGTTGAGGCTCGACTCAACATTATGGCACGGGAATGTCAATTAAAGCTACTAAGAGGGCTAGATATTGAGGAGGACGATGAGGTTCGACCATTTGGAAATGTGTGGAAGCTCATGAGTGCCATAAGAAATGTTCGGAAACTTAGCTTATCTTCTTGTACTCTCGAGGTCAGTTGCTATTATGCTAACTCTTTGCACTGATCATAATGTAGAATCAAAGATCCCCTTAATGTGAGTATTCGAAATAGATATCACATAATAGGTTTTGTATTGTTTCAGGTGTTTTCTGTGTGCTGTGAATCAATGCCGGTGTTCCACAACCTCAAATGGTTAAAGATTAAGAGTAGTGAGCTACGAGGATGGCAAGCAATGCCGGTTCTCTTAAGGAACTGTCCACAATTAGAAACTCTAGTCCTTGAGGTATAATAAAGTACAACTCATTTCTTTGTCCAACATTACCAAAGAGGCAAAGACAGAGAGAATCACTCTCTGAAATGGTTCTTATTGTCTCTCCTTTCTGCTTTCAGGGTCTTGAACACTATGTTACAGATAAATGTGGGGATGCTTGTGACTGCATTACTCGGGAGGACAAAGGCCGTTCCCTCAAATCGTGTCCAGTGAAAAAGATAGAGATAAAAGGGTTTAAAGGAACAAAGAGAGAGACGGGAATGATTAAGCATTTTTTTGAGTCTTTCCCTTGTTTGAAGGAGATGGAGATGCATGCCGAGGAGGAGGATGATCTTAGTAACTCTGAAGTTCCTGTTAATCTTGAATATATTATGAAGATGGTGAATCTCTACAATGAGTTATCGAGTTGTCATGTTCGCTTCGTGCCCGTGAAATGAGTCTACATACTTGGTCATTGGTACTCTCTGCTTTTCTCAACCACTTTTCTTGAGTACCAAGGCATTTGACATTTGAACCCTCCCAACTACTGTATTATTTTGAACCACTTTGTTACTATTACACTTGTGAGCCACTTGACATTTACCTTAAAGTAGACTTGGTTGCTTGCCTCCTATAAAAGCGTAGCACAAACTCTTACCTGATTTATATGTATGGTCTGTTTTGCACATCAACATAAAGTTCATATAACACTTGATGGTTAAGAGAGTTTGAAAGGTAAATTGTTACAAACCGTGTGCAAGAGTTACATAACAAGGAGATTGATCATGATGATTAACAGATAATAGGGTTTTAGAAGATAATTGTATATCTGATTAATTTCCCCAAATGGCTAATCTACATAGTGTTCTCAAACAATAAACCAACTAAACCAAGCTCAAAATAACTAAACCAAGGGAATATATATGATGAACCAAATAATATTTCCTGTAACACTATATAAAAAGAGTAGATGGCAAGCCCTAATTTTTATTTCACAGCATGACGAGAATGTGGAATCTCTCGCAGGATATGGTGGAGGAGATACTCTCTAGGGTTCCAATAAATTATTTAGGAGCGGTGAGATGTACCTGCAAAGGATGGAATGGTTTAACCAAAGATGAGAGCTTTCCAAAGAAGCACTGTGGTAAAGCAGCCAAAGGGCATCTCAGAATCATGATTTATGAGTCTAAGGCTTGTTTAATGAGCGTCAATCTCCACAACAAGAAAGGCTTGGTTGATCCATCTGCAATGATTATAGGTAACTTCCTTAATCAACTCAAGATAATCAAAGTCTTTCAATATGACGGCTTATTGTTATGCTTCACCAAGAACCTCGAGCTAGTGGTGTGGAACCCTTATTTGGGGCGAGCCAGATGGATCCAACCAAGAAGAGAATTCACCGTGATAGATACTTACCGTATTGGATATGACAAGAGCAACAAGAACTATAAAATCTTGAGGTTATGGATTTGTTACGATGGTGACGACAACTTAACTTCAGAGTACGAAATCTACAACTTGAAGTCTAATTCATGGAGAGTTATTGACGCCAATTTCGATCATTGGTGTATAACATAATAATAACATACAACTTATAAAAAAACTAGTGAAGGAGAATCATCTGTTGGACATTGACAGGATATGCGTCGGTAGGTGGGCCGTAGAAAGCTCGTCTGACCAGAATTGAGAGAGCAGTCTGAGTAGGATGAAATGCATCCCAAAATACATACTGTGACCTGTTAGGACAAGGACTCTGCAACGGCAAACATGAGACTTGTCCTCTGTTCCTCCCATTCCCACAACAAGCCCTGTCCACTACGCTGAATCCTGCATCATATTATATATAAACCAGTATTGATTAGAGTAGAAGAAACTCTCTTAGCAGCCATGTATAATCTAGGAGGAGTTTTATACCGTAAGCAGCTGGGTTGTTTAAGATGTCACCAACGCCGCTGTACGTGTTGCCATAAACAAAGATGGCTCCAGGTGATCGCTGGTTCAGCTGGTCAACAAGTGATCTTAGCCCTTGGTTAAACGTGCCTAGAATCTGGTTCACACTATCAACGCATCTCTCAGGTGGTCCAGCACCGGTGGCTCTTTGGTTTGGTATGCAGCCTAGTGGTCCTACTCCAGGAATGAATACTCTCCTTAGACCTAGGCTATACAACGTCTACACACACAGGCGTTCAAATGTCAATAAGACGGTTCACTCAAGGATACTACATGCAAACCCTAGCTAGAGGTCACATGATCAAATCATACACGAAGTTGTCGAGCGTATTGAGTGAGAAGGAGGTTGGCGAACTCAGCCGGCCTGTATCTGGTGCTGGAGAGGTAGAGATTAGGCATAAGGTAGTTGTTGATATAGTCATTGCTTCCAAAAACAAGAACCACAAGCGATCTTGCCAAGTGATCCGTATAGTTTTGTGGACTCATCATCGTTCTCAACTGGCTCAGCGTCGTCTGGAGGTTCACCATTTGCTGGCTCAGGCTGAATCTATCTCCCTGCACATTAAACCCATCACTCTCTTATCTTATATCAACACTACACACCATCATCTCTTATGACACACACAAAAGCTAAGAGGTTACATAGTTTCGGCCTGATTCATCGAGGATGCCAGCAGCTGCAGAAGCATAGTTAACTCCTCCGAGGATTCTATTGCCTGATGTGGTTGGATCCGCAAAGGGAGGAGGTGACGAGATTCCTAACAACCGAGCTGTTTTTACATAACAGTTTCAGTTATTTTTTTTTGGTGGTGTTTCAGCAAGAAAATTGATTCTTTTACAAAGACTTCTGTTGAAGTGTCTAAATTAAAGCCTTACCAAGTAAATCAATGAAATTCAGGCCGTTGCTAAACCTGCCAGTAGGACGGAAGTTTAAGTCGATGCCATAAGGCAAGTAGTTGGCTCGAGCTACGGACGCTAGAAAGTTGTTGTTCCCAACATCGACCAGTGAGTCTCCGAGCACAAACATAGCCGGAACTCTAGCTTGTCCGGTCACCAACTCAGGCTGCTGTAATATAACAGACGCCACCACCGCAACTATAAACGCATATCCTCTAATTTGGTTTCTCATCTTTTTTTTTTTGGTTTTTCATTCGTTAGAATGTGAATATGGAACGTTATTATTATATATAAAGGTTCTAAGCAAAACATGATGCATGTGACCACAAAGGAGTTATCTTCCGGATTTTGTTCTGTTTCAGTTTTGTAACGGCTCTCTTTCATTTTTGGTTGCGTCGTCGGTGCATGTACGTAAGTGAGTCAATAAGCTTGCATCGTGTTAAACATTCACTTAAGAAGAGACTCAAAATGCATACGCGCGCATGACGTATTTATTCGCCCTATCGGGATAAAAATCAAGAAAATAATGAGCACAAGATTATCTGACTAAAGAAGGATTGTTATTTTTGTCATTTTGTTCGAATATCAATTAAATCCCACATCGGAATATTATACAAGAAATGTCTAATATATAAGTAAGGTCTAACCTAAAAAGTAAGTGTTGGATATCAATCCAACTACCACATCGGAACTTAGTTAAAGAAATGTCTAATATTCTAATGTGGGAGTTGAATTGATATCTAACATTACTATTTAGGTTGGACCTTGCTTATATATTAGAAACTTCTTATCTAATATTCCGATGTGGGATTTGGATTGATATCGAACAAATTTTAATGCAAATATGAGAATGAACTACAATTGAATACTACAAAACGAGTGTTTTAGGTTTACACGAAATAATGTTTTATGGAAGATATCCAAATGGGGTTAAGGATTGACCGCATGGTTTCAGTATTACTTCCTGTGTCCTATATTATAAGCTGTTTTGGAAATTTTTTTTGTCTCAAATTATAAGCTGTTTTCTAAAACTAATGCACTTTTTACTTGAATGTTGTGTGTCCAATTATATTTTGTAGTCTTTTTTTCATGATTGGTTGAGTTATATTTATTTATATATTAAATAATATTTTACTTTTAAAAACTAATTTTCATGATTTTTGTATTTTACCTTAAACAACTTATATAATGAGACAAAGAGAGTACTAGAAAAAGTAGAGAAAACGACAGAAGAGAATGAAACTAAGAGAATGAAACTAGAGAGCAATAGTTTAAGTAAAATGGTGGAATGATATAATAAGACAATAATATTCACTTAACCACAAATTTTCGTAAAATCCAAAATCATTTACAATCTACTTCATCCGATATTATGATCTAAGTTCTAACTATTAAAACGCGACATTTAAAAAGAAATAACGACACAAGTCATTGTATAGATCACGACAAGAATTAAGCTGCCAAAGGCATTCCATTTTACGATATTAGCCTTTCGAAATTGTGTGTACGCTACAAGTATCCCAGATTTATTACAGGGGTATAATAGAGAAGGTAACAAAAATCGCGTTTGGCGATTGGTTATAAAACCTTTGAGAAAATTATTGCGTTTATTTGCAGCCAATTTTCCTCAAGCATTTGCCGCTCGGGTTTCTTCTTAGCTCAGTCGTCAGTAGGTCACGCCAAGTAGCGAATCGAGAGTGAAAGCGACGGCGAGAGATATGGATCCAGCGGAGGAGGAGAAGGACTGGGAGGACTGGTGTTTCGTCTGCAAAGACGGTGGAGACCTATTGCTCTGTGACTACAAGTGACTCTCTCTCTATCTCTCTCTTGATTCTTGATAATCTGAGAAAATCTGCAAACAATTCAAGAATTCTGTTGTATAAAAAACCCGTCAAGATGATTATTAGAGCATTGTTTGTGACATGTAGTTTAAATGTATGCATCTACCTCTCATTGAGCTTTGCTCATTTCAGGGACTGTCCAAAAGCTTACCATGCCTCTTGCGTTGGAGATGACAACACCTCAGCTAAAGAGAATGAAGATTCGTTTATCTGCAGTAAGTGCTAATGGTTTCACTATTTATGTCTCCTTTGTATTAATATAATGGTTTTATGTCGGAAAATTGAAGTAAAATATAGTTCAAGCTTCTTGCAAACCTCTTTTTTTAATCATTAAAATGCATAAAAATTGTTTCTTTATGCCTGCAGGAGCCATTAGTAACTCAAAGTAACAACCTTTAGATCAATTTTTTTTTCTGTTGATTGAGTTTTATGTATATGAAAACTATAATCTTACCTTTGCTAGGTTCTTGGGCCTGTTAGAATTTTCCAAGCACAAAACTTTGAAATGTCATATTTGCAGTCATAAGGCTAATGTATTTGCTTTCTGGAGGGATTAGTTTTAATATTGTAAAGTTGCAATTTTTCAGAATGGCACAGTTGCTACTTGTGTGGGAAGAGTCCGAAGCTACACTGTCTTGCTTGCCCACATGCTGTATGTGAAGACTGTGTTACTCATGCTGAGTTTATTAACCTTAAAGAGAAGAAAGGGTTATGCAATCAGTGCCAAGAGTATGTCTTTTTTGTAGAAGAGATTCAAATGTATGACGCTGCTGGGGTATGTTTCAATCTTCCATAACCATATATCACTTACAGTGTCCTGTCTTATTTAGATACTAATCTTGAAATTTTTGGTAACCACCTGTTGTTTAGGCTTTGTAAAACAAAAGCAAAGCTTGAATCTGTGCTTTTATAATACAAACTTTCTGACATTTTGAAAATGTTATTTACTGGTTTTGCAGGATAAGATCGACCTGACAGATCGGAATACATTTGAGTGTCTGTTTCTTGAGTGTTGGGAAATAACAAAAAAACAAGAAGGTATAACTTTTGACCATGTCATTGACGCCAAAAAATCACAAAAGAAAGTTGCCAAGTTAAGACCCAAAGTTGATCCCAGATCTTCTCTTCATGATGCCTACACTTCAAAAAAAGGCGTCGACAAGCTGAAGCACAAAGCTGATCCTAAGTGTACACTATCTGATAATGTGGTTGAGATTGATGCAGAAGATTACAAAAAGAAGAAGATGGAGTATATCAGATGGGGTTCAAAGCCGCTCATTGATTTCCTAACATTCATGGGGGAAGATACCAGAAAGGCAATGTCACAGCATAGAGTGGAGTCTGTTATCCACAGATACATTCGTCGGAAAAACCTGCTTGACCCTAAAAAGAAGAAGAAAGTTCGTTGCGATGAGAAGCTATATTCTATCTTCAAGAAGAAGTCTGTGAAGCAAAGAAAGATTTACACACTTTTAAAGGCTCACTTCAGAGAGAACCTTGAAGAGGTCAAGTATGTGGCACGTTCGGAACGTGGCTGCTTCAGTGGAAATAATGGAAAGGTTCTAGTGCCGCCGCGCAAGAAGCAGAAAATAGATGAGAGAACGTGTGAGAAAGAAGTGGAACCTGAATTGCTGTCAACCGAGACTTGTGTAGAGGAAGTGAAACCTGAAATGCAGTCAACCGAGACTTGTGAAGAGGAAGTGAAACCTGAAATGCGGCCAACTGGTTTGGCTACGATCAGTGCAGATAATATAAAGCTTGTTTATCTGCGGAAGAGCTTAGTTTTAGAGTTGTCGAAGCAGAGTGAGAGCTTTAATGAAAAAGTGGTGGGAAGCTTTGTGAAAGTGAAGAATGGCCCAAGGGACCGTCTAGCTTTCCAGATCTTGGAGGTTACAGGTAACCAGGACCTGTGATTATTTCTATTATAGGCTTTGGTGTTTGTTCTTTATATCTTCTAGATTTTAGATAATTATGAATGTTTTGCTTTTTTCTTTTGTTACATGGCAGCATTAGACATTGTAATCTATGAACTTCTCATCCGTGTCATGACCACTCCATCACACTCACTGACTCACACTCGAATCCTTTTCTGCAGGAACTAAAACTGCTGATGACGAAAGTCAGAGCGTGTTTCTTTATGTTGCTGGTATGGAGAGTGATGTTAGTATTTCGAGGTTGGATGATTCCGACATAAGCAAGGTGATTTATGTCTGAGCCTAATTCATTTATATCACCACTTTATTTCATTCTTCTCTTTCATCTGTGTTTGGATAAAAAGAAAGAACAGTTTTGCTGCATTCATTGACACATGAACTTTATAAAATTCAGTGGTTAAAACCTTCCTTAAAATTTGCTGCCTAAAATGTTAAAACCTCCACCGTTCTTCTTTCAGGAAGAGATAGAAGATTTGAAGCAAAAAGTGACGAGTGGCCTGTTGAGACAGCCAACAGTTGTAAGTTGTTAATGCAAAGAGTATGGTTTCCTGTTTGGATCGAATATAGCTCCATTAAGGTGACGAATCTCTTTGTAGGTTGAGATGGAGCAGAAGGCTACGGCTCTCCATGAGGATATAACAAAACATGTGAGTATCTCTCTGAATTCACACAAGTTAAATACTTTCATGTTAAAAAAAAAACAGACTGGGTTACTCACTCGTGTGTGTGTTTTGGTGCTGCATGTCACATTAAATAGTGGATAGCAAGGCAGCTTGTGATTCTGCAGAGACGCATCATCTGTGCTAATGAGAAAGGATGGAGAAAAGAATATCCTTTGAAATTCTATCATCTTTAAAATTTTCTTTCATATGATCCCTACATACATTGAACACCTTAACTATTGTCCCTTACATTAGAGGAGTATCTAGAGGAGAGGGAACGTCTCCAAAAACCTTCAGAGCAGGAGAGATTATTAAAAGAAACTCCAAGGATCATTGAAGACCTCATCGAGATTAAACAAGAGAATAATAGCGGTCTGTCTCAGGACGTTGCGATAGAGATCGACTGAGTAACCAAGAGGAAGAGGACTGTATCATTTTGTTTGTGTGTGTTTGTATTTTGGGTTAGGAAACTAGAATGGAAGTTTTCTCTTCCATTAGAACTTAGGCTAATCTCTTTAAGCTCTTACTTTTGGCACTGACATGCCTTCGCAGAACCAAGAATCTAGGGGCTGCTTATGTTTTGTACTTTTATCTGATGGCCATGGTATCCAAGTGACATGACATGTTCAATGTTTCATGTACGTTGTCTGCTCTTAGAGTTGTTGAAATCAAAGTCCTTGCTATTTGCTATTACTTGGACTCTGTAGGAACCAATATATATATACATGAGCTTTCAAGAAATAAATCTGCTAAACTTCTCCAATGAGAGGAAATGTAACATGCATTAATAAGTACATTCATTTTCTTCCAATTACTTAAAGATAGTATATACATGACACTTGCAGAAATGAGAGTGCTAATTTCTGTTGACATGACATAACTACAACTATTACAAGGCCAGACTCTGCTTCGTCACTTCCATTTTGTTGAGAAGCCCTCTCATCTCTTCCTCCATCCTCATCTTCATTTCGTAAAACTCTCTCTGCCCTCTCTCCACTGCCTCCAACTCCTCGAGCCTCCTCCTCCTTCTCTCCTCTGCCTCTTCCACACTCAGCTTCCCCATTCTCCTCTTGTACTCTTCTTCTATCTTCTCCTTCTTCGCAATCGCTATTCGTTTCAGCCCCTCTGCTTCCCTTCTCGCATCGTCCGCACGCCCTTGGAACATCGCTGCCTCTGCTTGCTTCATTCTCACGATGCTCTCTAGTTCTTCGAAACGAGGCTCCTTTGGAGATTCCCTTTTCAAACTTGTCTCCACTCCGAACATTTCACCTTGTCTCTCTCTCTGGAATCCACCATCAAGTACACTTACTGACCTTTTCAGCTGATGGTGCGGTTTGTCTGAGCACACCGATCTCAGCCACGCCGTGTCCTGACTCGGGCTTCCCCTCTCGTGCCTTGGTTTCGGCTGTTCGTATCTCAACGGTTCACAAGTTTCAACAGGAGTGGAGGAATCACAGTCTGCCATCACAAAGCAAAGTATTGATCAGGACAATGTAACCAATATGTGTTCACAAGCACATTGTGATCAGATAGATAAGGATATATAAATAAGAAAGATAAAAGCTTCGCAATTTAAACAATTATGCACACCTGAAATGAAACCCAATAACCGATTGCAAGCTTCAGGAAGGTCAATCAATTTACTTTTCAAACTTGCCAGCATCGCATCAGCAGCTTGTCTCAGCTGTTTCCCTCTAAAGTCTTTGCTTGATGAGAATATCTTGATGACATATTCCAGCTCCTTGTAAAACCGCTCATGTTTCCATTCCCTGGCAAAATTCAGAAACACTTCTTTGACAAATCCAAACATCTCCGAGGGATGGTTACAGGCGACGCAGTGGAATTGCATCTCGGTCATTCCTGTAGCACCCGAAGCACTGATCCCATTCCTGATGTAAGACTCTCGTATCCCACATTCTGTGTGGCACCAGTGAAGACACACATCGCACCCAACCCAGCTACAGGTGTTGGAAGCCATATCGAAGTTTGAGCACAAAAGACACATGCAAGCACTACAAAACCCATCCTTCCTTGAACAAACCCTGCAATCACATTCATCCACAGGCACTGAAACCCTACAAGAAAGGTTTTTACATCTAATGTTCATGTAGATCTCAGCTAAATGGGTAGAAGAGACGCTGTTGTCCAACTCAAGGAAATCAGAACGTCCGGTTTTCAGAGCGACCAAGATCTCCAGCTGAGCACGATGAGATTTCATAAGCAATTCCAGAGTTATATCAGTCCTGTTCTGCAGAGCATCCTGAAAAGCACCAAGCTGTGAATTCTTATCCATGTGCAGCATCATCTGCCGGATGTTTTCCTTCAGGCTAGTTATGTACCGCGTGGGCATCTCATGAAACCTCTTGGTCATCACATGCATAGAGTCGGAGAGAATGTATCTTATGACCGTCTCAACAGATTCATCCCCACCAGCGTCCAGGCCACTTACGCTACCACCGAAAAAGTCCTTGGCTTTCTTCTTCTCAACATGAAACTTCGAATCATTTTCAAGAGAGACCGTTCTTGGACATGCTGATCTACTAACATCAACACTTTTCTGGAAACTCAACTGTTTCTCAACCCTATTTGCTGCCTTAGAGCCCCCATCGGTCAATCTAAGATGCTCTTCATCAGCTTGACCCGGGATTAAAATGCCTTTCCTTGATTGAGGATGAACTGAACCATTCCCATTCTCCATCAATTTCTGATACACTGTATTCTCGTTGTACGTCGAATCGTTATGAGACAGTGCCTGCCAATCTATACCCTGAAATATAGGCCGGCTATGAACTGACTGCTCATTATCTCCAATGTTGTGATTCAACGAACAGCTTGGATTATGATTAAACGAACGCGAACCTGAAAAGGACATGGACATGGTGAAGCCTTCGGAATCAGTACGAAACGTGTCTGTCATAGAACGAACACTTTCAGAGCGGACTGGTGAACCAAGAGGCTGATTAGTATCCTGGCCACCACCAATCGGCAACAATACATCCGGTAGGCTAAGAGACAGATCCAGTGGCTCTAACAACAACTTCTCATCCTTTGGCTTATTGACACCTAAATGCTCGGTTTTATTTTTTTTTCTAACCGGAGCACTAGAGAACAGTTCAAACCCTCTAATACTCGGTCCTCCGATGTTGCCATCTTCATCTTCAACTCTGTCAGTAAGATCCTCAGGCTTTCTTTCTGAAAAGACAGCATTTCCAAGTAAACGAGTAAGTGGAGCATCCAAGTTTTTGCCTTTCTCCTCGCTTTTGTGGTTGGAGCTATCTGATACAATGCTAATGTATCTTGCAGGCGATGATCTAGCATTTTCCTCAACGCATTTTGAGGCTTCAACTTCTCCTTTGTTGGCGTCACCACCACCATCACTACTACCCTTCACTTGATTAAGCTCTTCTTCCTGAAACCGTTCAGGAACAGCAGGTTCAAGACTTTCTTCCAACTTCACTTCATGGTTCTCCTTGTATTGCCCTTCTTTGTCACCTTTATCTGTAATCTCCTCGACAACAGCAGTATTTCTCTCATCTCTAAGCTCGTCTTCACTAGACAAAGCTTTAGAACCATGCTCAGGAAGATTTTCCCCTTTCTCAACACTTTTCTTATCGTTTTTACTCTCAGCAACTTTCAGTTTCCTATCACCAACCACATGACAGGCTTCCCTGTTACTACTTCCAGTTTCGACTGTTGATAAGTTATCATCAAAGTCACCATTTTTTTCTGAGCTACTGTCAATCCTTTCGTTGTTATGATCACCAGCTTGAGCAGCCCCTGATGCGGTCTCTGGTTGAGGCTGTGGCTGTGGCTCTGGCTCCAGCTCACCTTCCTCCATCTCGCTACTGCATCTACTGCTCTTACCCTGCACTTCCTCCTCGCTTTTTTTGACAACATTTCCAACACTCTTAGACTGCTCACTACCGGAATCCTTTGACCATGTTGGGGAAGCTAGGGATTTGGATTTGGATCTGGACCGGGAAGAATTTCTGGAATCCAATTTCAATTTCGACTGCTCGTCTCTTGACCGAGAAGGAGACTTGACGACACTAGTCCTTTCCCTCTCACCACCATCCCTCAATCTCAAACTAAGACCTCCCCTTTCTCGGCCAAAGTCACCACCAAACCTCCTCCATGAAGAAGAAACGCTAGCTTCTCTTGTAGGCCTCTCCCTCTCCGAACGGAACCCTTTCGGAAAAGCCCTCCTCGAGAAACCAGCGGCGCTCTCAGATCGATGGAGCCTCTCTTCCCTGCTGTACCGGACATCCGCCTGCTCATTCCTCCGATTATCATCCAAGTCTCGACTAGATCGCCTCCGGGACAAAGACCTCGAGAACCCAGGACCAAGAGCATCGTCTCCGGACTGGCGTTCACGGTCACGGTCGTATCTAGAAGGGGATATGGGTCCCCGACGACCCCACCGGTGGGAGGAGGAAGAGGCAGGTCGGTCGGAGTTGAGAGATTCTCCTCCGTCACCATTTTTATCATTGTAGGATTCGACGTCGTCGCTGGATCTTAGTCGCTTCATCCTTTTTTTTTAGTTGCTGCGATTTAGATTTAAGCAGATGATTAGAGAAAAGCTAGGGTTAGTGAAATGGAAATGGTAATCAGAGAAAACGTAGAAGAGGAGAGAAACGAAGAAAGAATAAAAAGAGAGAGTACCTGGAGATTGGGGCAAGATTCATGTCGGAGCTAACTTGCAGATTCAGATTGCTTTTAATAATACCTAGGAATCAAATCACGCGATGAGGAAGACGAAGTCGAAAAGAGAAAGAGAGAAGAAGAAAGAGAGGAATATTAATTACAAGTCAAAGGTCAAACTGAGTGGGAAAAGCTTTTCCACTATGTCACTTTGCCATCACTTTATCGACATATTTACATCATTTGCCACCTTTCGCTATCCAATCTTTGACTCTCTTCCTCCTTGACGTGTCTTTCGTATCCACCCCAAAATAATTGAGACAGTTATGGGCTCTCTTAGTGGGCTTTTCCTACTCCACTCTACGGCCCATCACAACTACTTCACTCGAGTTACATACCTGCTCCGGCCAAAAAAAGCCAGCTCCGGTCAAAACTCGACGTCGTCTCCGAACTCACAGAGCCTTCTCGCGTGGACGACGTCGTTTTGGCTTATTTGATTTGTGGACGACGTCGACTGCGAGAATTATAGACTGTTCGAAACATTCATTTTCATCATCTTCTCCGACGAAGAGCGTAATGTGGTGCCTACCATCTGTTCGACCAAATGTCTCAGAGATGTTCAAGTGTTCTTCTTTCCATCGGCCGATACTCAAACAACGACCTAATGCTGCTAGATTCTCCACGACTTCCTCTCCTCCTTATCTTCCTCCTTTATTCAGGTTTTGCTCTGTTCTCAGCTTCCTCGCTATTTCTTGATTCTTGTCCTTCACTGTAAAGCCTTTTCCTTTTGCTCCCTCACAGCATCGCCCCGATGATGGAATGGACAGACAATCATTACCGGACGCTTGCTCGCATCATCACAAAGCACGCTTGGCTTTACACCGAGATGATTGCAGCTCAAACTCTTGTTCACCAGCAGACCAATTTGGTACTATTCAGTTTCTTTCTTTTTTTGGGATTCAAGGACTATTCTTTTGAATTTTGCGTAAAGTCATGTCCTTTCTTGTGTACACACTCAGGATAGGTTCTTGGCATTTTCTCCTGAACAACATCCTATTGTTCTTCAACTAGGTGGTAGCAATGTGGAAAGCCTTGCAAAAGCTGCTAAGCTCTCTCATCCTTACGGATACGACGAAATCAATCTCAAGTTAGCTTCTTTTCTTTTTCGCTGACAATGGCATTGCATCTGTAGTAACTCAGAAAAAAAAATTAACTTTTTTCTATTTCTTTTGTTGTTGTTGAGATTAGCTGTGGTTGCCCTAGTCCTAAGGTAGCTGGGCATGGTTGCTTTGGAGTTAGCCTCATGCTCAACCCCAAGGTCCGTTACTTTTACTCCTCATGATTTTTCAACATTGATGCTTGCTCTGTTTCCTCCCCTCTTTTCACACTTTTTGTAATTTTTGATTGTGTAAAGCTTGTTGGAGATGCAATGTCTGCCATTGCTGCCAATACCAACGTTCCGGTTACTGTGAAATGTCGAATCGGTGTAGATGATCATGATTCTTATGATGAGCTCTGTGAGTGCCTTCTTTTTTGGTTACAAGTGCCTTCTCGTACGGACTTGGTACTAATACTTGGCTGTCTTGTACTCGTAGGTGACTTTGTTTACAAGGTTTCTACTCTATCACCAACCAGGCATTTCATTGTACATTCACGCAAGGCACTGCTTGGTGGGATAAGCCCTGCTGATAACCGGAGAATCCCTCCTCTAAAGTATGTTTTACCATCACTTGGCTCTTCCTTGGTCGCAGTCTTCTTTTAATTCCCCTGTTTTTTGGGCTTAGTGTAGGTACGAGTACTACTACGCCCTTGTGCGTGACTTTCCAGACTTGAGATTCACAATTAATGGAGGCATTACATCTGTATCGAAGGTGACCATCTTAGATATGAGAGATCTGCTCTCTCATGGTTTCTAGCACTGAGAAAATATTGTCATTGTAAGGTAAACGCTGCACTGAAGGAAGGAGCTCATGGAGTCATGGTAGGCCGCGCTGCATACAACAAGTATGTGAAAAAATTTATCCCAGTTGATCTGAGTTCTATATACCAAAGCCATATTTCTTCTTGATTCGCTGTCTATCCTTTGGCAGCCCGTGGCAGACCCTAGGACTTGTTGACACTGCAGTTTATGGTGTTCCAAGTAGTGGCCTTACACGCCGACAGGTTCCGTTAATATTCAGCTTTTGAGTTGCTTTGTCCTGTCAATTTTGCTGATGAAAAAAGTGTTGGGTAGGTTCTTGAGCAATATCAAGTATACGCAGACTCTGTCTTAGGAACACAGGGAAACGGGAGGCCTAATGTGAGGGATTTAGTAAAGGTAGGTGTGTGATTAAAACAAGAAACCGGTAAGACAAATCTTGTGTGTGAGCTAAAATTGTTGAATAATTTCATTTGCAGCCTCTGTTAAACATATTCCACTCAGAGACTGGAAATAGCTTGTGGAAGCGAAGAGCAGACGCTGCTTTCAAGGAGTGCAAGGTGTGTGGGTGTGTGCAAGTATGATATAATTTCGTAGAAATTTTGTGATGTGTGGTGAGTGTTGAAATGAAATCTATATTGCAGACGGTTGGGTCGTTGCTGGAAGAAAGCTTGAAGGCGATCCCAGACTCAGTCTTAGATTCCCCTATCTCTGCATGTCCAGAGATTGGAGAAGAAGAAGATGAGTTTGCTCATGTGCACAATGTATTGCCGCCTTCCTACGAAGCTGTGGAACAAGTCATCCTATGTGCTTAGTTGGATTGGAGACAGGCGTTTGTAATCTTCAAAATGCGTTGGAAACATTCTTATTATATGATCATCAGTGAATATCTTGATGATGATATGTATTTCATTCAAAATGCTTAGATAAGATAAGGAGAAAAAAAAAAAGATAATGTAAATGTTTTCAGACAGAAGATACTTTTTAATGGTAACAGACTGTCGTGTTTTTGATGATATGTATTTCATTCAGACAGTAGTTGCTTCTTGGCAACAAGATAACTAATTAAAAATTCAAAGCAATCTACTTCATGATGAATGAATTTGCACCTAAGTTGTTTAAGATCTTTCGGACGATTCTACTACCATCTGAAAGGAAAAAAATTTGAATGACTTGTTGCACAAGGGAGCTACTATTCATCACTTGTTCAGAGGAAATACCTAAAAAGTAAGATGCATATGTCTTCATTAGCCTCCACGTGATTAATGAATTTGAACCAAACTTGGAACAAAATCAAGAATAGCTGGTTTACATGATCCCCATGTAGATGCCTCCAAGTCCACATGTGTGACTTTAATATCCTCACCAGCAATGTATACAATCTCTCTGTAAAAGGGTTTTCTTCTCCTCGTTAAGGATTTGCAGTCTCTATAAAAATCAATCCCATAACACATGAAGATTTTCTTCTCCTCGTCGACCAGTTTTCGAAAAGTAGTTGCTGTACAAAGTAGAGGGTCATCCAGTACTGTTACCAACTTTGTCCACTCATCAGTTTGATTTCTTACCCATATCTCTTTCCCTGATGTAGATGGGATTTGTAACATCACCGAAAGTTTCTCTTCTCTAACAACTGAAAGAGACTTAGTGTCATACCACGAATAATAGGGAAGACGCATACGTTCAAATCTCTCTCTTGTATAATCAAAACTTACCAAGACGTACGTGGTTCCCCTGAATCTTATCCCAAGCAATCCAATAAGTCTTTCCCTTCAAAGACACGCCAGAATCTATTAAGAGGCACTCTGGAGTGACGTCAACAACCCTCCATGCATTAGTGTTAAACTCATAGATTTCGAACTCATCATGACCATTGTGCCTTAATATCTTGTAGCTATTATTACCGGAGTTGTTGTCTTTGTAAGATCCAAGTGTATATATGACTCTTTTCATGCCATCATTACTGGAGTGGTGTTGGATCAGCCTTGTTTGACCAGTACAAGGGTTCCAAACCACTATTCTAGTGTTTTTTTTGTTGGTGCATAACAATAAGCCGTCGCAGTGGAAGACTTTAGAAATCCCAAAACTAGGATTCATTACGCTATGCTCAGTTATAGCTGGATCTCCATTGAGACTGACGCTCAACAAAGACATGCTAGATTTTTCGTCTTTTTTGTTAAAACACATGCTAGATTTCCTTGCCATGAGAACAAGAAACTGTTTTGGGGCTTTGTCGAAGTGCTTACTTGCGAATCTCTTGTCGTTGAGGAAACGGTTCCATCCTTTGCAACTAAATAGTAAAGGTTTCAGAGATGCGGCCGGGACTCGACATAGTATCTCCTCCAACAAATCATCCGGTAGGTTTAACATCATCATATAATACTAGCGAGCGATCGATTCCAAGGAAGTAAGAGTCTGTAGCTTTGATTTTGTTTAGGGTTTTAGACGAGACAAAAATAGGTATCTTGTTGGAGGGATTATATTTATTTGAGAAACACCTAGGACCCAAAAAAGGGAAATTGCCAAAAAAAAAATTACTTTGTCCCTTTACTCGTTTTTTTTGTTTTTTACTTTAGTCATTATCCGCTAAGATTGCCATTTAATATAGTTAAAAACTCATACAAATTACTTTTTGAAATATTTGAACTTTTTAAAAATTGTTTTCCATGTTCAGAAAATTATTTAAAGTTTAGTTCTACCAATCTCTAAACTTAAAGTAGACTACATTTCCTTTCCTATTAGTTATTATGACGTCTAATGTCCGTAGAATATGTAGTCAGGCCTGACCCACATAATAATTGGACCTTGTGTAAAAATAATAAAATTGTAGTGAAATATGGAGCATTTGAAACTTTTGGACCCTTTATGCAATATTTCCAAAATTTAGGACCCTAAATCTAAAGGAATTTTTTGTAAAAATATGAGATGCAGTGCAAATGCACTCCCAGCCCATACCAAGGGTCGGGCCTGTATGTAGTACATACCTCTACCACAAACAGAAGTCAAATACTTGACAAAAGTAACTTTGACAAGTTGATTGTAAGATCTCGAGCTTGATAGAGAATCAAATGTTGAGAATTATAATTTTCTTATTTTTCAGTGGTCATGTAAGTTGTTAAAAATGCAATGACTATTTTAAATGTTTTTTTATATGAATAGGAGAAATATTTTTAATTACATTGATTATTATAACAAATACATTTTTAGTTATAATTTTTAAGTTATGCATGCCATATGACAAAAAAAATCATCTAATTTTTTGCTCTAATAACATCTCAAAAATAGTTGTTAAAAAAAAATCTCAAGAATAATAATTGAGTTTTATAAACTGAAAATCAATTTTTTCCTCTCTACGAATTTATTTTATAAAATAATAATCTCAACATTACTTTCATTATTATTACTTTGTAGAGGTTTTAGTATATCTTTTAGTTTTGCCAATTATTATTAACGGAGATAAACGCCACCGTCTCGTTTCACGCCGCCTCTGTTTGCTTTAGGAATCTGATTCTCACCCACTACCACCCACAACAGTCTTCTCCTTTCTTCCTCTCTCTCTCACTCAAAGACTCGAAACGACATCGTTGCAAGGTTACTCCACATTTCACATCCATGTCCAGCGAAGGAGACACCACCCTCAAGTCTATCTGCTACAAGCCTGGCTCTCTTCAGTTACTCGATCAGGTTCCTCTAAAAGCCTGGCTTTCACTTCTACACAAATTTTAAAATAAAATCAACACTTCTTCTAATCCCAATTTTTCATCTGAAATTTGGAGCAGAGGAAGCTTCCTTTGGAGACTACTTACTTAGAGATCCGTGATACTGCAGATGGATGGTAAAACACTAAAAATCATACCTTTTTGATTGATTAGATTCTCCTTGAATAAAGTTGTTTATGCGGAAATGTTTTAGATTGATTTCGATGTTTCACTATATAGGAGTGCGATACAGGAGATGGTGGTACGTGGTGCTCCTGCTATAGCCATTGCTGCAGCTCTTTCTTTAGCTGTTGAAGTTTTCGACTTTAATGGTTTTGATGGATCATGTGAAGATGCTGTTGCTTTTCTTGAGAAGAAGTTGGATTATTTAGTGTCAAGGTACTGAATTTTGATGGATTGTTTAGATAAATTCTGCATCTTTAGTGGTTGGCTTGTGATGATTCTAAAGTTCTTTGCTTTATGTATGTTTCTTCTTCAGCCGGCCAACAGCAGTTAATCTTGCAGATGCTGCATTGAAACTTAAACAAGTTGTAGCAAAGGCCTTGGCTTCTTCTGCCATTGAGCCTAAGTCCATTTTCAAGGTAATGCCACATTTCGTTAGAGTTAAAGGTTTTATTTTTGTTCTTCCTGATACTTGATTTGGACTTAGGGATGATAGCTTCGCCTTTGAATGTACTTTTATTAGGATTTGGACTGAGGAATGATAGGTTAGAGAACTTGATTTGGACTTAGGAATTGTAGCTTCATCGTTCAATGTACTTTTCTCGGGCTTTGGACTGAGGAATGATATAGCTTAGGGAACTTGATTTGGAATTAGGATTGATAGATTCTTCTTTGAAAGTACTTTATTCGGCTTTGGACTAAGGAGTGATGTATAGATTCTTCTTTGAATGTACTTTATTCGGCTTTGAGAACTCAGTTTGGACAGAGGAATGATATATAGCTTCGGGAACTCGATGTGGACTTAGGAATGATAGCTTCGTCTTTGAATGTGCTTTACTCCGTTTTATTTATGTATTATTTATCTGCACAAAGCCGAGCCCTTTCGCTTTTGTTAGTTCACTTCATTCTCTGTGCCTTGTTATTCCTCAGGCATATATTGAAGCTGCTGAGAGTATGCTCGAAGATGATGTCGCTTCAAACAAATCAATAGGAACATTTGGTTCGAGCTTACTGAGGCAGCAAGCTAAAAATCATGACAAACTTTCCGTTCTGACCCATTGCAACACTGGCAGGTACAGTTTTAGATATATGTATAGCAAAACTCACTGAAGTTGAGTAGTAGCATGTTACTACATATAACCCTGCAGTTTCAACCACGTAAGAGTTGTGTATGTTTATGTGTAGCCTTGCTACTGCTGGATATGGTACTGCCCTCGGTGTCATCCGTGCACTCCACACACAAGGAGTCTTAGAAAGAGCATACTGCACAGAAACTCGTCCGTTCAATCAAGTAAAACTCCTAATTTTAAACTTGTTTGGGACGATAATTGACATTTGTATTCATCAATAAGATGGTAATGTAAAGCATCATAAGCTTTGAACCATTGCTTTAGATTGTTGAAAGTCTTTTGAATCTATTTGACAGGGATCAAGGCTTACAGCATTTGAGTTGGTGCATGAGAAAATCCCTGCAACACTCATTGCAGACTCAGCTGCAGCTGCGCTGATGAAAGATGGTCGTGTAGATGGTGTCATCGTTGGAGCAGACCGGGTGGCTTCAAATGGCGACACTGCTAACAAGATTGGGACTTACAGTCTCGCCCTGTGCGCGAAACACCACAAGATCCCATTCTATGTGGCTGCGCCACTCACATCAGTTGATCTGTCGCTCTCGTCAGGGAAAGAGATCGTTATAGAGGAAAGAACGCCAAAGGAGTTGCTGAACACACGTGGAGGACTCGGTGAACGCATCGCCGCACCAGGAATATCGGTTTGGAACCCGGCTTTTGATGTGACTCCAGCTGCGCTGATTGCAGGAATCATAACAGAGAAGGTTCGTTTGTTTCTTCAAGCTTTATATGCTCATTTTTGTTTCTCAGTTTTCTCAATGTGTGTATGTATGCATATATGTGTGCAGGGAGTGGTAACAAAGAATGGTAGTGATGCATTTGACATCAGAAGCTTTGCTCAGAAGATGATTGGAAACTAAGCTTGAAGGTAAAGAGCAAAGAAGTATTGTACAACCAATTAAGTTTTCTGATTAAAAATAAAGAAAACATTACTACAATTAGAGTTTCTTCTCTTTCATTTTGTCTCTTGTAACTCTCTGTTGACTTGCACCAAGCTTGGAACATAAGAGCTTGAGCACACAAGTGGGATACAACACCCATTAGATTCTCCAAGATTCACTACTTTCAAACATCCCTTCTCTCCAATGACATAAGCTGCGTTGCCGAGGCGGTGTTTGGTACTTTCATTAGATTTTTCTAAATCAAAAACCACAGCGAGTTTCTTCTCTTCCTCGACGAAGAAACTGTCAACTGTATAATCAAACTGAAAATCAAATTTCAAGAACTTGCTCCATGAAACTTCCTCATTGCGCTCAATCTTAGCTGTAACCCAAATCTCCATCTCACAATGAGTCCTGTCCTGAAATAAAGCCGCGAGCTTCTCTTCTCTAAGCGAAGACATAGTTATGTAAGAATCATAATAACAATAAGACGATGGCGGAGGAAGAAACTGTCCAAAGCTCTCTCTTGTGAAATCAAAACAGACTAAGGTACCATCCCCTTCAGGTGCACAAGCCAAAAAGTAAGCATTTCCATTCAACGATGCGCCTGGATATAAACCTCTATCCCAGTCGGGAGTAACGTTGCGAACCCTCCATGAATCAGACCTAAAATCGTAGATTTCTCACTCAACCTTATTTGGATAACACCAAATGCCGGGACCACTGTAATATCTCAAGATCTTGTGGTTACGACTCTTGTTCTTGTCGTATCCGAGAGCATACTTATCTAATATGTGGTAGGTGTTTCTTGGTTTGATCCATCTGGTTTGTCCCAAATACGGGTTCCAAACTACGAGGCCAGTATTGCCCCTTGTGGCGCATAACAATAAGCCGTCACAGTGAAAAACTTGAGATACTTCAACTTGGTTATGTACATTACCTAGCTTCTTTGTTGATTGAAAAAATTCTTCATGAACGTCATCATTGTGGAGGATTCCATGGACATCAAATCTCACTGAACAAACCCTAAAGTTCTTCATCATGAACCCTACAAACTGTTGTTTTGCTTCTCGTTCTTTGGAATAAGCGTTCCATCTTTTGCAAGTGAATCTCACAGCTCCTAAAGAAGTTATCGGAGCCCTAACCCTAGAGAGTATTTCTTCTACCAAATCCCACGGAAGATCGGAGATCGTCGTCATTGTTTCAAATAGGAATAAGCGTTTTGATTTTTTCACATTTCCCCGTTCTTTTTATATAAGACGAGTAAAATAGGTTTACTACTGGATCATTACATGATGTTTCACATCGCCGTCATTGTTGCTAAATAGAAATTAGGGTTTTTTTGGTTTTAATGATAAGAAAATAGAAATTAGGGTTTTTTAAACCTTTCATGTATTGTATTCTTTTTGTATAATGGACAGACTAGTAGAGTACCCGCACGTTTGTGCGGTGTGACGTTGTTGTTTTGTGTAGAAAATTTAAACCCTAAATCCGAACCCGACAAAAAACCCTAATCAAAAAATTTAAAAACCCAAACTTTTTTAATAGGTCTAAACATGAAAATCCGAAATAAAAAAATCCCGAAAACCCTGACTGAACAAAAAAAATCTGGAAACTTTTTCACCCGGAACCCGACCCCAATACCTAATCAAAATTTTAAAATACTCAATTTTTTTAATATATCTAAACCCGAAAACCAGAAATCTAAAAAATCCGGAAAACCCTAAACTGAAAAAAAAAATTGAACCTAACCCGAACAGAAATTTTCAAAGAAACCCGAACAATTTCTATATCTCTATATATATCTCTATAAAATTATGTCTCAGATTTTCACCCAAACCCGAACTTGTCTATAAAAACCCGAAAATCCAAAAAGCATATTCTATTGATTTGGAATTATCGTTAGATTATGTTAAGTTTTTTTTTTGCAGATTTTTAAGAGATGGAAAACGGAAGTTTTCTAAACCATCGGTTTATTTTAAGTTATTATTCTTGTATCCAAACAATTTTTTCCATTTATTCTTCTATCCAAATAGATTTTTCTCTTATTCTTATATCCAAACAACTTTTGTTTCCATTTATTCTTCTATCCAAATAGATGTTTCTCTAATTCTTGTATCCAAACATTAGAATGTACTTCTCAATTAATAATATAACTAGAACTAGTAGAGTACCCGCACGTTTGTGCGGTGTGACGTTGTTGTTTTGTGTAGAAAATTTAAACCCTAAATCCGAACCCGACAAAAAACCCTAATCAAAAAATTTAAAAACCCAAACTTTTTTAATAGGTCTAAACATGAAAATCCGAAATCAAAAAAATCCCGAAAACCCTGACTGAACAAAAAAAATCTGGAAACTTTTTCACCCGGAACCCGACCCCAATACCTAATCAAAATTTTAAAATACTCAATTTTTTTAATATATCTAAACCCGAAAACCAGAAATCTAAAAAATCCGGAAAACCCTAAACTGAAAAAAAAATTGAACCTAACCCGAACAGAAATTTTCAAAGAAACCCGAACAATTTCTATATCTCTATAAAATTATGTCTCAGATTTTCACCCAAACCCGAACTTGTCTATAAAAACCCGAAAATCCAAAAAGCATATTCTATTGATTTGGAATTATCGTTAGATTATGTTAAGTTTTTTTTTTGCAGATTTTTAAGAGATGGAAAACGGAAGTTTTCTAAACCATCGGTTTATTTTAAGTTATTATTCTTGTATCCAAACAATTTTTTCCATTTATTCTTCTATCCAAATAGATTTTTCTCTTATTCTTATATCCAAACAACTTTTGTTTCCATTTATTCTTCTATCCAAATAGATGTTTCTCTAATTCTTGTATCCAAACATTAGAATGTACTTCTCAATTAATAATATAATAAAGATAAAGATAAGTTTATGTATCAAAAAAGGACATCGCTCCAAAAACTCTTTTTAGCTTTCCAAAGCCAAACCAGAATCACTAGTGTACATAATCGAACTAGATTAACTCTAGTTCATCATGGAGGATTCTTGACGTCACTCCAGAGTGCCACTTATGTGATTATGGCGTGTCTTTGAAGGGAAAGACTTATTGGTTAGGTCCGTTGGGATAAAAAAGAGAGTGAGTGGGTCCACTGCTTAGTCAGTTTTGATTATACAACGGAGACTTTTGAACGTCTGCGTGTTCCCTATAATTCGTATTAATTATGACAACATGTCTCTATCAGTTGTTAGAGAAGAGAAACTTTTGGTGCGATTACAAGACAATGATATATTGGGGAAACAGATATGGGTAAGAAGTAAGATTGATGAGTGGAACAAGTTCGTAACACTACTGGATTGCCCCACTAAATCTGATACGTTCGCTTCCTTGGCTTCCTTTAGCTTTTTGGTGGACGAGGAGAAGAAATTCGTCATGTATTGTGTGTCTACGGGATGAAAGAGCGCCTTTGAGAGGGTTTTTTACTGCTGCGGCTGAGAGATCTGGCATGTTTTAAGCCGTTGGATCTCAAAATAAAAATTAAGAGTGTTAGATCTGTGGCATGTTATCGACCGTCGGATCAGTGCATCATCACTCCTCTTTTCTTGTGGCACAGATTAATTAATATTTGATATACAAAACTATAATTCTTTCCCACTTTCGTTTCTATCAAAAATTGGTAGCGTTTAGAGTATATTTTTGGATTTTTTTTACAGGATTTACAATTTTCCATCCTAAGAAACGATTCCATTTTGTATCTCCCCAAACGCTTATGCACTGCATGATATATATCATCAACAATACCCAAACCCAAAAGATCAGTTCCATAAACACTATAAGGCATTAGACCATCTGTGCAAGGTCGACGTTTTGATTTTAGGGCCTCAATAGGAGTAACTGGCAAATTTTGAACATGTGTGGAAAGAAACATCGGTTACAGAATTGTCAATAAAAGAGATTTGTAATGATATGCAACTATATGAACAAAAAAAGACATTTAACTGACCGGTTGTTGTTCTGTTTACCAGCTAGTTGAGGTGAATCCCTCTTCTTCCTATCTGGACCTGGCTTTGGTTTATCCTCTTTACGAGGAAGAGGAATGAAAGCTCCTGGAGCTCCACACACAGTAGGTCTAAAAAGGAGCCAATAAAGGGCCACAGGGAGTCCAGGATGAGAAAATTGAGTGAGCCTGAAATAACCTTCAGTTGACTTTGCTTCATGTTGCAAGTACCATCTCATGTATCTTATGTTGGGTGCAACTTTCATAGTGTGATAATTGAACCAAATGTTGGTCAAGTCAGGACTGTTGATATCGGAAAACAGAACCCAGTTTCTCGTGGCTTCTTCTGGTTGAAGTTGGCGGTTGAGGAAGGATTCACCTTGATGCCACGGGTTTGTGGTCAAGACAGCAACTGGAAGAACAAGGACACCACACGCTAATGACAGCAACTTTGGCCTTAAACACTTGACTGAAATAGCTGCAATCACGGGATCGTTCAACCCATCAACAACGATTATTGCAACATTATATCCTTCGCCATTAATTGCAAGTGTATAATGATCATTTGAACAATACGGCCTCAAAGCGGTTTCGCAGTTTCAAAGTGAGCATTGTTGTATATGTGCAACAGGAGAACCCATGATCGACAGGAGATTTTTAAATGGGTTGAGAGATGGATGTAACTCTAAAAGTGTGATATTTTTGTTTTTTCCGATTGAATTCACAAACAATGTTGGTACAATGTTCTGGAGCCTATCCAAATTTATAAAGTGTACATGTTTTGCTCAATAAACAAATAACTTGGATATGAGCATACATAGAACACGTTGTAGCTTATTCAATTCACCTGCAGAATTATCACAAGGGTCTTTTCTTCCATAACACATCAACTCTTGAAAAAAACAAATTATAAAATAAATAATTCAAACCTCTTCTTCTTCAAATCCTTGTAATAAATAAAATAACAAACAGAAACCAAAGCTACATCTTACCATGATTAAAACAATCTGAACTCTATAAACAATCTGAAAATAAATTCAGATGGTCTTATATCCACCACCTATGATTAGTGGTAGTGATGCGATAAACGGAAGAAATAATCTCGTCACTTCCTCTTCATCTTCTTCTATTAGTTTGTTTGAAATGGGATCGAGTCCTTGTTTTGGGATCTGAATGTTTTCTCTTTAAACCCATGAAGCAATCCATAGGCATGTAACCATTTTAGCTGGATTCCGAACCCCAAAAGTTGTTTTAATCTTATAATATATTAAAGACCATGCAAAAAAGCTGACGTGGCGAGCCTACAATGAATTTTGATTTTTTTAAATAGATATTTTTTCAGAATTCGGGTTGGGACGCGGATCCTACAACCGGTCGGATCTTTTTAATTCTCATTGGGCCTAAATTCTCTGAATTCTTAATGGATCAAACGTAGAAGATTCGGATCGTTTGAATAAGAAAATATTGTCTAATAACTAACATTTATTTGAAGATACCATCGTGTATTTAAAATGGGAATATGCTAAATTTCAAATCCCATTCATCCTACATTCCCGTAATATAAACAATGTCAATAAATTCAGAAGAAACAAACTTATTCTGGACGCATAATTTAAGTAATCTTCACACAATATAAGCCAACTAAAATATTCGATATCTATAACATAAAGATCGACAATAATGGAGGAAACTTCTTATATACGATTTATTTAGATTTTTGGGGTTTAACCTAATTATGTTGAAACTTAATTTTCTGGCCTATAAATCAAGCCTTCGTTTCATTCCCGCAGTCATCACAATTTTTTCTGGGGTTTCGTTTCGAGTTAGATAGTTGTGCAATATTTTTTTATCAATGTATAATATTAATATTAATATTCACTGATGTTTGTGATTTGCAGGTGAATGAAAGATAAGGACATTGAGGTACTCCCTGCAAATGAAATTCAAGGATCTTCAGGTACCTGCAATCGTGTTATACTGTTATCTCCCGAAAAGAGAAGATTTGTAAGCTTCTATAAGAATTTTTATTTACGCACTGTATATGTATGATTCAACCGTTCTCTTAATGCTTCATCAAACAAAAGAGATTATCGAACACTTTTTTGTTTCATCACTCTAAATCTGTTTATTTATCTTTCCCAGGAACATTCATCATGTTTGGCATAAAAAAATGATGAACAAGTTAACCAAAAGGATTAACCTGTTTTATATATATTTCCTTTCAAAATCACTCACAAAAATTGTGGTCTTGCCTTTGTTATGTCGAATTCATCTAGAGCTTTACAAATAAGTGTAACCAAACAATGCTCCATTTTTGCTTAAAATTTTGCAGGGCCATGTTTAACTATTCAAAAAGTTGAACATTGATGCGTTTAGGTTTTCCTGAGATTAACTATTCTAAAGTTGGACATGTTTAACTACTTTTTTTTTATAAAGACATGTTTAACTATTCGATACTCCATTTTTGCCTTAAATTTTGAAGGACCATGTCCCATATTCAAAGTTAAGTGTATAACCAAACAGTGATCGATTTTGATATGCTCTTATGGTTTTGTTCCTCTTTTGTTAATTTTCCTGAGAAGATCACTAAGTTTTCCGGGTTTCATTTTCTGTTTAAAAAACCAGAACCTTGCGTCGTTGGATGGATTCTTTTAGTAAGATCATTTGGTAATAAAATCTGAGACTTTAAATTTAATGCATTGGGAATATACTTTATCTTTTTACTAATTGTGTATTTGTGTGTGTGGGGGGGGGTTTGTGTATGTGTGTGTGTGATTCTTTGTAGAATGAGAAACGGTAAAGAGTGGTGAAAGCAAGTTGCGTAATCACCATGAACAGTAAAAAGTTATCTTTCAGGTTCGCCGGTAAGATCAGGCCTCTGATTTTGCAATGTTTGTTTCCATTATTATGAACCTGTTTTGTCGTAAACTCACCCCCTGATTTTTATGTGGGTTAAAAGCACATTACGACAAATGGAAAGAAGAGTTTTAGTTGTATTTTGTTAATTTCTAATTTAATTTGGGACTCAATCAAAGAATGCCAGACTGAGTCCATGAATCAAAACGTAGGTTTCCTTATATCTTCTTCACCAAACTTGGCTGGTAATAACCATTTATACGAACTAATCGATATAGTAAAACGAATATAATATTACTAAGAATCTAAATGGGTCGGTGTTAACTTTGTTTCCCTAATTAACTCCATCATATTGTTTTTCTGTAGACCTTACGGTGTTTTTTAATAGGTTCGTGCTGCTGTTCTAAACTTCTAATCTCTAAAAAAACAAGCAGTGGTCTAAGAGCTGCTGCAGAATCGAAGAAGACAGTCCAGACTGAGAAGAATATGAGTTTATTTTAACTAATAACTCTTAGAGTTGGTTTTAGTTTGCAGAAATCAGAATGATAGGTAAAATTGTTTTCACGTGAACGAAGAGGTGAAGCTTGAACAGATAAGAATCTGTAAACCTGGCATTCTTTTCTTTTACCGAGAAAAGTTTTGACTCAAAGTAAGATACTATGTCATCCTCTGTTTCCAAGCAAGATGGTGTGAGAGAGTTAAAAGAGGCTCCCGAAGGATGTAATACCATTAGACAATGGTGGGGCAAAGGAAGTTTGAATAGGATGAACCAATGTCTCAAATAAATTTTTGTTGTCTCGATATATAAATTATACTCCATAAAAAAATGGAAAGTGTTTTTAGTATCTGGTCATTTGTGTTATTCTCTCTATATACAGTACACTCCATCTCAAGATCATCATTTTTATAAAGAGTTTGCTCGCAAAATTGGAGATCATATACACTACATGATAATTAATGTAGTGTCTTTTAGATTTAGTTAAATTATAATCTTTTGAACAAATCACATAATTAATGTATTTTGAAAATAGGAAACAATTTACATATATAATAATACACATAAATAACTAACTAAATATCTATTCGTTTTATCAAAATAAAAGAAAATTACAATATTAGTAATTGAGTAAATATGTTTATTATTATTATAAAAATATTTATATTGATTGATAAAGAAACAAAACAGAAAATGACATATCTATTGAATAATAATTTATTTTAAATATGAAATTTCTTAAAGTTAATTTTATCCCACGCATTAGGCGTGGGTAATCCCCTAGTGTGGACTAAAGTTAATATCATCAGAAGTCAGAACACAATGTTAGTTGAAGGGTATTTTGGGAAATGAACCAACCCTTCGCAAAAAAAAATTCTGTCTTGAAGGCAAAGAAAGCTTTCTTCTATTCCTTCGTCACAGGCTCACAGCATTCTACTAGATCGCAGAAACACCAAATAATCGAACTTCGATTCAGAAAAAAGGGTTTTTTGCTTAGTGAATCTTCGTTGAGAAACAAAAAAAAATGAGCAGAGGAAGCGGCGGTGGATACGATCGTCACATCACTATCTTCTCTCCTGAAGGTCGTCTCTTCCAAGTCGGTCAGTAATCGAATCCTTCAAACTCACTCTCTCTCTTTGAGTCCTTTCTCTCTCTCTCTCTTGATTTCATAGCCTGAAAATCTGATACTACTTGTTACGGATTTCGTAGAATATGCATTCAAAGCCGTGAAAGCAGCTGGAATCACATCGATCGGTGTGCGAGGAAAAGATTCAGTATGCGTCGTTACTCAGAAGAAAGTTCCGGTGAGTCCCCTTTTCGACGATTTAGGGTTTTTTTATTCGAACTGTGTAAAGCTTGCAGCTTGTATTAGGCTGTAGATCTATTCGCTTGATGTAGTTGAGGGGTTTGCTTTATTCTGGGATTTGATTTTAAGGGTATTGAGGGTTCCAGTAAATTTGAAATTTTGACTCTTTTATCCACTGAAGTTTCGATTTTTAATTTGAGCTCTCATGTTTGTTGCAATTTATGCAGGACAAGCTTCTAGATCAGTCAAGCGTATCTCATCTTTTCCCTGTCACTAAGTACCTTGGACTGTTAGCCACTGGCATGACAGGTGTGTAAATCAATGGTTAACACTAGCATGGCTTAGTTAATCGTAGAGTTTATGTTCGATTTCAATACTTCTGCAAAGCTTGTGTATATTGGTTTTGGTGTTTATCTAAGATCTGTACTCTTGTAATGCAATATTGCAGCTGATTCAAGGTCCTTGGTCACACAAGCAAGGAATGAGGCTGCTGAGTTTAGGTTCCAATATGGATACGAGATACCTGCAGACATCCTTGCGAAATGGTATACTTTCTGTTTAAATTGGTTTTTAGTTAATTTAATGTGAAATTAAGCTGCACTCTATCATCCTCTACGCTGATGAAAGTATGTAACTCAAAGTTACTAATCATGAACAATTGAACTGACAGGATTGCAGATAAGTCGCAGGTCTACACGCAACATGCTTACATGAGACCCCTTGGAGTAGGCAAGTTTGCAGTCTCTTCCTTACTTGATGCATTTGCTTGTGTTTCCCTATGTGGTTTATGTTTAATTGGACACAAGGACTTATTCTTGTTTTTTTCTGTCTTTCTAAAGTTGCCATGGTTCTGGGTATTGATGAAGAGAGAGGACCCCTACTTTACAAGTGTGACCCAGCCGGACATTTTTACGGTCACAAGGTAATACCACTCTACTTGTTATGATAAAATAAGCCTCTGCCTCCTATCTTCATGCATATTGATATATAGACTACACTCTACTTGCTATAAGCCTGTTATCTTGCACTTGCATCTTCTGTATACTGATTTTTCTATCAATCTTGTCTAACTAGAGACTGTTCTGCTTGCACCTTTTTATTCTGTTTGTTAAGAGTTAGGAGATGTTGTTTTTTGTTATTGGTTGACCATGGAAGTGAAATAAAAAATGGTTACAGATTGCGAACTTAAATATGATCTAGTCACATACATGGTACGATTTTAGGAGGCTACAAATGTACAATGTTACTGTTCCTCGGAATAAAAGACTTTAATTATATAGTGTCTCGACTAATAAGTGAACATATGATGCAGGCAACAAGTGCTGGTATGAAAGAACAAGAAGCAATCAACTTCTTGGAGAAGAAAATGAAAGAAAACCCTGCCTTCACGTATGATGAAACAGTGCAGGTAAGTTATGACCAATCCTCCTCCTTTTCTAATGTTGAAGATAAGAAACAGCTTTATTGTACTATAGTAGGTTTAACACCAAGATTCTGAAACAAAGATAGCTCACTTTTTCTGACTTTGAGTTATTGTACTTTTCGTAGACTGCCATATCTGCTCTGCAATCTGTTCTTCAAGAAGACTTCAAGGCAACTGAGATTGAGGTATCAGTTGACCACTCTCTATTCTCCTTTTTTTGTATCTTAAGTTTTTGGTTAGAACTTGTGAAAGTCCGTATAAATATTGTTTTAATCTTGGACATTGTTGTTTTGGCAGGTGGGAGTTGTGAGAGCTGATAACCCTATCTTCCGTTCCCTGAATACTGAGGAGATCGAGGAGCATTTGACGGCCATTAGTGAACGCGACTGATCACTTTTCTATGTAACTTTTGCATCTCTTCTGTTTGCTTCAAAATGTTTCTTGAGGTCATTAACATTTCAGAGAAACTTGTTTTCCATCAGTCTTATGAATCGTGTAGTTTCCATTTGGATCATCTGCTTTCTCAAATCCTCTTAATAGCCAAAGCACAAGGCTTAAAGATGTGTTAAGGCTAAGATATGGGTTAAGGTTTTCTAAATATTTACGTAGTAAAAGTGTATTACATAAAAACAACATCTCGAGTTATCAAACTTTACAGTGAACAACATACACATTACACAAACGGATCTTAGCAAGGAGTAATGTGCAGATGAAATTCAGAAAGTAGTGATGAATCGGTCAACAACTTGTAGATTCACCATAGATATAGTCAAGAACAGCGATTACTCCAAAAACAAAAGCTTTATCTACATTTGCTTTTATCACAACCTTGTAAATGTCTCTGCTCCCAATCCATTCTTTTACTTGAGCAATGACATTTCCGGTGGAATCAATGATGCTACAATCCCTATCCGGGAAATACCCTTTCACGTCGAAATAGCAATTTCCCGGTTGGACCGAGATACGGATTGAACCGGTTATGGAGAAGCAAGAGTGTTTAGGATCCTTCAATGTGAAAACCGGTTTAGGGCTTCCTTTGTAGTCGTAACTATAACCTCTCCACTTGTTATGTATGCTCAGAGCTTGTACCATTCCTCCCTGTAGTAGTATCACACAACACATGATACTTGTAACAAAGAAAGCTCGCATAGTTCCAAAAATGATCCTAAATCAAGTTTTTCAACTCTTAAGGAATATATACGTAAAGAAGGTTGCTTTAACTTGACGCACCACTTCTTCAAACAAAAAGAATGTATTTTAGGTCCCTTAATATTTATACAGTTTTTAGAAAAATTATTTCACTGTATTGCTACAATATGTTATCTTAGTTGCTATTTTTCTTGATTTTAGACTAAAACAAATAGCGTTAATCGTCTACCATATCTTACAAAGTAATGCTTAGTTCTTTTTACAACGTCGATTATACGTAAGTATGTATAAGGTTACTTTTGTAGAGATTATCATTCGTATATGTATCTTACTATTAAGATCTCGAACTAGCGACAACACAAATAACGGTTTCATAAAATGTAAATCAATGTTCACTAATTGTTGTTTAGGTAGCTCTCAAAACGAAAAATATAATTATTTATACCACATTTCTTTTAAAAGCTAATTTTCTGAACTTCAGAAGAATGAAATTTACTAAATGATATGAACTTGTATTAATCATTTGGTTGGTCTATGATAGAGATTTTCATGGGGGGAAAAAAAGTTGAAAGTTTAGTAGCATTACAAATTTAGCATGGTGAAAAAATTACCTTTTTGTGGATGAGAAGCAAATCAATACCATCACCATCTCTAAGAACTAACTCTCCTTTGGTGCCAAGAACTCCACAACCATCGATCTTGAAAACGATCTTCTCTTTGCAATCTGTCACCACAAAACCACCGCCGTTTACCACGTGTGGCCGTCGTCTAACTACCATCACCTCTTCCATCGAAGAACAATGCAACTTGCTCACCACAGCTTTCATTTTCCTTAATTCTACTAACAAACTAAACTCTTGGATTTTTCTTATATATATAAGAGACGTATGGGTAACTTTGTTTTCATTTAAATTCTTGACTCTAAAGAAAGCAGAAAGAAGAAAAAATGGTCCACTAATTGGTCAGTTTTTCAAATGTTCGGCGACGACGTATGACTTTTAAGCACCACGTCTCACCATAATTTTCTTCTTTGGTATCGAGACTCAAAATATTCTCAATATTATAATATTAATAAAATCCTCTAAATAGCAAATAATGTGAAGTTCCACCTTTATAGTGAATATAAATCTACCCTAATATATCCTGTTAATACCAATCATAAATCATAGAATGTTTCTTGAGACGCTAAAGAGTCCTTATTCCAAATTAAACGTTCCTAAGTATATAGGAAAAATAAAATTCGGGGAGGAATGGAATATTATATATGTGTGCAGTTTAGTAACATGCGAATTCTTGTGGGAGATTCATTGCTTGTGAAGGCTGAGGACGTTTGTGTGTAAGAGCCAAAACTCACTTTTTCATCTTTCTTTTATTCTCTCTTACCCATTTCAAAATATAGCTTACTTTTCAAAAGTAAATAGTCCCTCATTATTTTAGCCACCAAGTAATTTATTCATGTAAAGATTTATAAAAAAAAAAAACTTCTCTAAAATTTTCTAACTTAAGAGGTTATGTACATACTATGATTTTATACGCTTCTTGCTAATATTGTGGATCATGTCTATGTAACTTGAATTCAAAACCACAATTATGTTACTCAAAATATTATATGAATGCATGTGCTTCTGACTAGTATAGGTGGTTACTATTTTATCATTTCTTTAAAAAGGATCATACCTATGTAACTCGAATTAAAAACCTAATGTTATCTTTGAGTGGTTCGCATTTAGTACTAATTATTGCTTTTCGGATAAAATTTCAAAGATACGTTAGCTATCAATTTAACTTGTCATTGACTTTAGTAAATGCAAACTTTACAATGTTTTTGAGATGATGACAATTAATTCGTTGGAAGGTAGAATAATGTGTTGGTTACAGATTTTTGGGTTATGCGTTGTGCCACGTTACCGGAAACATTTCATACTGTGAGAAGACACGAAAGTGTGAACTAGATCTGTCAAAAATGTTTGAGACAAATCTGAAGCCTGAACACTCTTTCTTGTAGAAAACATGCGAGTTACAGAATAACATGCATGTTTATTTAACGCAACATATGACTTAGTTCTTGGTTCTTCCGCAATTTATGAATTTTGAATGTCTAAATTTTCCTTGTTACAACAGTATGCAACTACTGAAATAAGATCCTTGACATTGTTTTGGCCTCTCAAATGTCAAGGTTGCCTAAAGCACAAGATTTTTGTACTCTCTGGCGACAATTTATCCAATTACATCAACTTGATTGTCTTTTAGTGAATACCCCATGCCAAGTCGATGTCATGCATTCACTGATTTTGTTTTTTTTTCCTTTTCCCAATTTAAACATTTCCGTCATCATCGAAGTTGCAACCGTTACAGACATAATAATATGTCATCATTACAATTTACATGTTAGCTTCATGTGATCATTTATTGAACGCATGTTCCTCCAATTTTGTCTATATTCTTCAGTGATGATGTCACACTACTTTCCTTGTTGCTCATTCTTCAATGAAGACAATTACGTCAAGTATCATACTTTAATTGAAAACTCGAAACATTACAATATAACATCAATCAACGTCGACGACATTTTTTTCTTCTACCCATCCCAAACTTTTTAGGAATGATGCCTTAACCTACACACTCAAACCAAACCAAACAAGAACACTTCACATTGCTTATGGCTCAGGATGGGTTTTGGTTTAGCCTAAACCCAATCGATCTAGCAACCGAAATAGAACTTAAATAGAAAACATCACTAGTGATGTTAGATTTGTGTTTTTTGTTTATCAAAACCGGTTCCAAGAGAACGCCACGGGACTTCTCACTTCGTGTAATGGATTGCTCCAAGTGATTGATCCAAACTCAGCTTTGTTCGCAAGACTCACTCCTTTATTGCTAACAAACGTGACCGTGTACCTCTTCTTCTCTCCCACGCTTCTAAATGCAAGCTTCAACGGCTTAACCGAGATCCCAACACTCGGTGCACCGTTAACCGTCACCTTGTAAACCGAGTTCGCCGCACCCACATTCGTCACTTCCCGCGTGTATCTCACAACCCGTTTCCCCCCAAACAAAACCGAGAAACTCGGGTAATTGAGCTGACCAGGATTCGCAAACTTCTTCGAGCAGTTCACGCTAGGCCGCTTCACGATCGCCACAATGTGATCGACCGTGTACTCCAGAGAGCACAAGAACCTAATATATTCTTCGGTTGAAATGTCGTAGACAAGACCCGGCGAGAGAGCCTTTAGCGGATCCACATGGCCCGAGCCGTGAGCGTACGGGTTCGAGAGGCTGTTGTCTGCAGCGTCATGGAGAGGAGAGTTTGTGTTGTCAAGCGTGTAAGCTGTGGTCATCAGCGCTGATTTGATAGCGCTTGGACTCCACTCAGGATGTGCTGCTTTCAGTAAACCGGCTAAACCACTGATGTGTGGGCATGACATTGACGTACCTAACCAAAAACAAAACCATACAAAGATAATGAATCTACCAAACTTCATAGACCAATAATTGAATATGCAAAACATTAAACCCGTGAAGTACCTGACATGATGTTGAATTGGGTCCTCCTCGAGTCCTTCTCAAGACCGGTAGGACCAATCGCATCAGACCAACCGGCTAAAATGTTAACCCCAGGGCCAATGACGTCAGGTTTCAAGATCTCTGGCGTCACGGTGTTTGGACCTCTCGAGCTAAACGCAGCAACCACAGGAGAAGGATGGACATCAAGCACCGTTCCTTTGAAAACAATAACAGCCGTTGGATTCGCATCCGATTTGACGTATTCTCTGAGCAGATCACCAGTCTTCTTCCCAACAGCAATCGCCGGAAGCAGATGACTATCCGCCACAAGCTCCTCACCACTCGCCGCGGTGTTCGCCATTATCATCCCTAACCCTCCAGCGTCTCTCACCACAGCTCCTTTCTCGACACGAGCGTTCACGCCTCTGTCGCAGACGACGATTTTGCCTTTAACCGTCGCGGGATCGAGCGAGCCGGGGAGGCAGATATTGCTGGAGCTGCTGTTTCCTTTGTTGTACACCAATTCGAGCGGCTTCGTCCCCATTCCTTCTCCGCTGTATAGCGAGACTCCGACGAGGCGTTTCCCGTTTCCGAGATTCGCGAAAGCCGGGAAATCGCGATCTAGGGTTCCGGCTCCGACCGTCATAACCCACGGCGCGACGTTCGCGACGGAAGATCTCGTCGGACCGCTGTTTCCGGCCGAGCACGAGACGAAAACGCCTTTCTCCATCGCGGAAAACGCCCCGATCGCGATCGTGTCGCGGAAATAAGGAGCCGAGCCGCCGCCGAGGGAGAGAGAAAGCACATCGACCCCGTCGAGGATGGCCCGATCCATGGCGGCGAGGATGTCAGATCCGAAACATCCGGTGCTCCAGCAAACCTTGTAAGTCGCCACACGAGCGCGCGTCGCCATCCCTCTCGCTGTACCGGCGGCGTAACCGAGGAAACTGGCGTTCCTCACGGCGGATCCGGCGGCGGTACTGGAAGTATGCGTCCCATGGCCGTCGACGTCGCGAGGAGAAACCGACTCGCGTTTCGTCGAGAAACCACCGCCTGAAGCCATCTGAAACCCTTTCGAGAAACTTCTCGCTCCGATCAACTTTCTGTTACACAGTTTCGGATCGAAATCGGTTCCGGATTCACACTCTCCTTTCCACTTGGACGGAATCTCCGGCATACCGTAATCATCGAAACTTTTCGATTCCGGCCAAACGCCGGTATCCAAAACCCCGATAATCACGCCGTTAGAGGCTTGGCCCAGATCCTGACCGGTATACCCAGCGGCGACGCCGAATTCGGAATTGAGACCGAGAAACTCAGGAGTGCGAGTCGTGTGAAGCGTGTAGACGGGATCCTCGAAGACGTCGAGGACGGAGGAGGAGCGGAGGAGGGTATCGGCTTCGTCGGAGTCGAGAAAAGCGGAGTAGCCATTGAAGGAGGTCGAGTAAGTGTAGAGAAGAGGAGATTCCGATTGAGATTTTGAATCGGTGGAGAGAGATTGGAGTTGGGAAGTGTACCAATCGTGGTGAGTTGGGAAAGATTCCGGTTTATCGGAGTGTTTAACACGGACGATGTACGTTCGTTTGGCTTCAGTGGAGAAGAGGAAGAGGAAGAGGAGAAGGAAGGAGAGAGTGGTGGAGGAAGAAGAAGCCATGACTGTGTTGAAGAGAGTGAAGAGAAGAGAATGGAATAGAAGAAGAAGATAGTGAGAGAGAGAGAGTACGGAGATTAAAGGAGTGATTGAGGAATTTTTTAAAATTATAAGGAAAAAGAAAAAAAAAAGCGGCCACGTAACACGGTTAGGGTCGTGTGACCGTTATAAAAAATAACGGAAATGCCATCGTCGGTGCGATTATCGAAAAGAGAGAGAGTTGTGGTGGGGGAACAGCTGGAGACACGATAGAGTGTAAAAAGGAAGAGAAGACTCATTGGCTCTGTTTTTGGCTCTGTTTTTTATTGGGCCCATTCTTTTATTGGTTTTCTCAACGTTCTTTTGTTCCTCTTCGTTTCTTTTCATTTCTTCTCAACGCTTTTTTCTCAACGCTTTTTTCTCAACGCTCTTTCCTTCCCCTTTTTCTTTTTTCGTTTATGAGTTTTTCCCATATATGTTGAGTTCTAAACCAAAATTAGTGTTCGGCATGTTGGGTTAAATAGGCATCAGAACGAAATCGAATTCAATTCGAATTAGAATGTACCAAACTAATCAGAACCTACATACATAATTGTCTGATGGGGTCCTAGAATTTATGTTCGACAAAATTAATTTATTCCTTCTAATGAGTACTCCAATTGGGTTTCATATCAAAAGATGAACTAACTAGTTGTGAAGCAATTTAAAAGTCAACAGTTTGGGAGTGCAACCAAAATTAGTCTAGCAACGTCACGCTGCACCATCTACAAAAATCCCCTTGATTTCCTCATATTCGTGTGACAATACATTTTGAGTGGCATCCTAACACTAACTAAAATAAGAAAATATAGGTAGCTAGCTAGATAGATTGATTGGAAGACAGACTAGAGAGCGTTAATGTCAATGATAATGACCTTAGTGTTATACTTTTATGATTTTATCTCATGCATGCTCCAACCATCACACTACTCCGTGTCTCACACCATAGCTTCTTTGACACCATAGCTTCTTTTCATTTTATACTAACAATCCACTTACTTTGATATTATGCACTTCTTTTTGAATGTACTTTCCTTGCTTTTTGATTCTTATTATAAATAACAAAGGGAAAGTAAAAGACTAAAGAATATTATTGTTATCTATCCTTTTCTTTCATTTAGTGGAAAAAGGATCAAAATGTGTCGATTTGTAGTATATCTACGTTCAATTATTTGTTGAATAACTTTGCTGAAGAGAAGTGATTTCCGGCCCATATCAATTAGTCCTAAGCCCTAACCATGGCTACTTTTATGCACATCAAGACCTTAAATTACGAGATATATATACGTGATGGTCGTCCAGTAGTTGTTTCTCTAAACCAATTGTTTGCCACGTTCTCCAACTATATATTACTATAGTCCATTCCATTCCTTGAACTTTTTGAGCTGGTTTGATTGGTCTTCCTCCTCGGTTCCTTTTGTTAAAATGCATCTTCATGAACCAACTTCCTTTGTTCCAACAATGCAATTCGGTTTCCCTATACTCCCACAACTTCTTAATCAATGTCCTCACTCATGCACACCGTTTCCTTCTTATCACACAACTTCTTTCCCATTGTCCTCACTACATTTACATCGATGTGACCATATTCAGTTTCCAACATCTTTAGATAAAGAGAACTTTTATTTAAACCCGGATAGAGTCAACGACTTAAAACCCATTAGACTAAGAGGCCGGCCGATTACTCTGTTATGTATACCATAAACCCATCTAGGTTCTTCATTAGTATAACCAAATATAAATTGGGTTTTAGCATCCATACAGTATTTGAAATTATACTAAAAAGTTGTCACTAAAATACGTAATTTCTTTAATTTCTTCTTTATCTTTAAAACTTTTATCTCATTAGCTTTCTTAGTTTCTATTTCTTTTTTTGTTTTGCACATTTTCCATTGTTCGGCCAATTAGCTTGAAATGATGGATTACATAATCAAAAAAAAATTATGTACTACGAATTCACTCGGTTGTTTGATCTAAACTTGACCTCAAGAGAATGAGTCCAGCATCAACCAACTCGCCTCTTCGTCCACAATAGAACCATGTGAATCTTGGCACAACAAAACATCTACTCCATTTACTGTTCCCCAAGACACAGCCAAAAGCATGTGCAAAAAGCCACGTCGAATTCCAGGATTGTAGAGCAGACCATTTCTTGTATGAAACTCATAAGCACGGTTGATAGTTACCCTCACACAAATCGGTCCACAGCCATGACAAAATCCACTGGTCCAAACCCAATAGCTCCAAGTTTAGTCACTTTGCACAAAATACACACACCGTCAGTTGTAATAATTTTCTTACATTTGTTTCTAAGATTTCGCACACAATTATGGTAATTTTAAATTAGCAAGTGGGCATAGTGGGAGATTAGTAGGTGATTGGCAGAAAGTTAAGAGTCTTAATATTTGAAATCGTTAGCTTATCTGTCATTTGACTCTTACGAACAAATGAAGATCGATTTGGTCTCAGATATTTGTCTGCCCATTTATCAATATAGTAGTATATATATACACACAATAACCTCATGCACGCCTAATTTAGATATAAGAAAACTTAATGCGCAAGCTGTAACCAAATGATTCAAACTAAGTGACTATATAAAATTTAACCCTTATCAGTTATCACCAATATTAGTAATGTATACGTACACGTACACGTCGTTCAGCAAACCCAAAAATTAAACATGTAAACTTGTGAAAACCATTTAAAAAATTATTTTGTCAATGGAAAGCAGAATGTTTGGAGAATGTATATAATCATTTCGTCGTTAATAAGAAATTAATTGCAATATCCATGCCACTAAGCTTTATCCTAAATGTTTTGGGGATTTTCACGTCCACGCGCGGCAGATTATTAGTCGTCTTCATGATCTACAACGTAATTCAACTATGATGCAAAACTTGTAGAATACTTAATATCCACCATAGAAATGACCAAATATTTAAGACGTGATTTACATATATTTTATGAGACTGATCAAACTAAGTTGTTAGACGACACAAAACTTAATTTGAATACCTTTTCGCAAACAATTTTTTTATGAGACTGATCAAACTAAGTTGTTAGACGACACAAAACTTTGAATACCTTTTCGCAAACAAGCTTTTTATGAGACTGATCAAACTAAGTTGTTCGACGACATAAAACTTTGAATACCTTTTCGCAAACAAAACTCTAATAAATCCCCAAGAAAGCAAGAACTTCTATTCATTTCTTCCATTCAAGTCTTCAATTGTTTTCTTTAATACTTGATGACTTTCAACGACTCTAGAAGTGATACATGAATCTACCTTTCATTTTGTAATTTTTCTAAGAGAAATACATATGCATTTTTAAAGAAAAAATGTACCAAAAATTATTAAAAACGTCTTTGACAAAGAATGGTATACAAGTTTGGATTGGTAACTTTTTACTGTTGCAGCAAACACTTACTGTTAAAAACTTTTACTGTTGTCAATCAATAAAATGCTAAACCAAAAATCAAAATCAAAACAAGAAGTATAACGGTATAAAAGATGTTATGAAGTGGTACCAACACTATTATCATTATCATTTGCATTTTGCTACTCTCTCTTTCTCTCGTTTCTTTTAAGTATTATTCTACAAGTGTATAGCATTTCTTTTACCGCCAACTTTATTTTTTTGTTGGTTTATATATCAATCGGATCAGAGTATTTTCCCTTTTAAGGAGAATCACATAAATAGGTAGCGAAAGACAAAAGCAAACGGCGAATAACGCGTTTTTCTTTTATTCTTTAGACGCTGATGTTCATAAACAAAAGAATCTCATTTGGATTGGACCGTTTTGATTTGATCAAAGAAGACAAAACAAAAGACCAAGAAAAAAGACGAGAGATCAGTTTTTAGCCCCAACGAAAAGACCATCTAACATTTTTTTCACCAAAATATATTTTTACACAATGAAAAGACCAAAAGAAAAATTATTAAATTATTTACACTGGATTTGTTTTTAAAAAAAATCAATAATTTGAAGAGTAGGTGAGACCAGAAACAAAACTCAGTACCGTTCCCCACCAGCCTCACTTCTCATTGGCGAATTCAATCCGTTTCTCAACGTTCTCCGGTGATTTCCTCCGGTTTCCCTCGGCGACTTAGCCGTCGGAGACTTATCCGTCGGCGCCCGGAGATGATTACTTTCTCGACTCCTACGACGCTGTCTATTCCCTTCCTTCTCAACTTTATTATCAGAAACCGGCTTCTCCGGCGTGTTGGGCACCGTGTAAGTGAATGTCCCCATCGGAATATCATTATAGTCCTTAAGATCGTTAAGTATAGAGACAACCGTGCTCATACTAGGCCGGTTCTTGGGTCGATGGCTTAAGCATTGGTAAGCCAAAACCGCCGCTTTCTTCGCTCCCGTCTCCGAATACTGACCTTCAAGCCTCGGATCCATGATCCGACTGAGTTTACGAGCGTCGTTGAGCATCGGTCGAGCCCAGTCCACTAGATTCTGCTCCCTCGACGATCTCTTCTTGTCTACCGATCTCCGTCCGGTCAGAAGCTCGAGTAACACGACTCCAAAGCTGTACACGTCGCTCCTCGCCGTTAGATGACCGGTCATGATGTATTCGGGAGCTGCGTAGCCTTGCGTGCCCATCACGCGCGTTGACACGTGCGTGTCGTCTCCTTCCGGTCCGTCTTTGGCTAGTCCGAAGTCAGAGAGCTTCGCTGTGTAGTCAGAATCTAGCAAGATGTTGGAAGCTTTGAAGTCGCGGTAGATGACGGGGTTTTCGGCTTCGTGGAGGAATTGTAGACCTGTTGCAGCGCCGTGTGCGATCTTCATCCTCGTCGACCATGGAAGCGACGCTGAATATCCTGAAAAATTGAATTTTTAAAAAATCCAAATTTAGAAACTTTTGTCTGAGATGACCTTTTATCAAAAAAAAATAAACTTTTGTCTGAATTTACAGAGAAGAAAAAACAGAGAAAGAGAGAGAGAGAGAGACTTACTTCTGAAAAGCTGATTCTCTAAGCTTCCACGAGGCATAAACTCGTAAACTAAAGTCCGATGTTCTTCTTCGCAGCAATAACCAATCAGTTTCACCAGATTTTTGTGTTTTAATTGTCCGAGAAACATAACTTCTGTCTGAAAAAAAACAAAAACGGAGAAAGATTAATTAATACATAAAACAACGAAGACATAACTTCTGTCTGAAAATGAAATTGAGTGAAAATTACGAACCAGCCATTCACGGTGACCTTGAAGACCTTCAAGATCAAGCAATTTGACGGCGACAGGTTGAGCTTTAAGACCAGGACGAAGCTTATCATCGACGAACCCTTTGTGAACAGGACCAAACCCTCCTTCGCCGAGGAAGTTAGTGGAAGAGAAGCTCTGCGTAATGACTTTAAGCTCGGCGAGGGTGAATACGTGAAGATCCGATCCGGCGAGAGAGATCGATAGATCTTCTGATAAAGTGTTGGAACTCGGATTGCTCAAATCAAGAATCGATAGTCTCTGAAACGAGCTCTGTTTCTTTATGGGTTTCTTCGAAGGAGTCAGTATGGTTTCTGGATCTCCTAGACAACCAGCGACTAATGATCTCCATGAGATTTTCTTCTTTACCGCCATTGTTGTTTATTGTTTCTAATTTCTTGTTTTTTTTTTTGGTTCTTCTTCTTGCTTTTGTGTTGTCTGTCTAGTTTTGGTTTAGAATATAAAGAAGGCTTTTTAAAGGTCACGAGGAGAGAGAGAGAGAACAAGAAGACTTAAAAAAAGATTAGTAAGTCTCAATTCAAATTTTACCAACAACAACAACTACTACTACTCTTTTTCCATTTTCAATTTTTGGGTGTCGCTTTATACTTCTAACCGCGCGCTTTGAAATTGTAAAAATTTAGATTACACACGCCTAAAGCGTGTACAAATTACATACATTTCTTTTAACCTTTGACTAGAGTTTGACCCGCGCCAGCACGGGGAGATGGTTTCTGAATTTGTATTTTTTAATTAAAAATGTATATTTAACTATTTCAAAATTTTATGTGACAGATTTTTTTACCTTGTTAAGGTTTTTATCTTCGTTTATAATGTGGAAATTAAACATTTTAAAAATTATAAACAAATTAAAACATTGATCATATAGATTAAATATGCTAGACTATAGATTAAATATGCTAGACTTCAGCAAAATACATAAAACTCAAATGAGTGTATTTTATAAGATAAGAAGATAAGAAGTTTTAGGTGTTTACACGGATTAGAACTAACTTTTTTTATTTCTTTTAAAACTAAAACATGTTTTATTATAATTCCAAAACAATCCAACCAATAAAAGATCAATCTTGCAAAATCCAAATTGTCAAAATAACAAAAGTATAAGTAATTTTGTACTGAAAAATTGAAACAAATGGAGCAATATTCAAATTTTTGATCAAAATTAAATACATTTATAAAAAATATTATTTTATTTGATTTCATTATACAGTTTAACTAAAAAATCATATAAAATATTTTAAAAAAAATTACATTTAGATACCTACTCTCCTACTTACATGGTTGCATATCATCTATTTTTTATAATATATTTTTACACCTACACACAACAACATATTGGGAATTTTAATAGTTTTAGTGATTATTTTGTTTTTAAAAATTCAAATCATAGCATATATAGAAAAAGTTTTAGATTTTATTTATTAGATTTTTTGTATTGTGTCAATTTTTTATTTTATAAAATAAAGTTAAACAAAGATGAAAGGAGATATAGAATGATTTAAAAAAAATATAATGATAGCATTAAATTGAATCTCATATTTTCCTTATTTACTAATTTTCGTAATTGCCAATTAAGGAAAGAGAATGATGATTCTTTTATTAATAATTTCATATATGATTAATCTAACTATACATATTTGATTCTCTAACCAAAAATATGAATGACAATGTTTGTAATTAGTCTAGTAAACTAATCCTTATTTTATAAATAACATGAGAAGCTCCTAATGATGACACATCATGACATTCTTGTTAATAACACATCAACTAAAGGTTATTTTTAAAGTGTTTTCTCTTTTAATATATTAGGGATTAGTGATTTGTATAATGGTGGAATTGTTTTTTTTTTTCTTGCAAACAACAAATACTTCTCAAACAATCACGGTTAAACCGGAAAATTGAAGGATATATCTCTGTTGGTTACAGAAAATGGTGGAACTGTATTTAACCGCGCTTTGTGACTGTAACTTTTTATTACAAACGCACGCGCCAAACGCGTGAGTAGACACGCGTATTTTAGTCATTCTGGATTTTTGTTTTTATAGAAAATCAACGAGTTTGTTCAGTCAGTGGATGCTTCCAAGTGTAGAGATGATGACAGTTTGCCCTTTTCTCTAACGAAATCACAAATACGTGTGTTATCTTTTTCTTCAATTGGACCCTATGAACTTTAAAACATGTGATTCAAATAATATGACGCCAAAGTGCCAGAAATATATTTAAATTCAGATAATTTTTTTTTTTTAGATATTTTGGAAGTTTGAGCGTAGATGCAAAACCTAGAAATAAAGCTACTTTACATCGTGCTTTCTTCTTTTCATCGTCATAGTTACAAGCTGGATAGGGTGGTCTGTCCCGGTCAAAATTGACTACTAATTTTGGTAATAACCACGATACCGTTTCAGTAAAGTTTTAAAATATTTTTGTTCAAAATAGTGTTCAAATTCATCTTCAGTTTTGTTAATCTTTCACCGTACGTCTCCAAAATAACAAATTGTTTGATGATTTTGAAAAGCAAATTTCGATCGAAAAAGGGATACTGATTGAGAATTAGTATTTCCTATCTCACTTTTATTAAATGTAGATTCTGAGAGTTTTCTTGTTTCAACATTTGGAGCTGATATTTTTTTTAGTGCTCCTTGTCGCTTTTTAAAAGTAGACTTGACTATACAGTATTATGCTCATATAATTAGCATGCATATCATTCCTCTCAAGTCTCAAGGTTGGATTTAGACAGCTAAATCACATATGATCTTCGTTTGACATTTTTGCATCTATAAAGTATGAACTATGGAAGGAGAAAAGTTACTGTTTTCACTTTTCCCGTTCTTGAAACATGTAAATCTCACATTTCAGTGATTTCACGGTAAAGAGCCATAGATCAGTTATAAACTATAAACAAACTATCCATATGATGCCAAAAAAAAAACTATCCATATTAGACTTGCGATAATAGAATTAAATAACTTCTAGAAAGATGGGATCAGTTCTAAACTTGTGAGCAGGTTCAACATTTAAGACAGTATATTTATATACATATATCGCATTTATAACAATAAGTTGACAATTAAAACATTGATGACATATACCCTATCTACGAATAATTTGACAACGATATAGTACTGGAGTATTATTTAAAACGATTCTAGAAGAAATGACACTCTCGCTTGTCCTTCTTCTCCAAGAAACTTAGTCAACAAATGGTTGTGGTCAATATTACATAAACAAATGGAAAGCCTTCAGAAATTACAACATTTCAACAAACACCCGAAAAACAAAGATGAATAAAAAAGAGTTGGTTACGAAAAAGAAGATGATAAAAAAAGAGTTTAGGTAGATATGCAATATATTATAGATAATCGATGTTAGACAAATGCGTCAAGCTTCTAGAACACTTGATTTTCGATACATCAATAATAACAAGAAGAAAAAATAATGAGAACAAGGTGATGAAGATCTCAAACGCGTTTGTCTGAAGACGGCGACTTATTCGTCTCTGAATCTAAAATTATTATTACATTCGGAGAGATTCGCTTTGTTTCAGTTTGAGTTGACATTTACTTGGCCCTACAAAAGTTGGGTCCCGCTTGATCATCTTTGAATTACTCGATTTTTTACATAGAAAAATATTTAATGGTATTTATATTCTCTTTTTCTTTGCTAATCATATATTTTCCCGACCAATTTATAGCTAATAGAGTCATAGACAAAACCCTTGTCTAACTATATGAAACCAAAGTTGCTCCATTTGCTAACTAAATTAGAGGAAAAATACCTTCACAATACATTAGTTAATTCAAACCGATGCGTATAACTGTAATTCATATGAAGAAAAGAACCGTTACAATCAAATTGGTGACATTTCATCTTCATAAGATTTTTAAACCATGCTCTTAATTAATTCTCAAGTATTTTTCCTTGATATGAATATACAAATTTCATCTTTTGAGAGATTATAAAAGAAACCTATTTTGTTTCAAGTATCAGACTTCAACCGGAGACAATGGAGGAACATCAACTAGCCGTTCAATTGATTCCAGCTGATCATATGGAGCAATCTGCGTAAATATTTCAAACATAACTAAACCAACCCAAGACTCACAATCTCACATTTATTATTGGTAATTTTTTATCCTAATTTTATATCAATTTCTTACCTGACTAAAACCATCCGGCCATGTTATAGAGACAGCATAGTTTCCCATTGGCCTTATTTCCTCAGGCTCAATATCTTCTGCTACATCCCCAAACTGAATCTTTTGTTCTCCAGTCCATTCATCCTGTTTTAACAAGTATAAACAACAAAAATTGACACTTTGAATTCTAGTTTTGCTTTAGAATGAAGCAGATTCTCGAGTTGAATGTCTTCTCCATACCACGCTTTGTGCGGATCGATCATTTCTTCTAACAGTCGCAGGGTGAAGTAAGAACTCTTCCTCTGAGTTAGGCACTTTCACTCTAATCGCCTTAAGATACTTGTCGTATGTCACAGCTGTTGACACTGTTTATAAAACATACAATGCACAAACAAGAAAGAGTTTTTAACTTAACTTACGCATTAACTTTGTAGCATGAGGATCCTCTGTGAATCATGTGTTTGTTTTTATTACCTTGTTGGCGTATCTTGGCGCATTGTTGTACTACACAAACTCCAAGATCTTGGAACGTTCTTGCAACATCACTTAGAGGATCTGAAACTACTTCAGGCGTTCCGCTATCTCCTGAAGCAGATAACTAGCAATCACAGAGAAAATCAAATAAAAAACTGTTTAGTACAATGAAGACATCAAAATGATACATGACTATGGTTAGGATGTGTTTAGAGTATGTTACGTGGGTTTTGGTGTTTTAGTTTATTAATTAGGTTTTCATGTTTTCCTTTTTACATTAGGGTTTATGCTTAAGTTGTATCAAAACCTATATAAGGGTTTCTATTGATGAATAATAAACCAAGCCCCAAGAATTAACCTTAATCTCTAAGAGAGAATTAGGGTTAAAAGGGAGCTAAGCTTTCATATCTTCCTCTTAATTTGTGTGTGAACAAAGGTTCATATCACAAAACTGTTACTTTTCAATTAGCTAAAGATGCAAATTTTGATGTCTCATAGAAGTCTATATAATTTTTTTTATACCGTTGGTCTAATGGGAAGCTCAAAGAGGTGAGGTATACCAAATTGCTCGACAACCTGCAGCCAAAGAAGTTATCTTTATGTGTTGCATATACATTTGGCTATTGAAATTTGATCTTTGTTCCATTTAGTAAGCTACCTGAGAACCTGAACCTTTACCAAAAGGGTAATAACGTTTCCCATCAGCGTCAAAATGGCACATATTCTCAACAACAGCAACACAAGGCACCTAAATCCGTAAAACCAAACAGGACAGTAAAATCTCTGGCTTGTTCTTATTCTGTTGTTGCAGAAAAGTAGAGCAAGTTCTTCATAAGCTGTATATAAGGATCAACAAAAGATGGGATTTTATGATGCAAGAACCTTTAGCTTTGAGAACATTCGTACACCTTTGGCAACATCGATAAAGGCCAACTTTTGAGGTGTGGTTACAATGACCGCTGCTGTTAATGGCGCAACCTGAGAATTTTATGTTCATATTTTGCATTAGTTTCATCAAATCAAAACAAAACTAGTCCATCATACAGTTAACAAACTTTCATGATTATAGGATCTTCAATACTGAACCTGGCATAAGGTTAGTTGAATGTCACCGGTTCCAGGAGGCATGTCAATAACAAGATAATCCAGCTCTCCCCTGCATCAACTTAAGACTATGAGTTTGTCCTGCTATAAAGTCATGATTTTTTTAATGAAAAATTAAACAAACCATTCAGTTGTTGTAAGGAGTTGATTTATGACACCAGAAACCATTGGACCTCTCATTATAGCACGCCCTTGTCCTGCAAACCCAAATGAGACTAGCTTCACCCCTAAATATTCTGTTGGAATGATGGTTTTCCTCTCCGGATTCTGTTGGAAACATATAACACAACTCCAAAAACTTAGACCTTTTCGTGTTACTGATGACCACAAGATGAAATAGTCAGGTAGTAATAATATTTACCATTTCGAGTATACGGCTCTCGGGATCGACCATAGTTGGTAAGCTTGGACCGTAGACATCAGCATCAAAGATGCCTACTCTTGCTCCCATACCAGCTAATGTATATGCAAGATTTACAGCTACTGTTGATTTTCCAACACCTCCCTGAAAATATTCAGCTAACACAAACCTGTCATGAACTAAAAATGATGGAAAGTAAAGAAAAGATATGGGGAGAGATTTGTAAGAGAAACATACAAGAGGTAAAAGAATGAAAGATTGTACCTTGCAACTTGAAACAGCCACAATGCTTGAAATTCTTGACAATCCATGAGGAAGCTGCCCTGCATATGTAGGTTTTGCGGGTTGTGCCGACATTGTCACATTGACCTTCTTCACCCATGGAAGCACTGCAACTACCTCATTTGCCTTCTGCTCAAACTACACAAAAATTTGTTTGTTATGTCATATCCTAATCCAACCAAAACAAAAAGATGCTAAGCATATAGCTTTATAATCCAAAGTTGCTAAGTTCTTTCATGGATGAATATGATCAAAGAATAATGTTCATGGCTTTTCTTTTTTCTATCATATACCATATCTTTGACTGGACATGCTGGTGTTGTCAGCTCCAAACGGAATGAAACCTGCAATATGACCAAAAAATGTTTCAGCCTTGACCAAGTATCTACAACAAGATTTGAGACGAGGATAAATGTTTTGTTTTTTACCTCTCCAAGGGCTTCATCAATTACCAAATCTTTCACAAAACCACATGAAACTATATCTGTCCCGAAATCAGGATCAATGATCTGAGACAATGCCTTCAACACATCTTTTTGTAATGTTTTAGCAACGCTCTCACCAATACTACTACTGGCTGTGAAATCAAATGCATAAGTTTAATGTCACAAGAAGATCATATTTACAAGTACTAGTGGCTTTAACATTTTAACATCTACTCTTAAAAAAACTATAATTCAATATTTTGGTTTAGCTCTATATCAAAATTTTAAACAATATTAGCTGATATCTTTCTCTAAGTTGTTTAAAAATTAGTTAACTTGAAACAAAAAATAAAACACACAGTCTAAAACAACTATTAAAACACACACAAATTCCAAAACAACACAAATTGAAGTGAGCCAATTTGTTAAGCCAAAACAACAAACCTTTCTCTGCCACGCCGCCATTGATGTTGCCACTGTTTGAGCATTTAATCGAGAGAGATTGCCTGCTGCTACGATGCAACACATTCTGGGTTTGTGATATTACACCATAACATTGTTGCTTTGGATTGATAATGGCAGGTTTAGCTGAATTGGGAGCTAAAAAATGGAGAATTTTCATCTTTTTTCAAACAATTTTGTTTTTTGAAAGCTTTGATGAAGAATGAACGATTCTATCTTTCAAAAGATCTACTCGATTGTTAAATTCGGAGCTACAAAAATTTGAAAAGTTCTCATTTTTATGTTTTATGGAGAAGGAAGAAGAGAGAACGTTTTATGTTTTTGCCAAGATAAGCTTTTTTCTTTATCCTCAAGCGTGTGTGCTTCACTGCTTCTCTTGACTCAGAGTTAAAAAATCCTGTGAGCCACTTGTTTCTTGCCACGTAGCAAATCGGAATTGATGGGCTTTTCAGAAATTATTAAATTGGCCCATACGTTAACCGGAATTTTGGTCGGTTTAATTAGAACGAAAACTTCTCACTTAACTTAGCAGACACCTCTCCTCGATCTCATCGAAGCTCCTTCTATTACATATCACTTCTCACCAAGCAGCTAACCTACTCCACTCTCTCTTCTCTGCCTTCTCTCTCTCTAGGCTCTATCAGGTTTCTCTCTCTCCCTCTCTGGTTCTCTGTTTGTTTGATGAGTATCTAAGGGAAAAATGCAGATGTATTTCGGGTTTTTTGATGTCTCTGTCGATTGAGTTATCTTTGATGTTAGGCTGCGAAAAAATCTGAACTTGTGCGAGTTTTTTGTTATGTCTGATTCGTGTTTGTCTTCTCTGAATTGATCTGATTCCTAATTCTGTAAAGCTATATTGTCGTATTCGAAAAATGTGAACTTTGTTTGTGTATTCTAATCAAATCATTAGCAAAATGCAGATGGGTTCTGGGCTTTTGATGATGTTTTCATATCTATGATTCTTAATTTTGTTTAAACATATTGTCGTGTGTGAAAAATGTCAACTTTGTTTGTGTATTCTAAATCAAATCATTTAAAAATTGAGACTTTACATTCTGTAGATTGAGATTTATCCGATGTTAATATCTCTTCCAAATGCGCTGGCTTTAGGTTGATTCTGATTCTTAAATTTTTGTTTGTAAATATAAATTGGTTTATGTATTGAATTGAAACAAATCATTAGAAAGAAGAAAGCTCTCATTAGTCTCTCTAATAGTGTTTTTGGTTTACATTTTTGTACAGAAAAAATTAGAATTTTTGTGAGAATGGCGGCAACAGCAGCTTCAAGCTTGCAAATTGCTTCAATAAGGCCAAGCATTTCTGCTGCCTCTTCCAATGTTGTTAAAGCAGGGACTTACATTGTTGGTGTCAACTCCGGAAACGCGTCGTGGGATAAACTTACCTGCACTCGCCATTTATCCAACCTTGGAAGTTTGAGAAACCACAGTGCTGTTCCAACCTCTAAAAGACCCTTTTCCTTTTCTACAAAGGCCATGGCCGAATCAAGCGAAACCAAGGCTTCTTCTGGACTTCCCATTGATTTGAGAGGTTAACATATCTTCCTTTGTAGTCAGTCATATCTTAATCATTACTAAGATGCTGTTAGAAGCCTTGTGGCAGAAGAAGACAGGAGCGCTATTAGAATTAAAGCAACTGTGTTAAATGGGTTACAGGGAAAAGAGCTTTCATTGCTGGTATAGCTGATGATAATGGATATGGTTGGGCCATAGCCAAATCTCTTGCTGCTGCTGGAGCTGAAATTTTGGTTGGGACATGGGTTCCTGTAAGTGTTTTTTTTTCACCTCTTTTTGATACTTCTTTTCTGTTTCTTAATTTATAGTATACTAAATTTTGAGTGGTTCTTTACTAGGCACTTAATATCTTCGAGACGAGCCTGAGACGTGGAAAATTCGACCAGTCACGCGTGTAAGGACTTGCGAACTGATGAAGTCTCGTTGAACCATGCTTATTTCGTATAATAGGACGTTAATCTTTACATCTATCTTTCTGTATTCAGGTTGCCAGATGGGTCACTGATGGAGATTAAAAAGGTTTATCCTCTGGATGCTGTGTTTGACAATCCTGAAGATGTGCCTGAAGATGTAAGTGTGTAGCTTTTTAATCATATGGAACCGTTAAATGTTGAAACGAAACGACTTCTTATCTTCCCAGCTGTATGATGATACATTTTCAGATTAAGACGAATAAGCGATATGCAGGATCATCAAACTGGACAGTACAGGTATATAGATGCAGAGATTACACAATCTCCCCTTGATTGTCTAAAGCAAGAGACTTTTGTGTTTGTTCTTAATGATTTTGGCTTATTAACTCATCAGGAAGCTGCAGAATGTGTGAGGAAAGATTTTGGAAGCATCGACATTCTTGTTCACTCACTTGCAAATGGGCCAGAGGTAAAAGAAAGAAGCAGTGAAGCCAGAAGAGTGTATTGTTTTGTATAATTTTTGTAACCTAATGGCGGCTGCTTCTGATGTGTTTAGGTTAGCAAACCTCTTCTGGAGACATCAAGGAAAGGGTATCTCGCTGCTATCTCTGCTTCGAGCTACTCCTTTGTCTCCCTCCTCAGGCATTTTCTGCCAATTATGAACCCAGGCATGTAAACAAAACTTTGTTTTGTTGTCTCTTAATTCTTGATGATTATATGTTTCTTATTTGTTTCTCTGTGATTATGATTCAGGAGGTGCTTCTATTTCTCTTACTTACATTGCCTCTGAAAGAATCATTCCCGGGTAAGGCTTTATACTTGCTTTCACTGCTTCTTCACAACAATGGTCACGCTTTCTCAATAGGTTACAAGCATCTCTTTCTTTCTGTGCAGGTACGGTGGAGGTATGAGTTCTGCGAAAGCCGCACTAGAGAGTGATACACGGGTGCTTGCATTTGAAGCTGGAAGGAAACAAAACATTAGGGTCAACACCATCTCTGCAGGTGATGACTAAACTTCCACTCTTGAGACCCTTTAGTCATACGAAAATCTCTTTTTGATGGTAAAAGAGTACTGCTGTTTTGGATTTGTTCAGGTCCTTTGGGAAGCCGAGCAGCGAAAGCAATTGGTTTCATTGACACAATGATTGAGTATTCATACAACAATGCACCTATTCAGAAAACACTCACCGCAGGTTCATCATTTGCTTTCAGTCCAGCTTTTTAGAACCTAAGTCTATTCGTCTTCGAAACTTATGGTTTTATGAAAATTGAAATAATTATTGCAGATGAAGTTGGGAATGCAGCAGCTTTCTTGGCATCTCCATTGGCCTCTGCGATAACCGGTGCAACCATCTATGTGGACAATGGCTTGAATTCAATGGGCGTTGCACTTGACAGCCCGGTTTTCAAAGACCTTAACAAATAGGTCACTTGACGACGAATGAACTTAGATTCTGTTTCACGAGCTTGCCTGCTTACTTGTCTTTGTATGGCAGTATGATCCTCATCGGCTTTGTCTTTTTGTTCTTCCTTGAAGAGAATAAATTTATGGCTCTAGAGTTTGTCAGTTTAGTAACTTTATGTAATAACTTATGCACTATTTATTTCTCTTATGATTGAAAAGTTTGCAACTATCAATTTTATAGTTTGTTGCTGCAGCCACATAATGTTTTAACAATTCTTAGAATATAAACCGTGAATTTTGGATACATTGAATTGCGTCTGTGTTTTAAGTGTCACCAAGAAATATCTTTGTTCAATACTGCTCTTGAATTAAGCTTGTTTGGACATTAATGTTGTAACTTGTGACAAATATAAACCGCAACCAAAGAGATTACAAGACTCATGTAACCGAACCGATTCTCTCCCAAAAAAACTCAGATAACCAGTTCTTCATAACCTCATCATGCAAACAGCTTAAACCAGTTTCTGCTAATTTGTGTACTGGAAGTTCTTCGCGAGGTCATTCATTCACTGAGTTTTCCTCGCCTGGTTCTTGGAACTGTGAAGCTTTTTCGATCGTAGCTGGTACTGCCATTGTCTAAGCACATTTGGCTGCCAAAAACATGCTGAAGAACGTCTTAGTTCTTCGCCCCGAAAATCTGAAAGAAGACGAATCAACATGGTAACACTTCCTTATAAAAAAAGAAAGAAAAAAACATCCAGCAGATGAAGCAATTATCTTCTATCTCAGCCATGTGAACTTCAAAGTCCTCAAAACAACGTCCCCTTTAATCCTACAATTCTCGATCATTCTTTACTTCAATACTTCATTCACAACAGTCAAATCTATGTGCCCCATTTTGAAAAGGAAACGAGGAAAGAGCTCCTACGAACTGAATACCCCGAATCCTAAATCTATGGCTACATATTTTCTTCAGTTTCAAATATCCCGGATCTTGCAGATGAATTGTTTCGATAACATTCTCAGCATTGTGCACTGAAGACTGAACTGTGATCTCTTGCACTAGAATAGCTTGAACAAGAGATTAAATCAACACAAGAAGCATCTGAAGCATACAAAACTGGCTAACTAAGAGCAATGCCACTTCACTTCAGTCTTCAAAATAGAATTAGGACCTAATGAATCTACCAGAGCATCAAAAGGAATGTGAACGGATGCTTACTGTGAGTTTTTGTCTGCTTATCTGTTCGGCTTCCAATTACGCCGGCAGAGCATGCCTGATGGTAGAAAACGCCAATGTACAGAGATATTCAAAAAGAAAGCCTAGCAAGCAGCCACAGTTACATTTGCCGTTTTCGTCTCTACAGGTGCTTCTACATCACTCCTCTGCCCTTTCACTGCAATCTTGTTTAGCTGATACGCCTCTTTAGCCATCCCAGCCTTAAGAAGACAAGAAAACAAAGAACTCACCGTAATCTCATCCGGCGAACAACCAATCGCCACCATCTTATGGAAAATGCTAACCGCTTCACACATCCTCCCTTTCATGCAATGTCCAATGATAAGAATCGTAAACGTGATCTTATCCGGTTTACACCTCTTCCTCTCCAACTCCTCCACGATCACATTCGCCTCGTTAACCTTCCCAGCTTTACAAAACCCATCAATCACAGGGTTGAACAGAAACGGTCTCGGGACAATGTCTTTACAAGCCAACTGCCTCAGAAGCTCCCTAGCCTTGACCAGCCTGTTCTCTCTACACAGCGCGTTGATGAGAATCGAATACGTAAACGCATTAGGAAACATTCCTTTCGCATTCATCTCTTCCCAAAGACTAAACCCTCTCTTCAACTCTCCTACTCTGCAGTATCCCTCAATCAACGAAGTGAACGTCACAACATCAGGCAAACAACCAAACGAAACCATCTTCTCACGAACCATTTCAGCATCACACATCTCACCAGCTTTCACATAACCATCAACAAGAACGTTAAACGTTATATTACTCGGATACATTCCCAAACCAACCATTTCATCTAACAAAAGAGACGCTTCTTTCATCTCCCCAGCTTTGCAGTACCCTGACATCATCGATGTGTAAGTAACAACATCCGGAGAGCAACCATCTCTCGTCTTAACCTCGTTGAAAATCTCATTCGCTTTCTTCAACTCATTCCTCTTGCAAAAACCCCCAATCAGAGTATTATAAGTGACGATATCAGGAGAACAACCAAAACTACTCATCTCCCCCAAAAGCTCTAACGCTTTATCTACATTCCCTAAACCGCACAAACCTTTAATCAGAATGTTAAACGTCCATGTATCAATACAAGATTGAAACTTTAGATGCTTATCGAACACATCCATCGCATCCTCCACGCGGTTTAGCTTAACCAGCGTGTTCAACAAACTGTTCACCACCATGGAACTTCCTTCAATTTCATAAGATTGAAGAAGCAAGGCGGTAGCGAAATGAAGCTTACCCTTTTCAGCGAAAGACGCCACCAGGAAGCTTAACAATTGACGGTTCGGAGAAACGCCGTCGGTTTTCATGCAATCGAACACTTTTCCGGCTAAATCGTGCAAACCGGCTTTACAGAGCGATCTCGTGAGGAGGTTGTAGGTGTTGAAAGAATGGCGGATGTTGAGCTTGAATCTGCTAAACTCCCAGAACCGGAACCCTATGTGCGGGTTGTCGAGCTTCTTGACGACCTCGAATGCGATGAAGGGGTTGAGGTTCTTGCTTAGGTAGCAGAAACAGAGATCGGAGTCTGGGACTCTGTAGACGAAGAGAGTGGAGACGATTTTGACTAACCAGGCTTCGGGGCAGTGGATTACTTCTCGGGTGTTGTTTTGGAGAGGGCGGGATTGAGCGCCTCCATGAGTGTGGGTGTGGATAAGGGCAGTGGCGGTTCCGAAGGATGCTCGGATCATAACGGCGTGAAATAATCGGCGACGGCGGCTTGGGTGGAGCTGCTGCTAGGGCTTGGTTTGGTCAACCTCATCTGTGTTTTTTTGGGGGGGTTTTCAGATCAGTGAGACTGATGAAAAATTGTAAGGGGGATAACAGGACCTTCTATGCGATTCAGAGGCTTTGGAACCTGCTTGGGCTTACAGTTCCTGATTGTTATTCGAGATTAAACGAAAACCGAATTAAAATTAACCTGACCATTTTATCCGATCTGAAAAACCCTAAAAAATCTGGATCCGATGGGTAAACATTTGGCTGTGTGACTTCTTAGTAAGATCTGTGATTCAAATGTTAAATTGAAAATTAAACCATTTATTATTAGAGTTTAAACAAAAAGTAAATTGTATTAAAATAGAATTTGTACCTTATGATGTAAATGTTATAAGTTATAACGTATATATGATTTTACTAACTGATTGTCTTATCAATCTATCGAAAGTTTCTGCCAATTGCAGACAGCATAATGGAGGTAAAATGGATTACATTATAAAGATAAATATATTATGAAATTAATTAGAGCTAAATGAGTATTGGGAAATCAAATTGGTGGATGATTTATTTAGGGGTTTAGCATGTGTAATATATTTGTATGATTGTTGCCTTGTTGGAAAGGATGTCAAATGTTTATTGAGTATGCTGTTTAGCTGTGAGCCTATTATCATTTTTCTTTCTTATTCTTATGAAATTTAATTATAGTGTTTGAAAATTTATACTCCTGTTCTGAGAGGGTTGCTATTTATAGCATGAGTTGGTACCTTGAGCTGGTTGTAGCTGAAAGAGGCTGCAAGTGTCAAGTGTCGATCGAGCGCTCTACTCAATCAAAGAGGATGCTTATGGTATGCAAAATGTGCATCTCCACTGGAACAAAGAAAAATAGTGTTTTGTCAAAAGGAAATGCATATGATATGCATGCAGAAAAAGTTAATCAACTAATTACAATTACAATTAATATACATATGATATGTATGTTTCTCCAATTGTGATTTTCATATAATTGTATCAACTAATTATAACCAAATTGGAAAAGCACATACCTTTAACAGAAGTCTGCTACACTTGAAATGTCCTCATAGTCTATAACGACTTGAGCACCTTCTAAATCACATACCTGAAAAAGATAAAATTAGTTAGTTTTTGCTTCACATTGATGCCAGTGTAAAGAATCGGTTAGATAGTCTTTCAAGCTACTGGTTCATAATTCATGGCATGAACCAGTTTCTGATTCATAGTCTTTTTTTTTTTTTGTAACGGCATTTGTAAATTGTTGGTCGTATTTTCCATTCAAGAATGTAAAAGCAATCCATAGTCTTTGACTCTTTGTATGAAGACTGTTATTTACGACTTTGGATTGCGCATACGTTGTTTTTACCTTCCAACAAGTCTAAACCAATCCATAGTCTTTGTCTAAAGACTTGTGTGTAAGAAGAATCTATTTTCTATTCATAATCTTTGCCTTGTGATTACTTTAAGCCGTTGGTCTTTGATCTTCTTCCCATATCGTTAGTTGTTCTTAGTTCTTACTACCCAACAAGTCTACACTGATCCACAATCTTTGTTTAAAGACTTCTAAGCCGTTGATCTTCTTTTTCCATTCAGCAAATCGTTAGTTGTTTTTACCATCCAATAAATCGTTTGTTGTTTTTTTCCAAAGACTTCTAAGCTGGTATGCTCAGTAAGTATCTGTTTTATCGATTCATAATTTTTGTCAAGAATCTTTGCCTTCAAGCCGTTGGTCTTTTACTTATGCAAAAAGTTAGAAACCCAACAAAATGAGAATCAACTCAGAGTCTCAGAGTCTTTGTCTTCAGCCCTTTGTCGTTCTATTCATCCAAACTCATAGTCTTTGTCTACTTTTAAGCATTGTGTTTATCGCAAAGACAGTTCTTGGTTCATAGTCTTTGGCTTAAGACTTTGTGACGACATTAGTTGTCTTGTGGTGAAGTAAACAATTATCTTCCCTTTGATAGACTTTGTCTTAAGGCTTCTTCAAGCCATTGGTAATTTTTACCATCTAACAAAACCGACATCTTTGTTTAAGAATGTTCTAAGCCATAAGTCTTTGATTTAAAGACTTCTTCTAAGTTGTTGGTCAGTTTTACATCCAACAAGTCTATAGACTTCTAAGCCTTCTTAGTCTTTGTTCGTAGTTTTTGTTCATAGTCTTTGACTTTAGACTTTGTTAAATCGTTAGTTGTTTTTACCTTCCAACCTAAACCAATCCGTAGTCTTTGTCTAAAGACATCTGTGTAACAAGAATCTGATTTCTATTGTGGTTTCTTTAGGCATTTGGTCTTTGTTTTTTTTCCCATATCGTTAGTTGTTTTTACTATCCAACAAGTCTAAGCTGATCCATTGTCTGTGTGACTGTGTCTAAAGACTTCGAAGTCATGTGGATTAGTAACAATCTGTTTTCGGTGACTTTTGTGTCTGTCTCAGTCTTAGGACTTATTTCAGCTGTCAATCATTTTTTTTCCTATCAAGCAACTCAAACACCAACCCATTGTCTCGGTCTAAAGGCTTTTGCAAGTCGTGAGTGGTATAAAAAGACCCTGTTTTCTCTCTGTATTAAGAGCTTAAGACTGATCTCAGAGTCTTTATCTTTAGGCTTTCTTCAGCCAACGTCGTTCTTATATCAATCCAAACTCATACTCTTTGTTCACTTTTAAGACTTGTATTTATTGAAAAGGCATAGGTCTTCGTTCATAGTCTTTGTTTTAGGACTTCGATTCATGTCTTTGTTCATAGTCTTCGTATTTAAGACTTTGTGAAATCGTTAGTTGTTTTTACCATTCAACAAGTCTAAACGGATCCATACTCTTTGTTTAAAGTCTTCTAAGCCGTGTGCTTAAGTGTGAATCTGTTTTTGATTCATTTTTTGTCAACAATCTCTACCTTATAACTTCTTTAAGCCTTGTGGCTACCGGAACATATACAGTTTTCGGCTCATAGTCTCTGCCTTTTTCTTAAGAATTCTAAGCCGTAGGTTCAATAAGAATCTGTTTTCGTTTCATAATCTTTGCCTTATGATTTCTTTAAATCGTGGGTCTTTGTTCCTTTCTTCCGTACAGCAAATCGTTAGTTGTTTTTACTTCCCAACAAGTCTAAACTGATCAACAGTCTTTGTTTAAAGACCTCTAAGCTGACGTTGATCTTCTTGTTACTATCCAACAAGTAAGAATCTGTTTTCGTTCTTTGTGGTAAGCTTCTTTTAAGCCGCTGGTCATTTTCCATCTGGCAAGTCCAAATCCGACCCATTAGTCTTTGCCTTAAGACTTTGACCTTTTGACAATTTTTCAGCGACTGGTTGTTGCATCCATCCAACAAACTGAAAGCAAACTCATAGTTTTTGCCTACTTTTAATCCAACACAGACCTTTTGCTTATCGCAATGACAGAGTGATCTCACTTAATAGTCCTTGCCAAAGAACCTTTTTTTCTTTAAGCCGTGGGTTGTTACTTTTCTATCCATCAAGACTATGGACTCTTTGTCTTTGTCATAAGACTTTTTCAAGCCGTTGGTCGTTATATCCATCCAACTCATAATCCTCGTCTACTTCTAAGCCTTGGGATTACCGGAACATAAATAGTTCTCAGTTCATAGTCTTTCCTTTTGTCTTTATCTAAAGTCTTTCTCAAATCGTTGGTTGTTATATTTTCCATCAAACTCATAATCGTTGCTTGATATGAGCCGCGGGTTTATATACCATTGTCTTTGTCTAGAGAGTAGTGAGTTCCATAAGCCGTAAGAACCCGTCTTTGTTTCAGTCTCGTATCTTAGGACCAATTTCAACATTGGTCCAACAAAATGAAAACCATCTCATAGTCTTTTATCTTAAGACTTTTTTTCAGCCATTGGTCGTTATATCCATCCAACTCATAGCCTTTGTTTACTTTATCCTTGGGATTACCGGAACATATACAGTTCTCGGTTCCTAATCTTTGTCTTAAGACTTTCTCAAACCGTTGGTCGTTATATCCATCCAACTCAGTCTTTGTCTACTCTTAAGCATTGGCAGGCATTACCGGAACATATACAGTTCTCGGTTCATAGACTTTGTTTTTGTCTCTGTCTTAAGACTTCACCAAACTCATAGTCTTTCTCTGCTTGTAAGCCTTGTGGTTCATAGTCTATGTCTGAAGACTCTTTCAAAATCGTTGGTTGTTTTACATTCCATCCATCAAGTTTTCTTCATAGTCTGTGTCATCTCCTTAAATCGTTGGTTGTTTTACATTCCATCCATCAAGTTTTCTTCATAGTCTGTGTCATAAGACTCTTTAGATCGTTGGTTGTTTTACATTCCATCCATCAAGTTTTCTTTTTAGTCTATGTTCGTAAGACTCTTTATTTAGATCGTTGGTTGTTTTAAATTCCATCCACCAAGTTCTCTTCATAGTCTATGTCATAAGACTCTTATCGTTGGTTGTTTTACATTCCATCCCATTCATCAAGTTTTCTTTAAGCCATTAGTCATGTTTCTGACTTTTTCCCATCCCACAAGACGAAAAGCCAACTCATAGTCTCTTGGCTAAGGACCTTTTCAAAGCCGCTTGTCATTTGGTCCATCCATCATGTCTAAATATAACTCATTGCCTTTGTCAAATGAGTTGCTAAGCCGTGGGTAAAATTTCCAACCAATCCATTATCTTTCTCACTTTTCCATCCTCCAATTGTCCTTCCTTTGGTCATGCACTACCAAGTACCAACCCATACATCCTTCCTTTGACATGCACTACCAAACCATATGTCCTCCCTTTGACATGCACTACCAAACCATATATCATGGCTTGAGGCAACGGGACAATGTTCCCAAATAAGAACACTATTAGATTAGTGCCGTGTCATATTTTCCGTCCCCAATTGTCCTTCCTTTGACATGCACTACCAAGTACCAACACATACATCCTTCCTTTGACATGCACTACCAAATACCAACCCATATATCTTTCAATTGACATGCACTACCAAACCATAAATCATTCCTTTGACATGCACTACCAAACCATATTATCACCGCTTGAGGCAATGGGACATTGTTCCCAAATAAGAATCTGACTGAACACTATTAGATTAGTGCCTGTCTATGATCTTCTTGGGGTTTTACAACGTCAAAACAAAACCAAAAAGGCTTTGTATATCTTTTTAAATTTCAAAATCCTAAGACATGATCATCGATATTAGTTGCTTAGATAAGTAAAGAGTCTTACCTTACGAGAACTGATCGAACATGTCCCACTTTGGAAGGCAATAACTCCAGCAGCAACATCTGTTCAAACCAAAATCAAAACCATGTTTCAGACACGAAGGTTAAAGACTTGTGTGACATGATTCAATATAATGAATTTGAGGAATTACCTGAGGAGTCAAGATTATGCGAGGTTCAATACTTATGCAGCCACACCTATATTAAGAACAAAACATTTTGCGATTCATGAAATCTAAGATTAAACCACAAAAGCTATGAATATAGTGAAAATACGGATCTTTTCACAGACCGTGATCTGCGCACAAGGATCTCAGCAATGACAGAGAAAAGGATCACATAATCGATGGTTTCATTGTATCACAAACGTCAGAGGATTTTTGAAGACTTTCGGTTTAAAGACAACAAGCATCATGAAATTTACGGAAACTGAAAACACTGAAGAAAAATCGTCATGAAATTTAGAAACCCTAACCTTGACGACGAGCGGAAACGCCGGAAAACCAAACCAGTCGGATCCGTTTCAGGCGCACTCAAGCTTGTAGGTAGGCTTCAAAAGAAAACAAACAAACAAAATTTAATCAAGATTTCTTCAAAAAGGAGAAAACGAACGATTATAGAAACCCTGCAACAAAATCGAGATCCAAGGTTACAACGAGAATTTAGCAATCCGCAAACAAATTCACTATTTACAGTACGAATCACTTACTAATCCAATAATATAATTGGAATTTTCCGCTATTGGAAATCTCCGAAGAGTCGATCGAGAGAGAAAAATGAAAACGGAAGAGAGAAAATCTGGGAGAAAATAGTTTGTGAAGAACAGAGGAAAAACAAAAGGGGAGAGAATGTTTTTAAAGTATCCTTTGCGTTTGACAACACGCGTCTCTGTTTCTCAACGGCAGTATTTTTAAAATGAGTCGGTTTAATTTGTAACAAACCAGTCCTGCATTTTCACAAAACCACCTAAACCGAACCGGTCAAATTTGTCTCGATCGACTTCCGATCAAGATTTGCCCATTTCATGGTTACTAGCGTTTGATCCGCGCCCTGCACGGGTGATGGTTTCTGAATTTATATTTTAATTAAAAGATTTTTTTGGTAATTTATTAAAAGATGTCTATTTAAATATCCCAAAATTTTATGTGACGGGTTTTTAATCTTTGTTAGATTATTGCCCTCGTTTATTCGTTTATAATATGAAAATTAAGCATTTTAAACTATTTTTTAAAAAGGTAAATATATTAAAGTCTTGAACGTAGCCATATATTAAATATGATAGATTTAAGCAAGATACATGAAACTCAAATGACTGCAGTATAATAAGTTAGTTTAAAGAACAAAAAAGTGAAAATAAAACATTATTCTTTACAAAAAAATGTATTTCATAAGATAAGAAGTCTTAGCTGTGTGCACACAGATTATAATTATTATTATTTTCTTTCTTTTAAAACTAAAACACGGATTAAAATCAATTTTTTTTTCTTTTTTCAAAACTAAAACATGGATTAGAACTATTTTTTTTCTTTCTTTCAAAACTAAAACATGCTTTATTATAATTTCAAAACAAATCAACCAATAAGAAGACAATCTGCATTGAAAATAACAAAAATATAATTAACTTTATATTGAAAGTTGAAATAGATGGAATAATTGTTACACTAAATGAGGTTATATACTAAACAATTTACATTATTTTGTTTTAAAAAATTCAAATCATAGCATATACAGAAAAAAAATTAGATTTTCTTTATTAGTTTTTTTATATTGTGATTCATATTATTTCATAAAATAAAGTTGAACAAAGATGATAGGGGATATATAATGATTTTTAAAAAAATATTATGATAGAATTCAATTGAATTTCATAACTTCCTTATTTACTTATTTTCGTAATTGTCAATTAAGGAAAGAAAATAATAATAAATGGATGGTAAGCATAATATGCAATGGCACAATTTGTAATTTCTCTAGTAAAGCTTGTCTTAATTAGAAATTAGGCTGAGAGTGAACCTGGTGATGACACATCAGCAGTGGCACTCTTGTTAATAACACAATGGACAAAGGTTATTTAGTTAGTGTTTTCTCTTTTAATATATTAGGGATTTTAATATATTAAGGATGTCAAATGTAATTTTGTCGTAATGTTGACATCATCATCTTAAATCGAGGGGAAATCGAGTCAATTAATCTTTCCCCGAACCCAGAAAAGAAAAACAGAAACTTTGATCGGAAAAATCACAAATTGAGGTCGAAGATGTCAACGGAGAGACGTTCTTCTTCCTCCAATCCCATGACCAACGAAGAGAACGCTATGTATGTCCCTTTCGCTTACTTTCCCTCCTCTTCGCTTTTTCAAATTTTTCCATTTGGGTTTGTGATTAGCTTTCATTTTCATGCAAATCCGTAGAAAAAAACTCGTCCTTTGCTGTAAAAGTTTCCTGTTTTAATCTTTTGATGAACCAATTAGTAAATGCGAGACATGATTGTTCGAGCAATATATAGTTTTTTCTAGTGGTGATTTTGTTTATTTGTGTTCTTGGTTTATAGGTTTCTTGACATATTACACGAAGCACCATTATTCGGTCACAGGAAATCCAGAAGCCTTGTTGGAAGTTACCTCTATATGATTCTATTGGCAAGTTTTTACTCTGATTTTTTTCTATTCGCAAATTTCGTAGGTTACTTAAAGTTTGCCTTTTGATTAGTTTTTTTGGTGGCCGTTTCACATTAGGCAGGCTATGCTATTTTAGCTGCAGGAGCTCCTTGGATATTTCACCAAGTCCAGCTTTTGACACCTTCGTTGCTCTGCTGCTGCGATGTTGCGCTTTTGGTTGTTACAGGTCTCAGTCTATTTCTCCTATATTTGTTTGATCTTAACTTAGTGTATGAGAGCTTTACATGTATGTTTCTCATACACGTCAGGTTCTGTATCAAAGTCCTCTCTTTACTAGTCTTGATTTTTTTTTTTTCAATTACAATCAAGAACTCATAACCAAAGCCTAAGAAAGAACATAGGTCTTAGACTACCTGAGATGCTTCTTCTTCTTTACTCTTATCGGTTTTCTGTGTTTTACGTTGTTGCCGGTAGAGAAGAAATGAGTGATTTTGTTCTTTCACACTGACTGAATATAGTAACATTTAATATTATGCGTCTATGTGCATATGCATCATATTGTATGGTTATTGATCTCTATCACCTTTGCATTGGTTTCTGTTCTTCATATGTTGCAACCTGGATTACCTTTTTTGCTATGAATCCATGTTTTCTTGTTCATTGGCTGTATACTCCTAAGTTCACTTCTGTGTGTCGTATCGCAGGTATCTTTCAACAATACTTTGTTTTTCAAGTCCAGAAAATACGTCTTCAGGTACAAAAACTTAATAGTTAAGTGATACACATAGCTTACTACTTCTTCTTGGGGGTTTAAAGATTAGATTTAGGTAGGAGGAGTGAATTTTTTTTACCAATGTTTTTTGACTACCTTGCACATGGTGGCATTTACTTTAGTGATGGGCTGATCTCAGTATGTGAGAATCGTCTGCAGGGTTATTACAGTTTCAGCCAGAAGTTGAAGCATGTTGTTCGTCTGCCATTTGCCATCGCTGCATATGGTACTGTCCAACTATTGACCTTTGTATTTTACTTATATCTGAATCTCTTGATTTGACTGTTTAAAGTGTCTGTGAGTTATGTAAATTCATTAGAATGAAAATATGCAGATTGGCTTCATCTTTCGTTTCTCATTTGGGACTCAACAAACACATGTTTATTGAAACATAGTCTGATACAAATTCAAGCAAGATGTAATTTTTTGACATGTTATTTGCCCTTGTGATTGATTTAGTACCTTGAACATATTTTCAGGGACTGCTGCGATGCTTATGGTGATAGTATGGGACCCCCAAATCCGCATTCTTCCTACTGCTGCTTTACAAAGGTTGGTAACTCTTTGTTCGCTTCGTTGAGTATCTTAGTGAAATTGTCTCTCAATTGCATCGTATGTTGTAAATGAACTTGCAAACTCACTATTCAAGAAACGACACAGTGTCTGACATCTTAAACTTGACAGCTTATTAAGTATCCAAGAAATATAGCAGCCAATCTTTATAGAAGGTTGTGCCAATAATTGTGACAATGTTATAGCAAATACGAAACAAGAGCAGCTCATGTTTTTCTAATGTGGATATTGATTCTGCAGGATCATCATGTTGGTTGAAGCAGTGTGCGCTGGCTTCTTCATGAGTTTATATATTGGTGAGTCAGTGTCCTTCACAACGTTTTCATAAGCTATAATGTTACGGAGCTGTTGGCTTAAATCCAACTGTGTATTGCCTAAAATCAGATCAATGAATGCGAAGGCTTACAGTTGATTTGTTGTGGAAAACATTAGACTGAATGCTAAATTCTATGACAGTCTCATCACCAGTTTTTAAGTCACAAAGCAATTTTATTTGGTAGAGAGTTGAGTCCAGTAGTGATAAGTGCAGTGTGATTTCAGGTTACGTGCACCAATACAATTCGGTTAATTCCCGGCCAGACGTCTTGAAGTCATTATATTCTCCTCTTCAGCCGTCAAGTTCTATGGAAGGTTTGAGGTAATGAATGTTCTTGGTGTGTATCTGATTTTTATAACTTCGATCAGAAATGACACAATTTTGCAACTTTTCCTGGTTTGATTTGGTATAAAAAAGGTATTATGAAGGTCGTCTTTCTGATCAACAAACGGCTCTGTTACAATATCAGCGTGAGAATCTCCATTTTCTAAGCGAGGAGGTACAGATACAAACGCGCTTCTTAATCTTCTATGGCCTTTGCTATTTTGTGAGCCACTATGGTAGATAACATAATTATCTTGTTATTTGTGTATGCTTTTTCAAAGATTCTGAGTTTGCAAGAGAAACTAAGCAAATACGAACAATCTGATGATGGAAGCACACCTCAGGTGAGAGGATTGGCTCTGGCTTCTCTTTTCAATAATACAAAATAGCTTAATCCATCTCTCATCGGTACATACAGTAAGTAAGTTTTTTAATAATGCTTGATAGGTTGATCTCGCACATCTTTTAGCTGCTCGGGATCAAGAGCTGAGGACACTTTCAGCTGAGGTAACAGTAACACCAAAGATTCTGAAGCTGATGAAACAAAAACTCTATTAACTTTAAAAAAGTAAATGTTTTTTTGTGAACGAACGCCTCTCTTGCAGATGAATCAGCTTCAGTCTGAGCTACGGCTTGCTCGTTCTTTGATAGCAGAGAGAGATGCAGATGTGCAGCGTGTCAGCAATACAAACAATCAGGTTTTGCAGAAAACTTGTATTGTAGAACTGTTTTAGAGTTCTTCAAGATTTTTACGTACGTAACCTTTGTTTTGTTATGTTTTGTGTGGTGGTGCAGTATATTGAAGAAAACGAAAGGCTAAGGGCGATTTTGAGCGAATGGAGCATGCGTGCAGCAAATGTACTTAGTTTTTTAATCTTTGAGAAGCAACATTTTGATCTTTTTGTAGTAGACAAAGTTGGATAACTGAATCTGCTTTTTTTTTGTTTATGATATTAGCTTGAGAGAGCTTTGGAAGTGGAGCGGATGTCGAACTCGGAACTACAGAAGGAAGTCGCTGCTGAGCGTAGAAAGCAGATTCGGGAGACACCTGAGCAACCTCAACTGTAAAAAATGACAATCAAGGCTAGGTTTCATCAAGGTTGGTTCTGTAGCTCAGGAACTTGTAACTAAAGATCATGGAATCTCTCTACTGGAACAAGTTTGTGTAGTGAACCTCTTTTTGTCCCGTTTCTCATGGAATGGAATCAAAGCTGCTTGTTAATGGTTTCTGTTGTTTCCTTCCTTGGAAACTGCAATAGCTTTGTTACAATGTTGAAATGAAGTGATTTGCAGAAGCCAAAAACGGAAGGAAAAACAAACGACATAGTTGTGATACATTAAGAGAAGATATATCTCTCAAGAGTCTGAGTTACATACTTGAGAAGGAAATGATTTTCAAACTTGCCTTTGTAGTCCAAAGAACAGAGAGGATCTCTAAAACGATCTTTGAATCCGCTTGAGTTCTTTAGCTACTTGGATCATTTTCGGCCAGTCTTCATCTCTTTCCTTGCAGCAGCTCAGAGCAAGTGCAATAGATTCTTCAAGCTTCAACTTTTGAGCACTTGTGATGTCTTTCATCATCATTGGATCAATCACTTTATCGAGCTTCTTACTCTCATACAAGCCTTTCACATAGCTAATAATACCTTGAGGATCTCGACCAGAGCTAGCGGAGACAAGAGCTGGTTTGCCAGTGAGAATAACCATCAGCAAGACTCCAAAAAACCACTAAAAAGTCAAAAAGTCATTTTGTTGTTCGGAGGATAAACTTGTACCGGAACCGGTTTAATAGTTCAAAAAACCACCGCATCCCCATTTTGTTGTTGGGAGGATAAACTTTAGGAAACGAGTCGAGAGCGAGAGAGTGACTCGAGAGAAGTTATGGAGCCACCGAGTTCGCGACCGGAGGAACCTCCGACATGGGACGAGCTTTACAAAATCAACCTAATGCCTTCGGAGGTATTCCTAAAGTTCCGCAAAGAGCTCCAAGGTCTTCGCGTCGGCGTCAATCTCGAGGTCCCCTCTCTCTCTCTCTCTCTCTCTCTCTCTCTCTCTCTCTCTCCCTCTCCCTCTCGTCTTGCTTCATCTGTTTTCTAATTTCTCCCTGTACACCGACAAAATTGATATATGAAAGTTGTTAAAGATCGAAACTTTATGGATAAAGGTTTAGTTAATTTGAGTGTGAAGCTTAAGTATTCTGTTTATCCAAAGAGACCTGTTCTGTGCTGTTTAATGTTCATCATTTTCACAAAATTGTTAAAGTTTGAGACTTTATGAATAGTGGATTTCAGTGTGGAGCTACGTATTCAGACTATTAGAGATTGTTGTTCATCAGTGTCACAAAGATAGAGACTTTATGGGTAATGGAGTAGTGGATTAAGTGTGAAGTTAAGTATATGGTTTATATTACTGATTTGATTCATTCAGATCATCTAAAGAGATATGATGTGCTCTTGTTTTAGCCGAGAGATATGTTCTCATCATTTTCACACCTTTCTGAGATATCTCCTTTTTTTTGGTCCGAGTGTTTCAGTTATATAACGAACCCACAAATGATTACCACGCAAAGCTTGTTTTGAAGCCATTATCACCGGAAAGGAAGTGGAAGTTTATATATGAGCCGATAAACCAAGAAGTTCGAGTTGTGTCAAAGAAGATTCCTCTCACCAGATTTCTAAACCTCCAGGTTTTATTATTTGTGTATGTTGAGTTTATGACTATGTCCTCTTTCTGAGTTAGCGCCACATATGTTCTAAGTCTCTCTCTCTCATCTGCAGGTTGGTGTTGGGCATAACTTTCAGATGAATGCAATGGGTTGGAAATGGAAGCTTACTTCATGTTTGGGTGGAGATGGTGTGTCCCGGATCCGAAACAAAACTACTCTTGGTCTGAGTCCTGGTGTCGATTTCCGGTTCGGATGGAGAGCTGATTTCGTACTCCCAGAGGTTACAGGGCAAGTCTCACACACAAATCTGATATTTTATGTAATTCAAATCAACCATTCTTTGTTGTCTCAACGCTCTTAGCTGATGAATGAAACAGGGCGCTTGGTACTGAAGAACCGTTGTTCAACATGAGCTCGGGGCGTTTAGAGGCATCACTGGACAGAGTAGAAGCCATTCTAACACATTCGGAATATCTATAACCAATCTGTAAGTGTACTGTGTCTTTTGTGGTTTCTTTCAAACTAAGTCACTCTCTCATCTGATAGATTGTTTGTGTGTTACATTCAGGTTCTCTTCGTGTTAGCCATGCTTGGAAAGAACTAGGACGAGATCTTGACAGTATCATAAGGAAAGCAGAGTACTTTGGCGAAACATAAACATATTACATGTATCATTACAAGATTTTGGTTCGTAGATGTGTAGATTACAGAGTTTCATGTTAGTTATGGGATTTGGTAATCACTTGTTTCATCAAAAGTTAATGCATTTGGATCTTTTGTACAAATTAGGTATATGGATTTGTCTAAGCCAAATCGAGCATAAAAAAACACCAAAAGAATTGTATAATCTATGCCTACTAATTTGGAATGTGTAAAAGCGTAAAGGTTTGCTTAAACCCTAATTACTATCAAACTACTCTTGGTCATTATATAAACTACTAGTAGAGGACCCGCGCGAACGCGCGGTGTGACGTTGTGGTTTTGTGAAGAAAATATAAATCCTAAACCGAGTCCAACCCAAAAACCTCTAATTAAAAATTTTAAAAACTCAAACCATTTTAATATATCTAAACCCGAGAACCCGAAAACCCTGAACCGAATAAAAAAACTCGAAACTTTTTCATCCGAAACCAGAACCCGACCTAAAAACCCTAATAAAAATTTTAAAATACCCAAATTTTTTACTATGTCTAAACCCAAAAACCCTGAAATCCAAAAAATCTGGAAAACCCAGAACTAAACAAAAAAAAAACTCGAACCCAAACCGAACATAAATTTTCAAAAAAACCGAACAGAAATCCACAATTTGATTTAAATTAGACGTATTTCTATTTCACTATTGGAAATTTTGCAAATATCATTCGATCATATTCTATTGATTGATATTATCAATAGATTATGTTAATTTTTCTTTTTTGCAAATTTTTTAAGAGCTGGAAAACGGAAGTTTTCTAAACCATCGGTTTGTTTTAAGTTATTATTCTTGTATCCAAACAATTTTTTCCATTTATTCTTCTATCCAAATAGATTTTTCTCTTATTCTTATATCCAAACAATTTTTGTTTCCATTTATTCTTCTATCCAAATAGATATTTCTTTATTCTTGTATCCAAACATTAGAATGTACTTCTCAATTAATAATATAATAATAAAGATTAAAGCGTAGAGGTTTGCTTAAACCCTAATTACTATCAAACCTAGCGTGCTTTTCTTCTTTGTAAGAAGACATGACGATGTTGTCCAATCTTCCACGGGATTTGGAAGAGGAGTTACTCTCTAGGGTTCTAATTACATCTTTGAGACTATTACGGTCTACTTGCAAACGGTGGTACCATCACGCTTTATTCAAAGATCCAAGATTCATCAAAACGCATTTTGATAAAACAGCAAGGCAGAGGCTGTACCAGGCTTTCTTACTGATGGATTTTAGGGTTTATCCAGTGAGGTACATAACCAATAACGTTTATCCAATGTTAGCAGATAAACTAAGTCTAATCGATCCCCTCAGTAATTCAGAGGTCGATATAACTCAAGCTTTTTACTGCGATGGCATATTATTATGCACCACCAAGGACAAGAGATTTGTGGCGTGGAACCCGTTTTCGGGGCAAACCAGATGGATCCAACCGAGAAATCATCACACGAGAAGCGAGTTCTATGCTCTTGGTTACGATAACAAGGACTTGTGCCGTAGCTACAAAATCTTGAGGGTTATAGATGTCAGCGAGCAAACAATGGAAATCTATGAGCTTAGGTCTAATTCATGGAGGAATCTTGATGTCTCTCCCATTGGAAGCTTTGAATCTCTTGGCGTGTCTTTGAAAGGAAATACTTATTGGATCTCGAAACGAGGAGGAGTAGTCAAGGATTACTTGCTACTCAAGTTTGATTTTTCAACTGAGATATTTCAAAACCTGTGCCTCCCCTTTCACGAAGCAGAATGTTTGGATACTTTCGCTCTCTCGGTTGTTAGAGAAGAACGTCTTTATTTGTTATATCAATGTCAAAAGACACGAAAGATGGAAATATGGGTGACCAGTGAGATTGAGACCACCTTTGCTTCTTGGAGCAAGTACTTAGCAGTGGATTTAAGACCTCGTCCCCATATGTTATTCAGCTTCTTCGTTGAGGAGGAGAAGAAGATTGTTGCTTGCTGTGATCAAGACGAAGATCGTTGCAGGGTAGAATATTTTGTAGAAGATGGATACAAAGGATATAGACGTTGGTGTGGAGACACAGAATGTTGGCCGGTTGTGTTTGGTTATGTTCCAAGGGTGGTTGAAATTTCAGCAATGTAACTTTTATTGCATCTTTTTTTTCTTTTTCAAAGTGCTTTTATACCTTGGTTATGAGACTTAGTCTCATAGTCTCATAGATTCCCTTTTCTAATTATATAACAACAATAGATTCCCTGTTTGATCTTGGAATGGGAAACAAAGGTTGTTGTTATGCACCACCAAGGACAAGAGATTTGTGGCTTGGAAATTGGAGAGCTATGAGTTTTAGGTCTTATTCGTGGAGGACTCTTGATGCCTCTCATAATGGAGGCCTAGAATCTTTACGCGTGTCTTTGAAAGGAAATACTTAAAGGATCTCGAAAAGAAAAAGAGACAAGGATTATTTGCTACTCAAGTTTGATTTTCAACTGAAAGATTTCAAACTCCCCTTACACGAAGCAGAATGTTTGGATAATTTCGCTCTCTCAGTTGTTAGAGAATAAAGTCTTTACTTTTTATGTCAAAGTGCAATGACATCAAAGATGGAAATATGGGTGACCAATGAGATTGAGACCACCTTTGTGTCCTGGAGCAAGTTTTTTTTTTTTTTTTTTTTTTTTTGATATCTCTAGTATCCGGGTCTGAGGAGTCGACCGAACAGTCACCGACTAGTCCTGGGGCCCAAACCGGTGGTCTGAGCTTTGTCCAGCTGTATCCAGTTATTCCGAGATCTAACCGAACGGAAACCCGACTATCCTGGAGCAAGTTCTTTACAGTGGATTTAAAGCCTGGCCACCATATGTTTTTCAGCCGCTATTTCTTAATTAAGGAGGAAGAGAAGATTGCTGTTTGCTGCGATCCAGAATTTCTTATGTAGTTTTTATCCAAAAAAAACAAGAGTTAGTATTAAGTAAAGAATAATATTTTCAAGAGTTAAAACTTAGAAACCAATTACGAATAGGAAAAAATACTTTTTCAAGCGCAAGCCCATACATCACACATTCACATATAAGTATCATAGTTCTTAACTTCTTTTATTTTTATTGAAAGTGTTAAAAGCGTGAAAGTTTACGCAAGCTTTAAGTAATATCTTAATAACATAATCGCAAAGACGAGACATAACGATGCTCTCCAATCTTCCACGGGATTTAGAAGAGGATATACTCTCTAGGGTTCCATTGATATCTTTGAGGCGATTACAATCTACTTGCAAACGGTGGTACCATCACGCTTTATTCAGAGACCAAAGATTCATCAAAACGCTCTTTGATAAAACAGTAAGGCAGTATCAGGCTTTCACGCTGATGGATTTTAGGGTTTATTCAGTGAGCTTTGATACCAACAAAGGACCTTCATTGGTGTTAACAGATAAACTACGCGTAATCGATCCCCTCAGTAATTCAGAGGTCGATATATCTCAAGCTTTTCACTGCGATGGCATCTTGTTATGCACCACCACGGACAACAGATTTGTGGCTTTGAACCCGTTTTCGAGACAAACCAGATGGATCGAACCGAGAAATCATCACATGAGAAGTGAGATCTATGCTCTTGGTTACGATAACAAGGAATTGTGCCACAGCTACAAAATCTTGAGGTTTATGGGTCCACACTACCAAACAGTGGAAATCTATGAGGTTAGGTCTAATTTATGGAGGAATCTTGATGCCTCTCCCGGTGGGGACTTAGAATCTCTTGGTGTGTCTTTGAGAGGAAATACTTATTGGATCTCCAAAAGAAGACGAGTCAAGGGTTACTTGCTACTCGAGTTTGATTTTTCAACCGAGATATTTCAGAAGATGTGTATTCCCGTTCAGAAAACAGAGTTTAATGATGCTATGGTTCTCTCAGCTGTTAGAGAAGAACGTCTTTATCTGTTATATCAATGTGCAAAGACACGAAAGATGGAAATATGGGTGACCAATGAGATTGATGAGACCACAGTTGCTTCGTGGAGTAAGTTCTTAACGGTGGATTTCAAATCTGGTATACATATGTTGTTCAGCCGCGCGAGTTTCTTAGTTGAGGAGGAGAAGAAGATTGCTGTTTGCTGTTATCAAGAAAGGATCAGCGGCCTATTCATTGTTGGACAAGACAAATACGAAAAATTTGTGTTTAGTTGTCGAGTCATAAAATGTATGCCAATTGTGTTTGGTTATGTTCCAAGATTGGTTTAAATTTATCAATGTAATGTCTTACGTCTCTTCATCAGATTAATTGGTTTATTGCAAAGTTGCGAAATATATAATAAAAAATATACACTATCACGACGGCAAACTCAACACCGACGATAGGCAACGCCAAGCAGTGTTAATTATAGTTCTGGTCACAACAAATTATGCCGCAGCTTCTTCGACAATAACGTTGTTGCGTCATGGTTTCCACTATCTTGGGATCCAAGTAACTTATATTTACATGTTTTTTTTTCTCTTTTGTGTTGTTGCCTCTGTTTGTCGCAATGACTTTATAAGCTCTTTTCTTTGATTGTATAACTTTTCTAACAGATTTCACACATCATTGGAGACCTCTAAAACCTGAATGATATTTAAACCTAAGTGAGAATATCTGAATCCACCAATTTTATCAAGAAGATTGATGAGGAAGAAAATATTAATATAAAATAAGGTTAAATTTTTGAATGTTTATTGAGGAAATCGTTGCCAACCAATGGTGTCAACATTTTTAAAAGATTGATATATATGGATTCTTGTGTTCACGATCTGAGTTATCATGATAGTCCACCCTCAAAAGTCAAACTTTCTGAGTTGTTACTACTCATCTTGTTTAAGAGAGACCCTTCTCTGTTTAGTTTTTCTCATTGGCCTAAACAACTTTAAAAAGGGTAATAATCTCTGTTACTCATTTACTTTCAGATGAGAATGAAAGTGGAAAATCTTGAGGTTTATAGATTTCACCAAGAAAACAATGGAAATGTATGAGTTTAGGTCTAATTCAAATTTGAAAGATAAAAGATAAAAGGGCCTATGGAAAATGGCTTTCATGCATATGGTAATTAACGATATAAAAAAGTTCTAGAAAGGTTCTTACTTTTTTTTGGGTAACATCTGCTTATATTAATTTAAATAGTGTATGGAAAATACAATACTTCACCAACCACAATGGTGGAGTTACATAAAACATACTTGAAATAAGAGAATCACTATGAACAAATTTTCAAAGAACATCTGCTGCTTGGTTTTTCTCACGATTGACATGATCCAGAGAAAGGTTCTTGTGAATACGTCAACCCACAAACTTTGTTTCCCATACCAAAATAAAAGAAGGGAATATATATCTATACTATTATTTGCGAGAAATAAGAAAATACATCACGTGTTCTATATAAGTTTGGAATGTACGCATTTCATTGTTTTTGAAACATTAGAGTTGGATTTTCTCGTGATTGAACGGTTGTGAGAGAATCAACAATTTTCAGAATCTTTGCTAACTGAAATCCTCTCTCACTTTTTCAATCAAAGATTCAAAGATGAAATCCTAGCTTTGAAAAAGAGAGACAGAATTCAAACAGGATTTCAGCAATTTTTCAGAATCTTTGGTTGGAAGGTGCGACAGGAATTGAGTTAGCAAAGATTGTAGAAATTATTGATTCTATCGCAACCGTCCATTATGAGAAAATCTAATCCTAATGTTTCAAAATAATGAATTGCAACAAATTTCAGATTTGATCTCTAACCCTAATGTTTCAAAATAATGAAATGCGACAAATTTCAGATTTTATTTCAAAACTTAGGGTTGTTAGTTGATTAAGAATCTCTCATCAGTTAGACACGGTAAGAATCTCTCATTAAATTTAATATTAATAGTTTTCATATATTTCATATAAATAATTAAATATTAAACCAATCATAAAATGACAACTCATACTAGAATACCTATTTTAAAGTGATAGCTCATAGTTCTCAAAATGAACATCATTTCTCTTTCTCTCATATTTGGTCAATTATATAGGATTGCAGAAATCCATATTGAAAAATATGAATGAAAACATTATAATATAAATATTATATAATAGGAGAAAATGATTGGAAATAGACGAATTACGCACAGACGAGATTTGATATCTTTCCTTAACTCAATAAATCTCTTGTAGTGTAGTGTGACGGTTTTGATGAGACTTTTGAATCCCAACACCCAACTATATGCTATACTTTCGAGATTTACGTTTAGAGAAAAGAAGAGATATAGGAAATATGCTTGAGAGAAGATTTTCGAGTGAATAAATAATAAAAGGGGTGAAACCCTTTATTTATAGTTGAGAGGAAATTTACTTGTTAAGTGATAAGGATTGACGAATAAGGAAGGGAGGGAATATCCCACGGATATTCCTCTTGATGTTTATCAAAATTCGAAAACCGAACTCATGCCATGAATGTTTGAGTGGTTTTTGGTTTTTAGTTTCTGGTTTTTGGCTTTTGGTTTCTGATTTTAGATTTTAGTTTTTGATTTTTGATTTTGCAGTAGATTTGGTTTTCAGAAAAACTTGAATGGTGATTTTAGTTTTTGGTTTTTGATTTTCATAGGTTATTACAAAAACTATACAAATATAAGATAAGATAAAATAAAAAACGATGGTTTTATGGAGAAACCCCAAAAAAGTGGATTTTGATTTTTCTTTGAAAAGTGGTTAAAACACTAGAAAACTAGATTCCCTATTTTGTAGGAAAACTTTTTTTTCAGATTCTTGAATGGCTGTAAAATAGATTTTTGAAGAAACTAAAACCAAAAACCACTTCAAAACCCACAAACAATCAAAGTCTCAATCTTCTATAAGTTTTATTTTTGACATTATGCAATTTCGTTTTGGGCTTTAACAAAAATATTGATAAGAATTTAGCCCAAAAAGCCAAGACCAAAACCGGCTCGGCATGGCGTTAACGCGTGTGTAAATTTTTGCAGATGACTCCTTTCTCTGAATCAACATAATTTATTAATCTCCCTCCCGTAAAAACTACTCCTTCTGTCTCATAATATAAGCTGTTTTAGCTTATAAATTTTGTTCCACAATATAAGCATTTTTGACATTTCAATGCACTTTTACTTTATGAAAAACTGTGTGACCACTTATATTTTGCAGTTGTTTTTTATGATTGGTTGAATTAAAAAAAAATAATCTATATATTAAGTGATACTTTTTTGAAGCAAAATAATTTTCTTAATTCTTGTGTTTAAGCTAAAACAGCTTATAATATGGGACAGATGGGTATTGAACTTTGTTTGGAAGTACCTATATTTAAATAAATAAATAAAATTCTTCCAATGTGAAACCAATAAAATGCTACTTCATTTAATGGTTTTGTGCAAAACAACCCTCAGA